GATAGTGTTTAAGGCACTTCATAACTGTATGTGATATTTTAGCGAATGGCTAATATTAGGCTAAAACCACGAATAAGATACAGTTGTGTTCGTTTTAGACGAGAAAAAAAATCATGAACATCCAAGGGAACTCTTTTAAATCGTTAATTCATTTGAGATCCTACCAAAAAGGTATTTAGTAATATAAAAAGGTATAGCCTCCCACCACCAGTTCGTGCGGTCTACAGGTGAAGACAGTGCACTTTGAGTTAAAGGGCTGAGGTTCGAGCCCGAGTTGGATACGTTTTTTCTTCTATTTCGTCAAAGATCCTTCCTAAAAAGGATTAAGTAAAATAAAAAACTGTAGGCTCTCACCACAGGAATTGGTGGTGTAGTGGTGAAAACGGTGATCTACCAAGTGTTCAGCCGATGGTTCTGGTCCTGGATGAACCGAAAAAGAACAAGGTAATAAAGTGAGAATTTGTGAGTGTGAGAGGAGTAGAGTGAGAGGGCGAATATGCCCTCGCCTTGGATGAGGAGTAGACTGAGGGGGGTTGTCTTTCCCCCGCCTTTCCTGACTTTCAAAGCGAGCTTTCTTCAAACATTTAATTGTGGTAGGGGATAGTTAGGGATATCTGAGGATAGGAAAAAATAGGGATAGATAGGAGTAAATAGGGGGATATATAGGGGTAAAGAGGTTTAAATGAGTACAAAAAGACTTAAACGTTTTATATAGTGTTTTCTCATCTATACCCTTCCCCTTACCTCTCGGGGGCCGAGGCCGCCACCCAATTACTAAGTCTTTTTGTACTCATATACCCCTAATTCACCCTACCTATCCCCTGATTTCCCTAAAGATTAATTTTGTTTTCCAAAGATTAACGGAGTATAATCCTACCCCGAGCAACAATACCTACCATTTATTTTCTACGGCCATGGGGAACGTACGATGCTGTTCTTGGTACCTCGATCTTGTACTCGTTAGTCCACGACTTTACCACAAGGCTAACTGGTGATTGTTGGAAGCCTACACCAACTTATTCTCCATAACCTTACCATCTAATATTAATAACTAAAACTGATTTCCATCTAAAACGAGATTCGAACCTTCGACTGTCGACACATGAGACCAACATCTTGACCACTAGACTACAAGATCATGAGCTGAACAGCATTAGTTATTTAATTTACTTTATCCTCTTCACGAAGTTCATAATGAAAAACGGTTATTGTAGGAATCGAACCAATGATTTACCACTTAAGAGGCCATTGTCTTCGCCACTAGACTACAAGATCTTGTGCTGAACGGCGATAGTTATTTAATTTACTTTATCCTTTTGACGAAGTTCATAATGAAAAATTACAGTTATGGTAGGATTCGAACCCCTAATTTGAAACACGGGAGGGCATTGCCTTCACTACCAGCAGAACTTCTGACGAATTACTACACTATTTTATTTTACCCAGCGTTTTTTTGAAGAATTTGAATTTTTATATAAGTTTACTTTGATTATGACGATTTATTTTCTTGTCTAAAACAAACGAAACAGAATCTTATTCGTATAGCGTTAACCCATTAATATCAATATTTGTGCTGACGCCAAAATAGTCCATTGGCATTGAGCAAAGGAGCAGCATTACCGTGCCATAAGCTAGTTATATGCGGCCCAGGTGACGCTGATGCTTACGGTGCGATTGTTTTGTGTTTTTAATGAAGCCAAGTCTGATTTCACAGGTCACAAATTAAAATTTGAGGAAAATGGTAATTCAGATTCATTAAAATGTTTCAACATTTGCCACTCATTTCACAACTTTGCGTCACAATATCTTCGCTACCATTATGGAGCAACGATTAGTAAGTTAATAATGCTTATTAGTTAGATAGATTTGGCATATTTATTCAGGACTCGGAAATTAAAAAACTACACTGTCTTTCATTAACTTCAAAATTTCAGCCAAGATGATAAGGGCTGTAATTTATTTTCAGCTTGTTAATTAAAGACTTGTTCACAAAATTTTCGAAAATCGTCAATTTTGGCCAAAATGGAGGGATACGTTTACCCGTCACTATTTTGGCCAAAATTATATTTTTGAATTTTTAATTGCTTCAAAACAAATATGCTCAAAAACGAAATAGTTTAGCCTTTTTAAGGCATTAAACTAAACATTTTAAGGCATTTTCAGCATGTTACCCAAGCAGCCTTCATGATCTGCCATGTTTAACTTCAAACTTTGAACTGGAGCAAGCCTTTCATATATGTATATATATATATATATATATATATATATATATATATATATATATATATATATATATATATGTAATGTAATCTATATATATATATTATATATATAAATTATATATATATATATATATATTTAATATATATATAATATATATATAATATATAATAATATATATATATATATATATAGTTCACTGGCTTTGAATGGCGATTGAGGTAAACAAAAATGTTTTGGATAATATTCACATTGAGAGTTTTTATAATGGTATATATTATATGGATGGGGTATTTTACTTGAGAACTAAAACATGATACATCCGGGGTACAATGCGGATATTTTTCCATATGTGAATATTTTCCATAGGGATGACATATCAAATGAAGTATAAAAAATTTTCCCGCCATTTTTATTGCCGTTGTTGTGAAAATACAATGGTCTTTGCTTGTATATAAAACGAGATTAACGTTGAAAACACAAAATAAAACACTTAAAAGGCATCTTTAGATAAGTAAAATTCATTCTACTTTAAAGTTTAGGCTATAATTTTAAAGATATTTGCTTTTATAATGGTCTTTCGCGGCGTCTTACTTGTCGTCTTTGTGCGTAATTTTTTCACTCTGATTTTAGTCCATATAATAAACAGAACATTACAGGGTTCCCTCGAAGATATGGATTTTATGTACTCGTGTCAAAAACAGTATTGTTTTTGCCACTCGAACATAAAATCCATATTTACTCGCAACCGTGTAATATCCTATATTTACAAATGCAAGGCGTGCGCTTCCGTGCGCCTCGCGCCCTTGGGCTTCCTATGACTAAACCTTGTTATTTTCGATGCGATGTCGAACTCAACTCACTCAAGATTTTCAAAGTTCCCAAGATTTGTAGCAAATATTAGAGTTAAATACTTCTGCCATCCAAACTCATTGCAACAGCCTGCAATGTTCTCATACTATGAAGTCCTGGTAACAAATTGTATTTTTCAATCAAACCAAGTCATTCCCTGTTAAACGTATCCACCTTCGCATACTACGGGTCCTTAAATTCAAGAAGTACTTAGATGTCCTTGAGTACCTCATTTTGTTTCCTAGGAAATTTGGCCCCCTCTAAAAATCATAGTTTACATTACTATTTTAGAGCTAGAGAACCGTTAAGTGTATAAAAGTTTTAAGTGTATAAAAGTCTATCTAGCTGTACTCTTGTTTGAGTTACAACTTACAAACAACACTGACGGATTTTGTATGGAGCATGTTTTTGTGTTTGCCGATTGTTTTTAACGTTTTTAACTTTTATGCAAATTTGTCTTAATTACTCCCTAACATTAACTCCCTAATTACTAACATTAACACTTTCGCCAACGCATGTTGCCATCGCTTGCTGTGTGGTTGTTATTCTGACGACTTTTATACTAGGTTCAGGAACTTTGAATATTGAGTCACAAGTTATATATATATTGAGAGTATGGAGTATGTTATCGAGGGGGACCAAGCCCGTTTGGGTTTAGCTTAAACGGTGCAAAAGTCAAAATTAAATAACACTCTTACATCTCTCTTGAATGAGTGAACTTGAATATTATGCACTGAATATGTAGTTGTAAACAGTATCGTTGTTTTGAGGTTAAAAGCATTTAGTTTGCTTGTTAAGTGAAACGATAGACTTGCTTTCTATTTTAAACTTAACCAGTCCGTTTAAGCTAAACCCGTTGGATACAAACAGCCCCGGCTTTTTGATATAGCTTGAGTTGTCCAAAATATGGCTTTAAAAATGCTTGAATTTTACTCTTAAGTCTCCCGATCTAAAATAAATTATTCAAGACCTTCAAAGCCCTTGAAAGGCTTGAATATATAAAGTACATGCTTGAAGTTCATTGAAATCATAATACTCATGAAGACAGTGTCCATTTCTCATCTTATCGAAAAATTTCTGTATTTGACCCTCAGATGACTGTTTGATAATCAGTTCGTTGTCAATGTTGACATACAATCTGCAATGTCTTCTTGATGTAAAAATTGGAGGGGGGGGGGAGTAAAAAATGGGGACAGCAAGTCCAGCTGGTGTTATGGCTAATTATGCTGCCCAGTGGCTTAATTACCACAGTCACTAAACTAGAACACAAGAAAAGACAAAATTTTACGTTACAGTAGTTTAAGAGTATAATTCATCAATTAATAACACAATGATATACAATACACCAAGTAAGAGTTAAAAACCATCTCAATCAACAAACATCAGGAAACAACCTTACAATGAAATTGTATTGGAGTTATCTCCATCATAATGAAATAAACAGCTTTCAAACAACGAACTGGTCTAAAGAGAACACAAAAATATTGCGTTAAGCCACTGCATTTGGCTAAAATTGCACAAACATTAGTTCCAACTAGTATTTGGATTTTGGACCAAGGTTACTGTAGCCGCTTATATTCTGGTTTAGTTTTTCCATTAAACCTGCATTTTACTAACAAGTGATGAGACTACCCATTTTGAAAATGATAGCTCAAATACTTAAAAACAAGAGAGGGATAGACAACTACTATAGTTAACCCATATTTTGCTGCCATTATACATGCAATATTATCCAAAACTATTGGCTTTTTTACCCAAATAATGCAATTTACTGGTAAGCAACTACTAAGAAGGCTGCCCATATATAGGTAAAACAGGCCCAATTATTAAATAACCAAATAACATGTAGACATTCCCTCAATCAGAAAAATGTATACTCTATAAAATGAAGTACATACCATTGTACACAAAGAAAACAAGATCATAACAGGAATGTAGCATCACTTGGAACCAATGGCTGCAGCAATACTATCAACAATCTTCTTCATTTTTGCTTCACTGTCAACATAACCATCTCCATTCTGTAGTGAGACAATATCAGAAACATCAATGAGACTGATAGTCAGGTAAAATATAATTAATGTGCTGGCATATATATAATTATAATTACCAGGTACACAACAACACATCAAATATATGCTCGCTTTATATCTAATTGATATTACCTTCTTGGAATGGACAAGTTTTCCATCAACTGAAACCTCAAAATATCCTGTGACTCCAGGCGTCCCTTCTCCGCTCTGAATAACAGAATTGTATTTCACCATTTATATGCTTTGGAATATAATCTCTTTATAACAGTTATTATAATGCTTCATAAATATACACTACAGTATATACTTACACACTCCACATCGCTTCCAAATTCATCAGCCAGATCATTTGCCAGCCGATTATACTAAAATACAACAGTGTTACTTAGTAATAGATTTGTAAAGTTTAAAATTTTGAAACTATGATAATGAAAAGTATTTAATACTCATGGCCATGAAACTTTTAAAAGTTTTCAAAAAATAATCTCACCTTGGACTTGTACCCTCAGGCACCACTAAATCAAAAGAAATAATGGTATGTCATTGAGTTCCTAAATTTATAATTATTTATTATTTATATTATATTTATAATTATTATATATATATATATATATATATTAATATATATATATATATATATATTTATAAATAAAGAATTATTTTTATACCTACATTGTGTACAATTAAGTCTATTGCAAAAATTTAACCTTAAGACCATCGGTCAGTTAGAAAGAGCTTGCTGTTTTTTATTTCTAGTCCAGCCAACCCTGAACTAACATATATATGTTCTATGGTGTCAGATTGTTGAGTGGAAATCAGATTTTTATGCAATGCTGGGAGGGAAAAAATCACTAAAAGTGTTGAATTATAAAGAATTAAAATTTACATTAACTTAGTTATTTAAATCTTTCATCTCCAATTGCCATGTACAATTAGTTTCCTTGTGGGAACAAGATAACCTAAATTTTTTACCTATACATTCTTACAGGCAATACATATACCAATCAAGATATCAGATATGTAATATACAGTCTGAATACAATGTAAATTGTATTTACATGGCTATTTTTTAGATACTTGCAAAAACAAAACTTCTATGCAATTTTTGATCCAGAAATGATAATGTAGTGAAACTATAAAACCTTGTAAGCACTTTAATCAAGCAGGCAAACTTTGTAGGCAGTCATAGTTTATCTCATACTGTATGTTGTATAATTCTACATAATACTAAATAGTCATATTAAAAGACTTGACTTGCACTGACTTTTAACTAGAAACAATGTTTATTGCTAATGCACTAAGTGTTAAGTCAATGAAGTGAAAGTTGAGAAATTTCAGCTATGCTATTAACTCATCACGCAATGGGTGTGTTTGCTAATTGCTAAAAGCTATGCTTGCCCTTTCAGTTTCAATCTTGACTTTTCGTGTATGTATTTATTGTATTGCTAAGCTGTCCCGATACTGACATGTATTTCTGTACACATATGGACATCTAGCCTAATGACAGATAGAAAGATATAACAGAATTTCACATCGCATCCTACAAAATATTACTGAATTATGTAACGATTGTCGGATTGCGTATAATTTTTAAGGACAAATGCAAAGAATATATCATCTATAAATATAAACACACTCCTTTTACAAAATAGATAAACACAATATCTTAGCTTACCAATAGACAACGTGTACTTTGACTGGCATGTTGAATCGGTAGTAACAAGAAAACGAAAGATTCGATTAAACAAATTTCTGAGCTTGTGTTGTTGTAGACACTTCCTTTGCAAAACCGGTAGTCTGGCGGTAAACGCGTAATATATACAAGGACTTGAAACTAGGGAACATGGGGGATAAGTTTATTATCCCTAATCTTACCAAATTAACTGTTACTCACCCCAAGTCCATTACGTCATCTTTCCTGTATACGAGAATAACTGGTTTGACAATGATTCTGAATTGAGTCGAAATATCACCAATTGAATGTTAATTTAATATCAATGGCGTTTCTTGGAATCTGATTTGTTCTTAGCAGCGTGATATCACTGATATGAGGTTGCTGACGCGAATTAAATTGCTAACGCGAGCGATTTTGTAATCACACCTCTGACTTTACACCAAATTGCTCAGTGCAATTACTATTACATATTTTTTTGGAAATTGTTTCCTGGTAAAGGATTTTACCCAAGTTCCCCACGAAATCACAACAGATATCACTAAAAAAAATGTTCAAAAGAAACTAATTAATAGATAAACTATGCAAGCTTAAAAAAGCAACTTATAATATTTATTATTATTCATCATCATTTCTACTGATTCAACATTTTAGCAACAACCGAGAGCCCACACTGCGCGTTCAAACCAGTGACGTCAAAAGAATGCAAGGCGCGCTAAGGAGGATTAGGAATAGTCTGGAATAGACCACATGACAACTTATAAAATTAACCGGTCAGGAAATCCGGTCAGACAAGTTTGCTGTTAATTCGCTGGTATCTTCTGGAACTAAGAGTGTCCGAAAAATTGGAAGAAATCGACGTGAAATATTGACATACAATTTTTACAGCATAGAGAATACAGATTTTTGATTTTTCTAAGAGAATGGATTCCTTTGAATCAAATAAAGAGTATAAAGTGGTAAGTGGGTATCAATTTGTTTAGTATCGACTATAGTATACAACATCGTCATCGTGCATAGAGCGGCGAAGACCGACCGGATTGCTTAGACATAAAACAGTGTGAAAACCCCAAACGAGCAAGATCAAATCGGGATTGAAAAAAGTACCTATGAAATTAGGTTCTGTGTGAAAGTGAACAACAAACGAGGGATTTTGAATTCAAACAAAGTGTCTGAAAGTTAGGTTTGAAGACATGTTGAATACGTGCTCTTAAGCTTCCTTTCCCATCTGGCCGGCCATGCATTATCCGATATATAAATTTTTACAGTTCGAATTGCCATATATTTAAAATATATTACACACTGATCATTTAGACATTTATTTAGTATCATACTAGGATAGAAATAACGTCGACTCGCTTTAGATAAATGCGTAAGTTCACTAGTGTAGTCCAATAACCTTGCCCTTGGCATCGGATCAATCGAGAAATTGGTTTAAATTTTCTGTTTGTTTACAGTTTGTGTCTACGGGAGTAATATTCTGTAGTCTTTAGTCTGTGGTCATTAAAGCTGCAATCTTTATAGGGAAATCTGATAATCAAAGCTATATTCTCGACTTTCACATTCTCTGTTTTCCTGGAATCACTGTTAGTGTTACTCGGAATTTAAACGGAAATATGTACACTTCCGACATTGCATCTGTTGATACTAATCATTTTAAAAAAATTTACGGTTTTGATTCTGAAGCAAAGTGTAAGAAAAACATTGGGTTACTCGGATCAGTGGGTTAACTGCGAACAATCTGCGCATTCATATTTATTTGTTCAATACATACCACTATTAAAGTATAAGTTATACATTTTTCTTCGCCGCATAGTTTGCAATTTGCAAGTCAATATAGATTGCAAAACATCCATCAGGAGCCAGTTGTACAAAAGACTGGTTAACTTTTCTTGGTAGTTAAGAACAGAATTGGCCAATCAGATCTGACTATGCGAAATGTAAAACAGTTTTATACAACCATGCAGCCCTATAGCTGAAGCAAATCTAGTAAAATTGGATCGTTCTTACTATAGCTGGTTCAGTATTTTGCGCTAATGGATTATAATTATCAGGAGCGGTTAGCCTACCGGGCGATGCCCTCACTTTTGTACAATAAGGGGGCCCTGGCTATGAATGCTTGTTATAAGCAGGGCGTCTATAAGATAGGGCGGCGAAACGCACGGATGGCGTGTTGAAACATGTGTGATGCGATTTTAGGACTGGGACGGGGCGATCGGCGAAAAATTCTCGAACGAAACAATATTTACTTGGTTTTTAACAAGCTCGATTAAAACCACTCAATCTCTGAAACTATTAACGCGATATCTAAAATAAGATTTCTCCTGTGTAATTTATAACTCTTTCTATTAATATTGTGTCTTAAAATTGTTTCTTCAAAAGTTAACTGACCGAATTTGTCAAATTAAAACTACGGATACGCACGGCTACTTGGTCTGTTTTTAGATGTATTATACATATTTTGATTTTTTTCAGTGAGGAAAATCCCCAAAAGCATTATACTTCAAAATTTGGTGTACAGAATATTGACGAACATTTGTAGCAAATTTCACTACACAACGTTTTGAACCTTTTTTGCAATCATTTGTAGAAGTGAACGTATTCAAACTTTCTACAACAAAATTGTTTTCACGGCTGCGAGGTCGGAAAATATCAACACAAAATCCCGTTAAATTATATTATATACTTAGATTACGTTCCGAATTGAAAATATGATATGTTTTTCTTTCGTCATGGCAATGTCGACCTGGCCAAGCTAAAAACAAAACAAGAAAATGCTAACTTACTTGCAAGAGCATTTGACCGCGTCGCAACAACGTTTTCGAATTTTCAATGTACAAAATTTCCATTAAAAAATTGAAAACCTTGCCATAGCTCCTAAAGCTGGAAAATTTAGAAAATAACTCCCTTGTTCATTAACATCGATTCCACGTGCAAATGGTTGCATAATGTTTTGAACCTTTTTCACAATTTTCTCTGGAAAACGACAACCATAAAACGGAACCATGTTTACAAACTTGTCTTGGTAACCAGCGGACTGGGACGGGTATAAAAAACACGAAGAAACCCTTTCAAGAACAGCAATTAACTCCTTTACGTTGAAATGAACAGTATTTCCAACTGGAAATGACGAATTTGTGTCATCTGTTGCCAGATCAGTGTCATCCAAACTAATAAACATCTCAACTTCTTCGACATCTAAGTAACCCACCGCCATTTTGAAAACAGTTTTTCGAATCTTCATGGAGGGTCCGCACATCACACATGTTTCAACACGCCATCCGTGCGTTTCGCCGCCCTATCTTATAGACGCCCTGTTATAAGCTTGCAATGATAGCAACGAAATACGCGTCTTCGCGCCTTCGTATTGCATGAAAACGAGGCTTATTAAAAACAATTAAAAAATTCCCTACACTTTCATATAGCGAAAATCTTCTTTTTTAGATTGTAAATGTGGTTTTTTGCAATCTGATATTTTATCAATATTTTGCGCTCGATTATATAAATGTAGACAAATGTATCCAAATATCGATTTTCGCTATACATTGATCAGCTTTTATCAGAGATGAATCGTCATTTACTGAATTATTTTGTCTGAGGTAATGGTAGAAAGTTAACACTATATTATTAGGATGACTTTATATCTTTAATATTGTAATAACTGAAAAATAATCTACGAACAACCATTTAAAAGTGGATAGAAATGACTCCACTGACAGTTTAATAAAGATGTTACCAGTATAATGTATTGATAATAATTTTTTTAAATATGGTTTAAACTAATAAAGTAACGCTTAGATTGTCTTCATTTAAAACGTCATCAGGAGGCCCTTTTACCCTATCGCCTGGTGACACTCATAACGGTAATCCGCCTCTGATAATTATGGAATTATGACAAAATTATAGGTAGATGAAAGATACTTTCAATGTCTGTTGGAAGCAAAGAAAAAGGGTTATGTTTTGCAAAAGAATCCATCTAGTGCGCAGAATCGATGCTTCTATGTGTGCATCGCAGAGTCCATAGGGAAACCGGTTGATGAAGCAATTTATTTAATCAATCAATATATGCTGGCAAATCAGTTTGTTCCCAAAAATTACAACGATGTAAGTTGAACATTTTATAGCTATGAAGGATTTTTGTATATTGATAACAATATGAAATAACTTTAGGGTAGTTAATAGCTCAATATATGTGCCGCCATGCCTTTTACTACACTTATCCCCCCAAAAAGAATTTCGGATGACTGAAGTCTTTAGTAAATTCAACCTAATTCGCGTGTTTTAAAAAGCATTTTTATTACGAAAACTTTAATGGATTGCTTCGGGTTGCTTATGTTGTGCTTCTTCGCAGGATGGTGATGAAGAACCTGAACTCGAAGACCTGTTGTCGTATCTATCCGATGCAGATTATCCGCATTTACCTGCAGGGCGCCCCGAAACATGGCCCGAATGCATCATTGGTTTACAAAACCAAATGGTTAACAATGTGGTGATCCGTTCAACCGCATCTTGTTTCGGGATTAACGTAAAAATTATTTATTGGAATGGGGTAAATGCACACAACTGTAAGGGCCTGTCTACACTAGTGCGTTTTCATTTGTTTGCGGTTTCGCAAGACCGAAAACGCATCGATCGATTCGCGTTCACACTACCGTTTTCGTAGCGTATTCGACTGTTCACACTAAAACACTTGAATACGATGATCGGATCGTAGTCTGTCGTAAAACGGTAATTTGCGCATGCTCGGCATTTGTTTAGTCGATTATTGCTAGTTCTTCGCAGCAAAATAAACCTAAAAAGAATGCTAATAACAAGCAGGAGGCGTTCATATGGTAGAAGGCCCAGATAAAATGTATGTTCGTAAGACAGCTATTTGTCTTCGGTGTGAAGCCATCATGGCGTTATACAACGCAACATTTAACTGCAAACAAACAATCATGTTTACTAGAAGCATGAGAAACTCCATATCGTGCTCGTCCGCCTTGTTTGGTTGGAATTATGCCGCGGATAACTGACTTAAGACCTTGAAATTAGTGGCAATCACTGGTGGCAATCGATGCGTGTGACGTAATCGTTTTCAAAAGTATCGTATTCAAGTGTTCACACTAATACGATATGTATGCGTTTTCATTTGTATTCACTTTCAACAGCGTATTCAAATCGATGCGTTTTCGGTGAATACGCTGAGCGTATTCAAGCGTATTAGTGTGAACGGAAGGCCTAAACGCATCGAAATGTATGCGTTTTCAAACGAAAACGCACTAGTGTAGACAGGGCCTAAATGTAATTACGCTGTCCAAAAACGTCCTTGCTTTCTAGGGGTTTTAAAATTACGGATGCAAAAGATTTAATTAATGCTTTAGAATAACATAGTTTCATACGATCTCGATTTTTGCCCTCTTTTTTGTAGAGCCTCATGGAAATTGCACCGTTTGATAGCAAAGCCGAAATTTCTGTCTTTCTAGCCTACACCGGGATACATTACATGCTTTTGAAACCCCACCAATCCGAGTTAGGTGATGTATATAATGATAAAGGTAATAACCAATGAACTTTAGTATCTGTAAACTAATATTGTTCTTTGTTTAGCATCGTCTCTTTATGAAGTTGCTCATACGTTGTGAAGTAAAATAAACAAGACCATTTATGTAGCACTGATACAACGGAAAAGTTTCACCGTATAGTGTGTGTGTTATATGTCACATGCCCACCCCAATGCCGTAACATCACCAGAATTTAAGACACTGATTACCATAACGTTAGGTTTCGCAATCAAAGATGGCTGCCCTGTTATAATAGGATTATATAAGTCATGAGACAAAATTTGAAATTAAAGCAACTTCTATATCTTACATATTGGAGTTGCCAAGTTCGATTTAAGACGGACAGAAATCCTGTACTGTATTGTCAATTTTTTCATATTTTTGTCTTAACTTTCCACGTTCCTCAATGTCATTTCAGCAAGCAGTTAGCTACTTGCATTCAGAATAATGATTAGCAAGTAGCAAATGCATTGCTGAAATGACATCATTGGGGGACCTGTTAAAGGTAAGACAAAATATGAAGAATTTGTCATAACAGTACTGAATTTCCGCCTGTCTTAAATCGAATTCGGCAACTGCAGTATGTAAGATAAAAGGTGCTTTAATTTCAGTTTTTGTCTTACGTCTTATATAATTGTATTACAAGGCGGCCATCTTTGATTGCGAAATCCTGGCGTTATGGTAATCAATGTCTTGAATTTCTGGTGATGAGATAAGATTTTTCACGTGTAACATAGGTGCAATTTGTCTGTACATGAGAGAGATCGCCAAAAAGATGATGAAAGCAGTGGAAACGTTTAGACTATAGGATGGCTATCTCTCAGTGCTAGCACAAAAAGAGTTAAGGAGATTTAGAAAAAAATTACTCCACATCAGATTGTAGATTTTTAAATTAGGGATGTAAAAATAGGTTTGATTTTGCCACTTCGAATAACAAATGAACAGTCAGTGTGAATCTCAGACAGCTTGTAACTTTTTCAACTAGTTTAACATTTTAGAAATAATTCGCTACAGAGTAAGTGACACCTGTATAAACGTTTGTATAAGTATATTTCAAACTTCATGGGATAGAAATTTAAATTCTTTTCTTTGAACTTGAAATTTACGCAAGAAAACGTCACCCATATTACATTGTCACCCTATTTTGTAGTGATTATAATTCTCAAGTCTTTAGCTAGTTGAAAAAGATTTCACAGCTAACCGAATTCATGCCGTACAGTTTTTTTGTAAAATTAGATTGGTAAAGCTAGCACCATTCTTACATCCTTGTAAATGAAAATCTTGAACATCGAGGGAGACGAATTTTTTTAATTTCTGCAATTTTTTTCGTCCTAACACCAAGAAAGAGCCGTCGTATAGTCTAAACGTCTTCACCGCATGCCACCATCTTGTTTTTGACAATCTATTGCATGCACAGACAAATTGCACCTATGTTATTCACATCTCCTACTCTTTTTCTTTTTCAGGAACACCAAAATCAAGTGAAAAGCATATATCACAACAATAAATGAAATATCTGTAACGAAATATCTGAAATGAAATATCTGAAATGAAATATCTGAAACGAAAGATCTGAAACGAAATATTTGCAATTGCGCGGCGCAATCTTTTTTTTTTTAGGATCACACTTTGCTTCGAAGATAAATATTTTTTTCTAAAATGTTTTTAGCAACCGACAGCGTTGACGGAACTCAATCGTTACGCATCATTAATTTGGAAGATCTTCAGTCAATACTCCTTCATGGTGCAGAGAAAAAGCAGGTGGGGTATTTTACCCGAAGTTGATTTACCATAATTACAAAGTCAGACTATAATTTGAAGTGATGTGCATTTTATGCCTAAGCGTACCTGTCTACATACAGAATACAGTCACAGCAAAAGAATATATTGAATAAACTTTTGAAAGTATAAGGGTATGCATGGTAACCGATAAGTTATCTAGTTAGATGAATATATCGTAAAATTCCGTCTGCTACTAGAGCGAATCAGATTACAGGACAGGCTAAGATTCCCGCCAATGCTGATTTGTTAATAAAATTTAAAAAAGATTCCTGTTGGTCTTATAAAATCTCATTCGCGGCGTTTGCAGCCTTGGCCGTTTTTGAGACCTTTGGAAAATATTTTTTATCCTGGGGACCTGCAAAATATATAACAACCCTCGAAAGCATTCCGTGTGTGCCAATTAACATCCCACAAGAGAAAACAACTATCAATATATATCAATATAATATGTCCCAAAAAATTTTTAATTCAACATAACTTGTAAGCAAACTGAAGAATTGCAATCCAACGATCTAGTGGTGGATTCTGTCTCCCGCTTAATATTTCGAGTTTTTTGTTATAAGATTTATTTGTTATCTTTTGACCTAGAATAACGTTGCGTTGGGAAACCAGTTTTGGCATCTAGAGATTCCGGACGATAAAGAAATAACAGTTGCTTTACTGAAGAAGAAATATGAAGTCTTACAAAACGAGAACAAATACCTGAGAAACATGTTACAAGTATGTGGTTTGTGATTTATGACAATTTAAGCCTGGTCCATACTTGTGGTAAGAATCTGGGATACCCTTTGTAAGAGGTCACTATTGCGCAAAATCCTTTTTCTGTCGGAAAATAATACAATGGATCCCTGATTCTTACAACAAGTGTGAGCCAGACCCTAATGTATCTTTACGACAAGTCAATAACGTTTCTCTGCGAATCTTGTCCCGCGCGAGTTAGATATGGTGAATTCGGACATGTAAGGGCTCGATTTCTGCTAATTTGCGCCCGTTGAATATCGGATATTTGCGCATTTACCACCTTCTGGGGCTATAAAATATTTACGCGTGTCTTTAGTGAACCAATTACTATTTACATTTCAGCGAAACGTGCCTCATGAAATGGCAGAATTCAATAACCCATTCAATTGCTCAGTGTCATGCGGCCTTAGCTGTGTCTTGTTTGTTTTTTTCAAAATGGAGTTCCAAGTGTGCACAAGGAAATTCATCAACATGTTTCCTCGCGTGAGATGTTGCAGTTTGGCCTTGAAACATTTCTTTCAAATTCGTTTATTGGTTGCTGGTCCTAAAGAAACAAGTTTTTGCAGATCAATCACCGAAGACTGCAGTCTTGATCGTGCTTTGAAAGAGGTAGTTTCAAAGTGTATGCAAGAGGAATCACATCCTGCGTTACTTGTAATCAAGTACAGGCAGCAAAATGGTTCAACACGAGCAGGTCATTGTGTGGTGATCATGCCAGATGGTGAATTTATTGATGTTCAAAAAAAAAAATACTGGAAACCAACTAAAAGCGAAAAACACAGTATCGGCCTCATTTGTGTTGTTAAATTTAACATGGGAGTCGCTCAGCAATGGGTCAAAAAATGTGGGCTGGATATTTGCGAGGATGAGTGCTATTATGGGTCCAACGCCGATTTCCCAGGATACACTGATGACCTCGACTGAAGGACACAGAACACGAATATGTATAACTACATTCTCGTATTGTATATAATTATATATGTGAGACAATTATATTACGCCTTTCGATTTAGACTTCAATGTAAAATAAATCATATCCTGAGCACGGCCAGTTTGTCCAGCCAAGCAAAAAATCATTGCATGATTTCAATGCACGCGTATGGTAATATGCTTTGAAATATAGCTATCATGAGTCATGTATCTATGTATGTAACCTTTATTTAAAATTTGACGACTGATATTATAATAAAAAAACTCGTATACCAATTCATAGCTTTCCCTTATAAGGGGCCAAGATGTATATAATGTGATTAACTGTAGCCTAACAAAATCCACCATGTTTAAACAACACAGTCTTCCCAGGAGGTGCCAGATAAAAAACTGATATCCTTGGCAATTCTTTATCTTTTTTAACTTTTATTATCAGTTTACATTAAAATTCTACCATTTCAATACAATTTGCTGACAAAGAGTATTTTTTCGTTTTGCAAAGCTATTTCGGTATTCTCGGTTTATTCAATATCCACAGTCAGAATACAGGTAGCTGGCCAGTGTATTAATTAACAGCGATCTGACTGCTTTCAATGAACTGGTCTAAAGATAACACAAAAAGATTGGGTTAAGCCACTGTATTTGGCTGAAATTGCACAAACATTAGTCCCAACATGTATTTGGAGTTTGGACCAAGGTTACTGTAGCCTCTTATGTACTGGTTTAGTTTTTTTAGTTAATAATTAACCTGTATTTTGCTAATAAGTGACCAGACTACCCATTTGGAAAATGATAGCTCAAATACCTAAAAACAAGATTCTAGAGAGGGATAGACAACTACTATAGTCAACCCATATTTTGCTGGCATTACATGCGATTATCAAAAACTATTGGCTTTTTGACCCAAATAATGCAATTTACTGGTAAGCAGCTACTAGGAAGGCTGCCTATAGGTAAAACAGACCCAATTACTTTAATTAACACAACATATAGACATTCCCTCAGAATTCAATACAATGATCGAAGTACAGTCGTGCATACATACCATTGTACACAAAGCAAGCAAGATCATAACAGGAATGCAGCATCACTTAATTAGCAGCAAGGCTATCAACAATCTTCTTCATTTTTGCTTCCCTGTCAACATCACCATTCTGCAGTGAGAGTCTGTGAGACAATATCAGAAACATCAACAAGACTGATAGTCATGTGAAATATAACAGGTAATTACACAGCAGCACATCAAATATATGTTGGCTTTATATCTAATTGAAATTACCATTTTGGAATGGACAAGTTTTCCATCAACTGAAATCTCAAACCATCCTGTGACTCCAGACGTCCCTTCTCCGCTCTAAATAATCAAAATTGTATTTCAACATATATATGTATTGGAAAATAATATTTTTATAATAGTTATTACTACTTTGTAAAATGCAAATAATGCTTCATAAATATATACAGTATGTACACACAAACACAAAACACACAAGTATACTTACACACTCCACATCACTTCCAAATTCATCAGCCAGATCAGCTAGCTGCCAGGCAATTATACTAAAATACAACAGGGTTAGTTGTAATGGATTCGTAAAGTGTTTTTAAAGTATTTTGATAGTATGATACCAGGTAATTAAAAGTATTTCATACTGGCCATAAATCTTTTAAAAATTTTTAAAAATAATCTCACCTTGGACCTGTATCCTCAGGCACCACTAAATCAAAAGAAAATAATGGTAATGTCATGAGTTCCTAAATTTATAAATAATTACTTTTATACCTACATTGCATACAATAAGGTATATTGCAAAAATGTAACCTTATAAGACCATCTGTCAGTTAGAATGAGCTTGCTGTTTTTTATTTCTAGTCAATCCAACCCTGAACAGACATATACCGGTAAATGTTCTATGGAATCAGATTGTTGTGTGAAAATCAGAGATTTGTGCACTTGAGGTGTTGAATATTATATAGAATAAAAATTTACATTGATTTTTTAAATCATTTAACTCTAATTGCCATCTACAACTAGTTCTCTTGTGGGAACAAGATACTCTAAGTTTTACGTATACATTAATTCTTACCTATACAATCTGTAGAGTTTGCTTCAGAACTAAGATATACAATATACAGTCTGTACATATGTAATGTAAATTGTATTTGCATGGCTATTTTTAGATACTGGCAAAAACAAAACTTCTATGCAATTTTTGATCCAGAAATGATAATGCAGTGAAACTAAACCTTGTAAGCTCTTTAATCAAGCAGGCCGCAAACTTTGTAGGTAGTCATAGTGTTCATCTCATACTATATCAAATCAGTATATGTATATACATAACACTAAATAGTCATATTAAAAGACTTGACTTGCACTGACTTTTAACTAGAAACAATTGCTAATGCACTAAGTGTTAAAGTCAATGAAGTGAAAGTTAAGAAATTTCAGCTATGCTATTAACTCATCACGCAAAGGGTGTGTTTGCTAATTGCTATGAAGCTGTACACATATAGTCATCTAGCCTAAATTAGGCATATATATGACAGATAGAAATATATAACAGAATTTCACATCGCACCAGGGTGCATTCGGTGTAGACAAATCGGAATATCTTCGGCGTAGAGTTAGGGTATCCTTGGCGTACTGGCGTAAAATCAACTTTCCTTGGCGTAGCGGCGTACACTGTTTTTAACTTGTCGGCGCATAAATACCGGATAAACACACCAAACTTTGTAATTCAAAGGTCCACACACACACCGACTTCAACTGCATGCATTTAAGTATTTTAACGACAACAAAGGCATTTAACTTTTTAAAAATGGTCCTCTAAACGTGTAGCATTTTTTGACTCATGAGTCGAAGGTCCTGGCGAGTATGCGACCGGCGTAACGTCCTGGAGTGGGTAATTGTCGTAAGTATGGTCCAGGGTGGGAAGTTGGCGTAATGTTAAGATTGCTTTGGCGTATCTTCGGCGTGTGATATACACCGAATGCACCCTGGACATCGCATCCTGCACAGAATATATCATCCATAAATATAAACACACTCCTTTTAAAAAATAGATAAACACAATATCTTAGCTTACCAATAGACAACGTGTACTTTGACTGGCATGTTGAATCGGTAGTAAGAAAAAAACGTAAGAATCGATAAGACAAATTTCTAAACTTGTGTTGTAGACGCTGCCTTAATTAAGTTCCTTTGCAAAACCGGAAGTTGGCGGTAAACACGTAATATATACAAGGACTTGAAACTAGGGAACAATGGGAATATGGGGGATAAGTTTATTATTCCTAATCTTACAAAATATAATTAACTGTTACTCACCCCAAGTCCATTACGTCATCTTTCCTGCATAATGGTGGTATAATAGACTCAAGTCACTCAACAAGCAAAATTACGTGAATAACTGGTCTGACTATGATTCTGAAATAGAGTCGAAATATCACCAATTGAATAATTCACGGTGTCTTGTGTTTCCTATAACTGGAATTTTGAGTTTTCAAGATGCCTTTGTTTATCGGTGTATGTTTCATTTTTATTATCAATGGCGTTTCGTTTTTTTTTATTTGTTCTTAGCAGAGTGATATGAGGTTGCTGACGCGAATTAAATTGCTAACGCGACAATTGAAATCAACCATTTTTTCATTACAAAATTGTGATTTTTGTAATCACACCCGGCCTCTGACTTTACACCAAATTGCACTCTACCCAATTACCATTACATATTTTTTTTAAATTGTTTGCTGGTGAAGGATTTCACCCAAGTTCCCCACGAAATCACAATATATATAACAAAATATGTGTCTAATATGATAGATAAATAATTTATGCAAGCTTAAAAAAGCAACTTGTAATATTTATTATTATTCATTAATCATTATCATTTTTATTCAACATTCGGTTGATGTTGTCAAACATGTATTAACCAGAGTTGCCAGTGGTGTTTCTGTTTATCTTTATTCTGCAAGATTTTGCATTATTGCGCAAAAAGCCTGGAATCGAACAGGAGAGTCATCCTTATATCTCATGAGAATGTCAAATACATAGTACATCTTTCTCCCCAACGAAGACAGGCGGAAATCGACGTCTGAGAATGGTTTCGACCTTGTCGCGAATTCAGAATGGAAGGCTTTTCATCAAACGAAGATGCTAACAAAGTAAGTTTTTGACTTTCGAGATCCGTAGAAACCAACGTGTTTGTGTGTTGCGATGTATCCCGGCTATATAGTTTGCGGTGCGCGACTAATCTGGCCAAACAACTAATATCGATAGATATACCTGAGACCGTTCTCGATCTATATCGGCCAAGTGTGGGTATCGATCTAAAAAGATCAAAATCATCAAATCGAGATATATATTTGAAAACAATTTTACTTGAATCTCTAGAATCAGGACGTAATGCCACAACATGATCATATAGAAATTTAAAGCGTATAATCAACTCTCAGAAAACTTCCTGTGGTCCGTGGGTCAAAAGAATTGTTATAGATAAGAAAGATTTAGATAATAGAAGTAGAGACGGTTGTGTGGCAATGAAAAGCAACGTTATACCAATATTTCATATTCAGTTTAGCTTTAAAGACCATGTCATATGATAATAACGAGGATTGTTTTGTCTATCGTATATACAGTAACGTCGGAAGTTGTTGACCTACAATTGATTTAAACCTGAAATTAGTGAAATACTACTCTTTCCCCTTGATTTGTCCGTTTAAAGGCACGCAAGCTATAGTATTTAATGCCATTACATGCAGGTATTTAATCAGTCAAATAAATATTGGTTTGTACAAAGAGATTTGTATACCGTTTCAATGAAAAATGTGGTATAAGACTTCTTAACACTTAGTATATCAAAATATATCTATAACTATATAACAACTATTCATCAAAAAAGAAAGTTCAAGACGAATTCAAATGTGCCTAAATTTGTGAGCGTGTTTGCTTAGATTGTAAGCTTTGGTTCGCTTAAATAGCGTTAAACTTCCGTTCTGAACTTTTGTTATTGTAATTTTCATCGAAATCCGGTTTATACTGAGAAAACGGAAATTAAAACTTGCATGGTATTAATCCACGGGACGCATTCTCCGGCAGGCGTGACTGATGTATTTACTGAAGCTCTTCACTACAAATTCCCTGAAAAATTCAGTCTGTAAAATATTGCAAATCATGTTTCATACTTCTAGGGATTTATCTCTTAAACCACTTCGTTATAAACAACAAAATTGCATGATTGAGGGCTGATTAATTGAAATTTGGAAGATTTAAGCATACAATATAAGGTCGCGGGAAAATAGCAAAGTTCAATGTTATAGGCTAAATGGCATTTTATTCGATCATTCCCTCAATGGTAGAGATAGTAAGATGAAATCATTTGTGAATGTATGTGATTTTAGCTACGATAATTTCGTCGTTAACTCAAAGAAAATGGCATATTCTTACTACAACCGCTTCATTCTGCTCCATTTGAGGCGGCAGTGATTGTGTTTTTCAAGGTAATAGCTCGGCGGCCATACCACCGGGAGATTTCAATGGCGCAACGTTTCTAACAGACGTTTGCGCAAAATTTTGTTTAATGATGTAAACTCTTCGAAGAAAACAGAATGGAAGCTTTGTAAGCTTTCCTTATATATATATCAGTTTGCTCAAGCGCTTTTTGTTGGTCCTAGTGCTTTTTGTTGACATCGATCGCTATATTTTGTTCTTATATTTTTCGCTATACTCGCCAGGCGAGATAGATTATCTTCATTCATAGATATAATTATTATTATTTAAGCCGCAAAAACCATTATTTTGCCGTTTTATAGGGTACTGACAGGTACGGACAATGTTTGTTGGAAGCGCAAAAGAATGGTTATGTCGAATGGTTTAATCCATCTGGAAGCGGGAATCGATGCTTCTATGAATGTATCGCAAAATTTGTATCGCAAAATGTGGACGATACTATAAGTTTAATAACAAATTATATGAAAGAACATGACACCGTCGTTATTAAAAATGACGTAAGTTAATGTACCCTATAGGAGTACATAATTATTTAAAGACTGCATGTAGATGTGAATGATTGTTTTACACTGTATTCTCCGCTCTTCCCTGTAGAATGGTGTTGATGAACGCAAAGAACTTTTGCTGTTTTTCTCTGATGCAGATTTTCCACAACTACCTGAGCGCCCGAAAACTTGGGATGAATGTCTTGTGGCACTTCGCGATCAAATGGCAAACGATGTTGTGATTCGTTCAACAGCATCATGTTTTAACATTAACATAAAAGTTCTTCGGTGGGATGGGGTAAGCGATTCCGCCAGGGAAATAAACTTTTACGCGTGTTTCAATGAAAAATCCGTTGCATGCATGAGTAGAAAATAATATATGAATATTCACACACATTTATCGCTAGTTTCGTAAAGTATAAATAAGTATAAATTATATTCTTTCAAAATTTATTTTGCCTTGCACGCTTTGGATCACGCGAAAAGTCATTTGATGTTTTTTTATGGCAAACCCATTCTTTTTATAAATCTGCCTTAATCTGATAAGCGTTGTATACTTGTTTATTTTTATCAAAATAATTTTGGGCTTTTGTATAGAACATTACAGAAATTACGCCGTTTACCAACATCGGAAAGACCTCTGTTTTTCTTGCATACACTGGGATACATTATTTTCTCTTGATCAAAGAAGAAGAGAGTTCTTCTGTCCGATCTAAATCAGGTAATGCTATAATTAGAGCGCCTATAACTTCTGCATGTACGCCTTTAATGAAATTTTTATTGGACTAAAGCATAAGATAAATTGTTTCTTTAATGAACTTTATCAAATGATCTAACTCATGTTATAGGCCAGTATTTCCCGGACCAACTTTATTTCCAGAATTATTCTACTTCATCTTTTGACTCCGGAAAAACAGATGGTGTGATTAAGGCCAATTACAAATGGACTGAGGTATGTCTGTCCTTCTTTTTCGTAACTCCTCTGTTTTATGCGTCAAACTTTCACATAAAATGAAATTATAACTTATTAAACGATATCGTATATTATTGTTTGAATTACATCCATGCAACGCAACGGAAGATATACAACTACACATAAAGGCTTCCCAAAAACCTAACCTTAGACCCCAGGCGCACTCTAATAATCTTTAAAAAATTAGCGTCGTATGCGTATACGTACGTAAGACCCAATATATACATGCAGGCATACCAAAAGGTTCTTTCTACCGCGGTAGTGGTTGGCACATAATGATAAGTGTGATCCAAGTAGGTGAATTAATATATATAAAGTATGAAATTATTGCTGTGAATTTGGTTTATAGGAAGGAAACATAGTACAAATGAGTTCTGATGGCGAAAATAGAAATAAACCACAAGAGGTGAGAAATTCAGTTTAGACACCTAAATCTATATTCTGTATATTTATACAATATAGGAAGCCGTTATGTTATAATACAGCTAAACTTGCCCTCAAGAATACAGTTCTTTAAATATTGTATATTTTCCGTCAAGAGTTCGGTTTACTTAATGGACTTTAACCGTATAAGAAATCTTTACCATATATAAGAACTTAATAACTGAAAAGCTTTGCATTATACCGAACGACTTTGCTTGTCACAGCCTCCTTGAAATTAACAGTCCATATACTTGTAGATTATAAACAGCATGTATGATCTCGATCTTTTGTGTCAAGATTGCTGCATGTATGGACGACGTTGAAGAAAACCACGAATGTAAACCTCGGTTTATATATTTTATTGAAATTCTATTTCGTTAACTAGCGTGAAGAGGCCTCAACAAAAGTGACAGAGACTCAGTTAGTTGACCAATTTTCGCATCTCAGCACTCAAAATAATATGGCAGAGAAATATAAGAAAGAAAGGGATGTTGCTTTACTGAGAATCAAAAATTTGGAGGATGAAATGGAAAACCTGAAAAAGCAACTGAAATATAAGGATCTTGGAAAGGATGAAGAAGATGGGACTAGGATAAGAAAAGAAACGAAAATCTCTCAAAAGGTACGTGTATACCTTGCAGAATAATAAATAGTAATGTAGTCATGTAGACATAAGCCATATGATGGTATAAAAATAAGGTCGAAGACTATATAGCATTGCAAAATGTACTTATTGCTATGCACTATATCAGTGTAAAAACAATACCAATTTAAAATTCCCTCATTGCACCAATTTTAACTAAAATCTTGGGTACGTTCCAATACAAGCATGCAAGGAGCAGCGTGGCAGCGTCTTCAAACAACTTCGCTTCTTATGTGGTGTAAGAACTGCCTATAATAGACAAAACACCTATAGGGGCCTTCGCCTGGAGAGTCAGTATGGATTACAAACTCTCCAGAAGAAGGCCCCTAGGTCGAAACGTTGAGAAGTGTTTTTAACTAAAATCTTGGTTGATACAAGAGCATTGATTCCAAAGAGATGAAGCTATAAGACAACCCTCATTCTAAATTAGTTCTTTCAACAATCTGTTTTTATAGAGTGTAGCTATGTATGTGAAATGATCTAAATTTGTTACTTTTCTGGCAATCCCGCTTATTACATCAATTTTTCTTTTTATATTTTACATTTTGCAGATTGTTCCTAAAGAATTGACAGGATTCGTAAATCCATTCAATTGTAAAGTATCATGTGGCCTTAGCGTTATCTTGTTCGTTTTTTTTGTCATGGGTTTGCAAGTCTGCAATAGAAGATTTATTAGCAAGCTGTCTGAGGACACTGTGAATTGCAGTACGTCCTTGGACTATTTTTTTAAAAATGATTTATTAACTCCTGGTCCTGTGGGAAAAAGGTTTTACAAACTAATCACTGATGATTATACCGTCCATCATGCTCTACAAGAGGCAGTTAAAACATGTATGCCAGGCGAGTCTTATCCCGCCCTACTTGTTTTTCATTACAAGAAGGTAGATGGTAAAATACGGGCTGGTCATTGCGTCGCGATTATGCCTGATGGCGTGTTTATTGACGTTCAAAAAAAACGATACTGGAATCCATTCCATTTGAGTGAGCCTATCAGTCATATCTACGTTGTAAAAGTAGACGATTTTTTCGCTAAATTATGGGTAATCGGTTGTCTACTATGTGATTGCGAGTATGAGTGTTATAGGTCACCAGATGACCTCAACTGAAGACAATCACCTTTAAGATATCGGTACCTGATCCCGCTGGAAGGAGACATCTTCGAGACCCCGGCAGTGTAACACATGGAAACTTAAGACCTTTCTCATAATGACACATCAAGAAGAAAGGACGTAGGCAAAATTTTAAAATTTATATTTTGAATAAAATTGTACTTTTTGTAATGTTCTCTTCTTATATTATATTATAAGAGAATTAAAAATATTGTCTGGTGCCATAATGGTGTAATAATGCACTTGGAATATCTGCCGCTTACGGTTCGTATTTTGCATATCACTCATTTTGCAACAATATCCCAAAAAATATATAGTAAGCTTTAATAAGACGTATAAGCTTTAATTGCACTCGTCAAGGAAACATATTTTGTAATAATAATAATTACTATATGTGTATAAGGATTTATGCACAGCAGAATGATGAAATAAAAATCGTATTTCACTGCATGCGTAAATTAATTTCATGCAATTTGATTGTACGTACGATATTTATCACGTGTGAAAAAATGCCATACATGGCTTTTGATTGGACGTACGATATTCTTCACACGTGAAAAATTGTCGTATGTCATTTTGGCGGCAATTTGTTTGCATTTTCTTTTAAGATGGCGTAGAAATATAGGAGTGAGATTCAAAACATAATTCTCATATTCAAGATGTTTCACATTCTCAAATCTTTCGGAAAGAATATCTAACTTCTATTGAACAAAATTACAAAGAAACTGAACGGTAATAAATATGTTTTGATGCATAAAATTTCGATTTTTGTTGCTCGCAGTGTTTTTGAATATTAAAAGCGTGTCGTTGTCAAATTGATTTCTATACACATTTATTAAACAAATTACTTCATGGTTGGCGCGTTTGTACGATTTTTATTATAAATTCGTTTTGAAGGATCGCAAACTCACTCCGTTGCTACGCTCACTCGCTCGTTTTGCGATCCTTCACAACTTGTGCATAAAAATCGTACGCACTCGCCTACCATGAAGTAATCTCTATATAAAGCTCATACTATGGATAGGTAATAATATGATTTCGAGTACAATAATTACGGATCAACAAGCACAAGTGAGTTTTTAAAGGCTGTAGATTGCTGACGATATGCTTAATTGCCTTTCCACAATTAACAAAGGATACATACACCGATACAATTTTTCGTCTTAAAAACGGCGTTTTACTCATTAAATTCCCTCAAGCCACCTGCCAAGCTCGCTGGAAGTCATCACGCGCTGGCTGCGCGTGGGACACGAAACAATCATGCAGCAAAAGACACAGCTGACGTTTCAGAGTAAAAATAAAAGTAAAAATACCAAACTGACTAAAGAACAAGCATCACAGGCTGTGAAGACACTTGGAGAATGGTTTCCTGAAGAGGCTGAAAATTTAAAAGAATATCACGACGACATTGTGCGCCATATTTGTCAAGGTAATGTAACGCTATTTAGTATATCTCTTTTTCATTGTATTCTTACAGGTGCCGAATATTAAAGTTATTGACTGATGAGAATTATTGATATTATAGGTATTGAACATTGACCTATACTAGATGGACTGAGCGCGCAACCTATTTAATTAAGAGCTGGACCACCGTTGGACATATCATAAACATCATATAGGTCCTTTCTCTCATGCGCAAACTTGCTGACCGAAAATAACTGGCTCGGGTAATTCGGATTTTGAAGTGAATAATATTAAAAGTTGATTGAAATATGATGTAAATTTGTGTTATATTTCACGCATTTGTGTGCACCTATTGTGATTTCTGGATTCATTGCGCAGAGCCTGGAATCGAAGCCCACGTGACCACATGAACCTATTAACCGGCAACGGTAAGTCCCCTCAGACCAGACAAGTTCGCTAGAAACTCAAAGTGCCAGAAAATAGTGAAATATCAAAATACAGTAATTACATTATTGATTATAAAGACCACAGTTTTTGTCAGCAAAGAAGAGAAGATTCAGAAGATAATGGATTCTTTTGGTTCAAGTGAAGAGAATAACGTGGTACGTGTATGCGTATATTTGTATAATTTAACAAATACAAACAAGCGCTATGCATGGCGGCTATGTTAAACCGATAAAGACCGATTCCATTGCATCAGCTTCGACATAAGACTCGATGAGAAAACCCAAACGAGCGAAATCTAATTCGACATTATACAACAAAGTGTGAAAAATTTAAGCCGCATGTTTAAACACATATTGGATATCTGCATGCCCTTAAGTCTCCTTTATTATTTGGATGCCCTTACTTAGCAACCGAATTCCCGTGAGTATTCCCGTGTAGTTGAAAGATACTGCTCACTCCTCATTAGGATATTTACTTAGTATTTCAATCAGTAGGGTAGAACTAACGTCAAAAATTCGCATTAGATAAACAAACTGTGGTTTATAGATTGATTGAGAAATTGGTTTCATAAAGAATATCGTCTGTTTGTTTACAGTTTGTGCACGATATGAGATTTATTTTTGTTTTAGTAATATCATGTCTATATGTACAGTTGTATGCAACATTATAGCTATAATAAAACCTATATTCGTCACTTTCGCTTTCTCGTTTTTCCAAGAATCACTAGTGATAGGGAACTAGCTTAAGTGTGCCGATTACGGCTAACGCCAACCTGCTGAAAAACTTTGTGTTTAAAATTCATTATCTCAGAGTGACTGTGCAAAAAATTTGTTAGATAACAAACGTTCTACGTCAAACTAGTGATATTTAACATTGATGCAAGCAAGCAAAAGACCATGCTGGCCTATATATAGAAAACCCTTCGTTGTGTCTGTTTTATCATTATTTGCCATAGAAATTTAATGCCTGAATGACTGCAATGGCATACAAATGTTGAAGCACGTATATAGCTAATTCAAATTTACTGTTTGACTAAATAGTTATACATTTGTAATGCTTTGCTTTCTTACATCTACGTCTATGTTTAAGATTTAGGGAAATTGTCGCACGCCTGAAGATAGTGTAGTCAAAACCCAAGTTCTTTATTCTGATTGATTCTGAGTGTTACTAAGAATGAAAGCGGAAATAAGTTACTAGACACTTCCGACTTTTCATATGAATTGTTTTAATTAAGTTATAAAATCACGTGCCATTGGACCAGCTGAAAATTTCAAACATATCAGACTGACGATGATTTTGAAAATCCAAATATCACAACCTTACTTTTGGCGTCTTGATTTAGTCTAGCTATATCAGATATTCTTTCCCGATGATTAAAGTATGTATGTATTTAAGAAAATGTCTCAGAATTTGCGGATTATGCCTTGAATCGCACTGGTATATTTACACCATCTTGAGAAAAAATGTGCACAAATTGCCGTCAAAATGCCATACGATATTTCTCTTCACCAGATCCAATTTTGTCGAAACCAATTCATTTTTCAGTGACATATAGAATGTAGTCTGTTCATTGATAAAGCAGCAACCGCGTTGGCTTTCATGAATATTCCGCCGGCCTGTAATATATCCATTACAGGTCAATACGACAATAGGCTGCAAAACAGCCATCAGAAGTAATTGTAAAGGAACTCCGTCAAAATTGGACTGTGTGAACAGAGCTAGATCGATTTTGTGCTCATGATTATGAAAAAATTACAGGTGGATGACAGATACCTTCAGTGTCTAATAGCAGCGAAAAAACGAGGATATGTTTTACACAAGAATCCAACTAGCGCTCAGAATCGATGCTTTTATGAGTGCATCGCAGAAACCACAGGAAAAACAGTAGAAGAAGTCATCTATTCAATCACGGAATACATGTTGCAAAATCAGTTTGTTCCCAAAAATGGTATCGACGACGACGTAAGTTGCATATATCCATTTAGCTGTTAAGAATTTTTAATATGTAGAACGTCGCTTTTGAAATGAAATATTTCTGGGGTTGATAGCTGTTGTATACCAATGGTTATGAATTATGAAATATTAATATTTTGAGAGTTTCTCTCAAAAGAATTGCGGATGATCAGTTATATAGGGTATTTAGTGAATCCTACAAGTAAACGCTCTGGGATAATAGAAACGGAAGTCAGTAATCCTGACTAATACTACCATGTGCATGCATGTGTTGCAGTCCTTTCAATCTTTTCTAAACAAACTTGCAAGCATTTGGACGATAATGCCGAGTCGCTTTTTTTGGTGAAACGCTATAAATGACGAATGAATGTCGCTGAAAAGTCAAAAACGTCTTTGATTTCGATTATCCCAAAGCCTTCGTTTCCGCGCCCGCAGCCAGTGGTTACATAAGTGGGTTTCAAAGAATTTGTGTTAGTTTCAACCAAAGAAAAACCCCACACATATTCATTGGAGTTCTGCCAGGGCAAAATCACAGTGATCATAGTTTTAGTCAAGTCTGATTTTTGTTGTGCGTTATTCGCAGGATGGTGATGAAGAACCTGAATTCGAAGACCTGTTGTCCTATCTATCCGACGCAGATTTTCCGCATTTACCCGGGCGTCCTGAAACATGGCGTGAATGCATCATAGCTTTGCAGGACCAAATGGCTAACAGTGTGGTCATTCGCTCGACAGCATCCTGCTTTGCCTTGAACATAAACGTTATCGATTGGAATGAAGTAAGCAATAATTTCGTTCAGCCACATGATTTTGTATTTGCATTAAAAACATTAAATATGCACAGCCGTGCTTTCTTGCGTATAACCAAGTGGGCTGATTTGAAATCACCTATCAGGCTATCAACTGCACGAAGATAGCGGTTGAATGGTTCATCATTTAATGGCATAATGATAACAATTTGGAAGCAAACATTGTGTTTTTTGTGGACCCGAGATCGGTCGGTAATATCGACGGTCGAAGGTCCACAAAACATAAAGTTTTCTGAGGTCGCGGTTCACTTAAAATTATTTTCATATAGTTCACTTAACTGAGGAAAACAGGAGTAGGGATGCCAGGCAATGACACCGTTTATGGGTTATGCTAAATAGTTACACTATAATTCGATCAAAGATATAGGTTCATATTTACCTGTCATATACATTGCTCATGGATAAACCTCAGCGCATGTAATGTACGCAAGAAGCTTCATCCCATAAGACAGCAATATTTTCATGACATTATGACCGGAAATTATAGATACAACATCAGTCAACATTGGCACGAGGCATAAAAAGTGTATATCTTACCAGTCCATCCATCTTTGATACTCTCTCACCAAATTTGTATATTGTTTTCCAACCAGTGTATATCTTCATGGCTTTTAAAAGAACAGCTGTGAAACTCCTTTTGTGTATACGTTGAAAATATATGTTGACAATATATGGGTTACATATATATATTAAACACTTTTTTGGTATAAAAATTTGCCTAAACTCTGTGTAATATTTTTTAAAACTCGCTCTTCAGATTTGTTGTCGTTTTCGGACCCCGCGCGGTTTGCCTCCCAAAAATGGCGGGCGGATAAGGCCTGGTCGCATAGCATGAGAAAGATCCAATCAGTGAACTCAAATAAGACTGGAACGCTCACTCTGTCGGAAGTTTGAAGCCAAGATGGCGGACACTGGAGCCTTTCTTGTAGGTATTATCCAGACCTCCACGCGGAAATTTCGTAGGTAAAATAGCGGCAATTTTTATTTTTCCTTTGAAATTTCCGCGCCAGAGCCGGCCTGGATCATACCTACAACTGATCCCCCTCTTGGCTTCACTCATTAATGAGGGAAAGTCAGAGAATGAGCGTTCCAGTCTTCCGTTCAGAGTTCACTGGCTCAATACAAGAATTGCTGTATCAAATTTCTGGTAATGGCGCATAAATCACCAACGTTTCATCTTGAAACAAAAGCAAACGCAATATAGAGGGCCGTTTACACTTTAAATTTTTGCTGCAATTTTCTTCTTTTGATAGATGTGAATGAGTAATTAGTTACGCATGCTCCGATGTATAAGAACATTTAATTAAACATGAGTAACTAATTCACTCGTATTCAGTTCCAATTAAGTTTGAAAACATTGACATGACAGTCATTCCGTTTAAACTTTCGTCTTTCATATTTAGAACCTGACCGAAATTGCACCGTTCGACAACAAAGCTGAAACATCGGTCTTTCTGGCTTACACGGGACTTCATTACATGCTTTTGAAACCTGATCAACCGGAGTTAGGTAATATGTATACTGATGAAGGTAATACCCATTGAACCGTCGCTAGGAGATTATTAATTGGGGGCCGTACATAATATTAATTGTTAAACTTGTCTTAAAGGCTGTTTACATGATCCCGCTCAGCCGAAACGCGAGATAACTTTGAGGTATTGAAATAAGTGTATAACATGATCCTGCAGGCAGTTTTGTAATCATTTTGACAATAGCATGTGCTTGTTTGGTTTCATAAAGACCTATTTCAATACCTCAAAGTCATCTCACACTTCGTTTATTCTCTGCTAAGCGGGACCATGTAAAAAGTCCCTTACTCCCCACTTATTTTTTTTGTTATATATAGCCATTGTTTTAAATGTTATATCAACACATAAACATCCATGAATGTACATCCTCCCAATCAAGCTTCTAGCGACGGCCCTGTTAAACCTTAGTATTTGCTAATGTAATTTTTTGTATATTATTATCGTCTCTGAGGTTGCTATAATACGTTGTGAAACAGAAATCAGAATCAAAACAAATCAGATCGATATATTAACTGACTCCACGTTAAAATGCAACCTTAACAGATGCGTATGATCTTCTTAACATATTCCAATCCCAGGAACGTGAATATTAAATGTTAACAAAGCTGTTATACTTTCTTCTTTTCAGGCAACGACACAATGATATTAAATATCTGACAAATCAAAGAAACACTGCTTTTTGAAAGCTCACAAAACTTATCTGACGTGTGTTGAACACACGAAATGAAGTAGCTATAATATAACGACGAATGTCGATCTGTTTCCGTTTTGGATCAATCCTTTCTACTGTGAGTAATTTTTTTACTTACAATTTTTAGAATTAGACAACGTTGATGGGGCTCAGCCACTACCTTTAACTGGTTTGGAAGAGTTTCAGTCAATACACCTTGAAGAGGTAAGGACACTGCAGATCCATGAAGTTCTCTGACATGATTTCTTAAAAATTCATATATCATAAGGAATTAAAATTACATAGTTTTAGATCTTCCTTTACATAGACATATACCTATAGCTAAACCTAAAAGTTATAGATAATCTTATTAACGTTGAATTTCCTTAGCCCCATCGTCTTGTATATATATTATGTATATATGTTGCAACTACAAATTAATTCAAGCAAAATCATGTTCAATATCTAAATTTGTTACAAATGACGTCATCCGTGTTGAAGTAACGCCATGTAAATTGCAATATCTCGATCGATTTTTTTTCCCCGAATCTTCTAGGTTGGTTGTTGTTTGAGATAAATTTTGCAATTTTTTGACCTAGGATGATAGAAAATTCGCAGTTTTGGAACTCCAATTTTCGCGTCTTAACATTCCGGACGATTTGAACGACATAGTAATAGAAAATGCGTCACTGAAGAAGGAAAGAGACGAACTGAAAAGAGAAAACGAGTACCTGAGAAGAAGGTTGCAGTATTATGAGGTAAACATGTTAATGGTTTAGAGCAATGCATAGTTACGACAAAATTTACTGAACCTAATGTTATGATGCTTTGTTTAAGTTCATTTACATTTGATTCGGCGCATGAAAAGTTCGACGTTTGAAATCAGGCCTAATACAGTTTCCGACCAAAAAGTTTATAAGTCTTACTTTGAGTTACTTTTTGGTTTGATTTCTGCAATTATTTCACTTAGCCTGTGAAATATCAGTCTTCCGTGCACATACTACTCTCTGGGCCAAGGCATTATTAATGTACAATTTTTGCGCTTGTCTGTAATTGTAACAATTTTATTTCAACAGAACGTTCCACATGAAATGGAAGGATTCAAAAGCCCATTCAACTGCGCTGTGTCATGTGGTTTAAGTTGCGTCTTGTTCGTTTTCTTCAAAATGGAGTTGCAAGTGTGCAACAGACGATTTATCAACATGTTTCCTGACTTGGAATGTTGCAGTTTAGCCTTGAACCATTTCTTCAATATTGTGCGTTTATTGATCGCTGGTCCAAGAGACAAAAGTTTTCACGAAGAAATCACGGAACAATACAGTCTTGACCGTGCTTTGGAAGACGCCGTTGAAAAGTGTATGCCAGGCGAAGTTTATCCCGCCTTACTTGTTCTCCATTACAAGCAGAAAGGTTCAAAAATTAGGGCTGATCATTGTGTTGCAATCATGCCAGATGGTAAATTTATTGATGTTCAAAAAAAACGGTACTGGAAACCAAACAAAAGTGACAAAAACACTATCAACAGTATCTATGTTGTAAGAGTTAACAAAAAAGTCGCTGAACGATGGCTTAAAACATGTGGACTGAATATTTGCAAAGGTGAAGGTTATTACGATCCTGAAACCAACTTTTTTGGATGCACTGACGACCTGGACTGAAGGAAAAAGTTTCCGACTTTCTATTGCATGATATTCTATAATTATTTGAGACGCAGGTATTCTATATACGCTCCTTCATTCAAACTTCGATGTAAAAGGGTAATGTATATCCTTGTTTGCGCTGCACATATTCGTGCTCTTCAGAATGAAGCATTAGCAATTAGTTGCAACAATAGTGCAATGCTTGAGAAGAATCGCGGCTTTTACCTCCAAAAGCGTTGCTGCAGCAAGGGATGGAGAACACGTTCCAGAATTTAGCCCACGGGGTTTTCCTGGTTTTCGTGTCCGGCTCAGCAAGATCGCATTGTACTCTATCCTCATGAACTGATTACAGATCAGTCAGATCTATATGCGCGTGTTTGACGGGAGCATGTCATTGCAATGCATGTATATAATGCATGAAATATAGCTATCACGACCGATATTATTATAGAATAGATGCTAAAATGTTCCATTGTTGTGATGTTCTGTATACTGTCATGTCATGTAGCTACTGTTGTAAACTTATAACCATAAATGGTAAAACCGGACACTATAATGTGACTAATCAGGGAGCAGTCACAATTCATGTAAATAGGTAAACACATGCACTCTTGCATTCTTCACTTGGTAACTTGGTATCATGTTGTTGTTGTCTCAACCTCTGAAGCGTTTTACTTCGCGTAAATGAAATGGCATCAAGCGCAAACTTAACAATACCAACTCATAGCTTAGCTTTATAAGAAGCAAAATGTATATAATGTGATTAACGTCAGCGTAACAAAATCACCCCCGTTTAAACAAGACTTATATTTAGTCTTCGCTTGTCACCGCATTATCTTTTGCGCAGAAACTTAAACACTTAATCGGTTCGAGATAGAGGAGGCGGTTTTGCTGCACGCAACTAAATGCGGGGTTCAAAACACAATTTCTATTCGTGAGGTGCCAGTTTTAGAAAAGTCGAACTCTTTGGCAATTTCACCACGATTAAGACCGGAGCGCAACCCCTTAAACTGAACCATATAGTGAACTTTGCTGTTTCAGCCTTCATGCATAATTTTGATTCTGCACTCAATCATCCTTAAAAGCCCTGTATGTATGCATTGAAGGCACTCTGTATTATTTTTTATTGATTTCAGTTTTACTACAACTTTAATTTACAATAAAATTCAACTTCAATCAAATTAATAAAATTTCAATTTCAATCGAATTTGATGACTAATAGTATTTTGGACGTTTTGCGAACTAAGCAATTTCGGTACGTACTAGTTTACTAATTCAACGTCCACAGTCAGAATACAGGTAACCGGCCAGTCTATTAACAAACATGTGGGCGTTGTTTGTTAGAATATTATAAGTATTTGATCTTCCGTATCTTCTTGTCCAGTCCATCGCGTCCTTCAGTGTGCACTTGCTATAGCTTTCTCGTCTTCGTCGCCAGGTGATCTGACAGGAACTTGGCCTACGGGACATGTAGTAACTTTTGTTGATGCCCCATTCGAAAACCATGCCACGAAATAAAATTATGCTGTGACCGGTTTTCCATGGATAGATAACCCGACGTTTTTTCCTTCTTTTCAGTATGTCATTCAGGGTCATTTCACCAACATAATAATCGCTGAACGTTCCTGGAAAACAAAATCGTTTTTGCTACAGGTGCGCAAGCTTAAAATAAAACAGGAGTTGTTATATTTCCTCCAGGCATATATCCACGAGGTAGGAATTTCAAAATATCTGTGACATCTCGACTTTATTTCATTTCTATTATAGCTACAAGTATATAATACATAATAAATTGCTAGGATTATTCAGTACTAAAATTAGACATTTTTTCTTTAAGTTCTATATAATTTAATGATGGGTTTTAACCTAAGTATTGAGAGACTTTGAATCTAGCAAAATTCAATGAACAGGTTTATCTGATTATCTTCAAGTCAGTCACTGATTAATTCGGATTAAGGACGTATATGTCCTTGACTGTCGTCAACTTTATTGCATGATCTCTTGAGTATATATATTAATCTTGATAGGGCTAAATTTGTTATTCTGGATATAAATATAGTTATATATATATAGATCATTTCAAGTTCTCAAAATATGAGTATTCATTCATGTGACTGCTCAGTCATCGATCACTTTCACCACATAAAACTCAGCAGTATAGGGTGCCTATTTTAAGGCCGGTTTACACTATAGCAAAGTTTCTGTGCGCATAGTATGCTTTGAACGAAGCGTGTGTAAACACCTCTCAAAGAGTTTGAGCGAAGACTTTGAAGGGCTTTGAACGAAGTGGAGCGTGTTCAACTTTGAACACAGAACTTTAAAGAAGCCGCCACTTCGTGGGTTTTTCGAGACTATTGCGGGGGAAACGAGAGCGGTATATGCACTGAGCTATATATGGGTATATGTGACGGGAAAGTCAAAAAATTAAAATGCATACCGATGTTTCATTCCAATGTGCTGATTAAAACAAAAAGATAAGGAAGTGCTTTCCGTTTACGGTCGTCCATGTTTGACTTGTTGTCTGTGCAACAGGAAATACTGTGTGCTTCGACCTTGGACAGTATAAACGTCAGCAGTTCTACCCAAACAATGTGCTCACATACGAGACGTCACTGTGCGCACAGATACTTTGCTATAGTGTAAGCGGCCGTCCCAATAATTTGAGTGCATGTAGTTTAAATTGGGCTTGAATTAATGTCTTACAGATTACCCCTCCTAAATATTCAGGTGAAATCAAGATCTAGCTGAGAATATTTATTACTTACAAGTGCCTATACCGTTCTTTCATGAAGTCTTAAATTTCTTGTCTAACGAGTATAACGCCTGTATTCTAAAAGCTCACTCACACACAAACTCATTGAGTGGGAAATCTAAATCTTCTTGTAACTTTTCTATGGCGGCATTTCCATTCGAATAAGAGCTTGAAGTTTCACCTTAAATCTTTCCTTTGATTAAGAATGAACATTTAACATTCTCGTTCGTTGATCAGCAACAACAAAATTGTAATGCTTGTAAATTTACAACACCAGTTCACTGCATGAAGAAAAATACTGATGCAATACTAATTGCGATTAAATTATTAAGCTTGTTAATGTGCATGAATGACAAATTATTCACACATAACACCATTTTGATATCCCGTATTGAATTCGATGCAAATAGACGGTATCGTTGCACCATGTATGTTTTGGTAGAGTGTGAATCTCGACTCTTAATGCTCTTAAAATTTACAATTATATATGAAAAAAAATATAGATACTGAAGATAATATAAACACTAATTGAGATTTTACTATTAAGCATGTCACCATGCATGCATGAATGACAACGTACAATTCAATGTATGATCACGATTTTTATAAAATATTAGCATCTTCTTACCAGCGACACTCGTTGACGGATAATTACATCGTGAATGTGCGGATTTCGGGATTAGTATTAAAAGTGCGAGGGCAGCAATGAAGGTTAGATAATCCATCCTGAAACTCTTCAACGAAGCCTAAGAATAGATAAGTTGTGATACTGTAAAATATTTAAAATGATAGAAATTCCTTCTTCGCCAGATGAAAAATTCCCGAAATGAATTTTAGCACGCTATAGTTTCCAGTGTGAAGATCAAATTTTAAAATTTTAATTAGAGGAGCTTTAAACTTAAGTTCAAGATAATTAAGCTGGTTTTATGTAAACCTGTCAGGGTGCATTTAAGATTTATTTTAAGAGTATTTTTATGAAATTATTGAAAACTAGTTAATCCTTAAATTTTTGTGTAAGACCACCTCAAGGAAAACAATTAATATATAGTCAATATTTTCTGACAGGTTTGTAACAGCAAAGATAGTTTAAATCGGTAAATAAGTTTAACTTTTCTACTTACATGATTTATATTCTCACAGGAGCTAAAAATACAAGTTAGGTCTCACGAGAAACGCAAGTGAAAGAAGAAAATCCTATTTTAACTGTTTAAATACATGCATGGTTTTGAAACATGCAGCATAAATTATGAATCACAAGCCATTTGTTTTATAAGATATAGGTATTTCAAAATTTCGAAACCTTTTGAAGGAACTTTCCATTTTGTGTTATAGTTATCCTGACATAATTTTTCAACAGAATGAGTCTTTTTGATTTGGGCCAGTGCGGTTAATATTTTGTGTATTAGCGCCAATTTACGTCGGGACCATGATACATTAATGGCATCATGGCATCCTGTTCCAAAGGTGTGTCCAACATATCCAGTAACATAATGTCGTGCAGTGATAATATACTCGCACTTGATTTGAAACTTTTGCAGTTTGTCAGCTCTATAATAACTACCAAAAGTTTCCCATAAAGGGTATAGAGGCAATGGAAAATGCTTTATCGGAGTTCAATAGATAGTCTGTAGAGTTGAAGCCGAAATTGTTTTCAGTTATTAGTTATAATTAAGTGAATTACGCATATATACGTTGGAAATTTTTCATTAGTGATATTACCAGTATAAATTAATACTATTTTTTTCACAGTATAAGACAGTCTTGTTTTACCTCTTTTAACTGCATAATATTTTTGTACCTACCTCTGAATTTACTTCTGAATCGGATTGATGAATTGACTGGTGGTGCCTACATCGAGTTTAGCAGATTTGATTTCAGTTACTTCTTTATATATCCACAAATCTTGCTGCTATTTTTATAAAGGCATGTTTCATAATCCGTCTTAGTAAGTTTAAAGTGTTGCTCTCTTGCAAATCGTTAATTAAAAACGATGCATACCAATAACGATTTTCACAGAGTTATACATATGAAGTATGCAAGTGTGACTCAGTAAATCAAATTTGTAATATGATTTTGCTGCAGGAGACATTTAAATTATTCATCAAGGATTTAGCTGGATATATACAGTAGGAGGCAAAAGTTTGAGTCCAGTCGTTGTAGAATTCCAGTATTAAATCCTGGCAGCGTATTCGAGTTAAGACATGCGTGCTAGTGTTTCAGTACTGTGAACTATATTAATTGCACACTGCTTTGGTCCTAATGATCTAAATTATAACAAAATAAAGTTCTCATGCCTTTACACTGCCCAAGATTGGTGGGAAAAAGGGCAAAGTGATGGTGCACGAGGACAAATTGTTGCATTAAGTATTGAAGGATTCTTTCCTCGTACGATCGCAGAAAAAGTGAGAATTTAAAAAGGTGGTGTGCAACTAACCTTGGAGAGGTTCGAAGAAACTAAATCCTACTCAAGCAAACTGTAAGTTAGTCGGTCATGTTCGGTTTGGCAATATTGAAAGATATAAATCATATAATAGGATCCTAATTAAAGAAAAGTATCGTCCAATTCTTCAAAGACATGGAATTTCATCTGGTACAAAGAGGATCGCCCGTCTAACTACATGATAATCACCCTAAGCACATGCATATCTTCTATGTGCCAGAAATCTTTTAGAAGCAAACTCGTTTTGGTGATCTCGTTCTCATGGCTTTCCACCTCAAATTCCAGATCTAAAACCTATGGAGCGCTTCTAGAACCGTTTTAACCGGAAAAGGGCGAGGCACAGACCCACCTGCAAGGATGACTTGAGGCAAGTGGTCAACGAATGCTGGCAAGGTATTGAACGTGCGACAATAAAAACCTTTGGAATCTATGCGAGCAAGAATAAAGGTCATTTCAAGAGGAAAAAAGAGGGATACTAAGCATTGACATGTAATGCATGTTTGCACATTAACATACGTAAAATGAATATCATAACATCTCATAGTTGTTGTAGAGCATGTATTTTTCTGTTTACTTATTTACTTTTTTCTAGTTCACTTATCGGTAAGGTTTTCTGTACAATATTAATATATGCTGCTAAAACAATGAAATACAGTCACTAGACTCAAACTTTTGCCTCCCACTGTATGTAATAAGGGGATTTCTTACATACTGATAAACTATAGTTTTTATTACATCGCGTTGCAAGCAAAAGCGAGGTCTTAATTTCGGTAGCGTTTTCCGCGTTTTTCGTCCGGATCCAATAGTTCACAACCCCCCGGCGTGGCTTGCGGGTCGCTTCTAATACACTCAATATAGTCTGCCTGTGCGGGCAACTAATGCGCGATCGCACGTCGCCGGCCATGATGCACTAGCTGCATTCTGCATTGTTTCTTTCCACGAATCGGTAAATAATGTGGTTGGCAAGTGTTATTCTTCTCAAGTGTTATTCTTCTTTTACGCTCACGTTACATACAAATGCACACGCCGAGCGCAGTAAGCCTATATGCACGAAAAGATGCTCAGAGATTTCTGAGAGCTCTGTTACTCTCATAAACTCATCGCCGGCCAACTGCTGATGGCATGATAAACTCGTAAGACTAAGTCATAGTATAGTATATTAATCGGTGACCAAGTAACTAACATCAACCAAATAGCCCTCAACGCAAGCAACGCGAGATTAATCATGCCCTGTGGGCATTTGTTTCCGTTATTTTGTCAACTAAACCATGATAATTTGTTTCAATGGATGCGTCTCTGCTTTGTTAATTTGATGACTAGCTTATATATATAGCAACAGCGTATTATAATATGGTTATGGAATATGGGTGCCTTAAATCATGCAGTGCCTTCTAAAATTTTGTAGCAGGAAGGCTTACAAAATCACGTGTAAACAGACTCAGTATGCATGGTGCCAATTTCTTTTGACTATACCAAAAATTAAGCGTGCCGTGCCAAAACTGATCGTGTAACGGGACTTAAAGCTCCTTATTTTTCATGTAGTTATGTTGTTCATGTATATCGTTATAGGTATATATAAAGCTACTATGTACATGGAAAAAAAACATATCACAGTATGAATTCAATGCAGGTTTTATTTTTTCTGATTTTTTAGTATACCATTGTAGTTTTGTAATCAAACTATTTCAATCAATATATAATTACGCATAAATGGGAGTATCGATTTATTAATCAGAGAAGTAATTTTTCATAAAAAGTTTGCATTTGGTTCAACGTCCGCAGTCCTTATACAGGTATCTGGCCAGTCTATTAACAAACATATGGCAGTTGTTTAATAGAATATTATAAGTATTTGATCTTCCGTATCTTCTGGTCCAGTTAATCGCGTCGCTCAGTGTGCACTTGCTAAAGCTTTCTCGGCTGTTGCGCCAGGTGATCTGACAGGAGCTTGGACTACGTGACATGTGGTAACTTTTTCCGATGCCCCATTCGAAAACCATGCCACGAAATAGAATCATACTGTGGCTGAATGTCCATGGGTAGATGGCATTACGTTTTTTCCTTCCTTTCTTTGCATCAGCCAGGCTCATTTCACCAACATAATAGTCGCTGTATGTTCCTGGAAACCAAAAGGTTTTTTTATCAGACTGATTGCAGTAAAGGAAAATCGTTTCAACAGTCTTTTGTATCGACACCGCGTTTACGTTTTTAGGATGATTTCAAATGAGGCATTTTCACGACTTTTCCAGGTTTTTAGCACGTTTTTGGTAATATTTCAAAGTCCTGGCAACTAGCATAATCTATTTACCGCAGCTTCTTATTTTAATCAAAATATCTGACTTCGTCGAGTTAATTAACCGCGTCGCAAATCGTAAACTTATTTTAATATTAATACTGAACTAACGGTAAATACGCGATTCTCCGCGCGGAAGACTTAGCTTGTAACACAAAAAATACAAATAATAACAATCGCGAAACCTAGACTGTAATTATCAGCACATGCTTACCAGCGCGGCTTGTTGATGGATAATTACACCAGGAATCTGCAGAATCCGGGATCAATATCAGAAATGTGAGAACAGTAATGAAGGTGAAATAACCCATAATGAATTTTTTTCGTAAAAATACTATAAAATAACATAAAAGTCCATCGATAAAATACCTCGAAAATTTGGTAACTTAAGCCCGTTTCAGACATTGAACTATTCATGTGCCGAATCAAATGCAAATGAACTTAAACAGTTTCAACTCATTAACATTAAGTTCAGCACAGGAAAAGTTCGATGCCTGAACCTGGCGCTTTTGCATTTTCTGTTACCATGCAACTAAATGATATGAAATTTGTGTACGCTTTCATACGAGGTGTGTAACTAATCTATATAGTTCGAGAAATTTCTCACGTAATACGGTATAGAGTTACTTGCAACTATATATGATATGAAAATTGTGTACGGTATGTTTTCAAGCGAAATATATGGCCATATATATGCACTGTAAATCGATTTTTTGTCTATACACAGGCGATAAAAAGGTAATTTTCGGAAGAGCATACAAAAATTACCGAATTTGTCCGCGAAATATTGTAGAGTATTGAAAATATAGTCATGCGAACCTAGCAAATTTTGCGGTATACTTTTCTATCTCAGCTGGAAGTGTGTAACTAATTTAGTCAGAGAAATTTCTCACGCAATACAAAAATATACAAAATTTGCGAACTTCGCATATATAGCTATATCCTATCGCGTTTCACGCAAGTTCGCAAATAAACTTTGCAATTATACATTACTCATATATTCTTGTATGCCACTTCCATTTATGCTAGTGTGTGTTTCTTGTTGCCCAAATCTGAAATTAGTCTATGCCGCATAAGGTTCATCACGATCCACGACTCCAATTTGTATTTCGAAATTTGCTTTTGTGCTTATATCGGACAATGGCAATGTATTAAATATATATACCGTATACTATATATATCTTATACCGTATGTACTATATATATCTTAACTGCATTTCTCACCTACCTGGTCGAAGACTTATTCACGAATTTGGAATCAATCAATGAAATCAGTGTTGGTAGGTTTAGCTTCAGACACTTCTGGATATTTAAACTTTGACACCATGGCTTTTGTGCTAAAGTTTGTTTTTTTTTAAAAAATTTGATTCGTATAATTTCCGTTTCAGCAAACAGGAACGTTGCTTGGCGATAGAGAGAGGCCGATAATAACAACATCCTCCAGTCTTGACTGTAGTCAAATCATCAAAACCCCCTAAGATTTCAATGATTTCATAAATTGCGCTATTCAAGCGAACTGCAAGTGTAAATGAAAGTTATAAATTCTAGGAGATATGCCGGAATATTTACCTTTTTTTTGCTAGACTAAATAACTTTTGGACTACGATACCTGATATGTGCGCCCACCAAAGGCCTTATTCAGGACAATTACAAGCAGTAAATCGTGCTCTGTTGAAAGAAACCATGCATTTTTATTTTTATACGTCATTACAGTCAACGATGATTGAAGTTTTTTATGTTAAAGTCCCACGCTCAATTGCAAGGGAAACATCGCACCTGTTTCCTCAATTGTAATTTTTTAGCTAAGTATTTGTGGGAAAAATATTGATGCCTCAAATGTTGGGCACGCATTGCGTCTACTGGAAAGACTAATTCATGCAGTGATATCACCGAGTTGGCGCGACGAGTCTGCATGGCTAGTCGATGCTAATTCCTCCCGGAGATTTGGAATTAACAACCGCGTATTGTAATAAAATCATATCAAATCTGAAATCAGAAATTGATATCCTTTGTTCAACTCCAAATTTCAGAGGTGGGCACTTTGCAGCGACATAACTAATTGCTTTGAAAATGCGTCTTTGACAGGCAAGATATCGCATGAACTAAAAAATTCTTTCAGTGATTTCCCACCATTGTCTTACACTGAAATTGTACCATTTATAATTGGAATTATGTTCCAGAAAAACTCCCGATTTAGTATCGGCCGGGCAGGATTTCAGACCCCAGTGCTGAGTCTATAGTGCTGTACCCATAGGCTATAGGCTATAGCTACATGCATCACAATGAGGTCCTGACCTGATACGTGAGCCTTGCGATGTTAGGGCACACAACGAAAATTAAAGCTATAACTAGGTTACCTGCAAGGTAGGGATAGCTGCGGGCATTAAAAACAAATTGAACCAAATATCATATAAGAACAGGATTGGCAAAACTGTACAATTGTTAAATTTTATTACAAAAGCTTTGAAATTTGTGAAATATGCGTCGCAACTAATTTAACAAAGGGTGTGTTAAGGTGAAATTTTTCTTGCAACTTGGAATTCTGCTTGAAATCAGTGAAGTCAATGGAGATATGCCATATGGATTGGAAAAATATCAACGCAAAACACGTACTTTGGCATTTTACATTTCTCAAGAGTAGGGTTGTATTGCAAGTTGCAAAAAAATTGCATCGTGTAACAGGGCCTGAACTAAACTCTAAAGTTAACAAAATAAGAATGTAATCCACCTTTGATGTGTTCGGCGACCCTTCGGCATCGTCGTCTTGCCTTAAATAGTTCAAAGAATTGCTATACTCGTTTGCTGTATTTTCGTATATGGCAGATTGCCCAGACCCACTATGACGATGAATTAAACACGAGGCTCAATGACAAAGATGTAAAAATAAACTTGGAGTATTAAACTAAATTGTGGTCTAACAATAAGATAAAATAGGAAATACTATCAAGCGCAGAGGTGCAAATGAAATCGAAGATATAATCAGTTCCTTCAAAGAATTGCTACTCATCTACTGTATTTACATGCGGCAAGCGACAACGAAACACGAGCCGCAATGACAGATATGTAAAACATAACACTTGGACTTTTAATTTTAAACACTAAATTGCAGGTTTTACTGAGCTTTTTACCCCTAGTAAGCCTCACAGGGCTCACACTGAATTAAGCGCAGTACCGTAGTGCAAATGAAACCGAGAAACGAACAGTTTAATAGTTCAAAAAATGAAATTCGAATACGGCAGACTGCCCAGGCACACTATGACGATGAAACACGAGGCGCAATGACAAAGATGAAGAAGTAAACTTGGATTATCAACACTGAGTCGAAATATAAGTCCAAACAGGCAAAACAATCGACAATATACTTAAAATACGATTTGATAGTCAATACTGTATATGCTAAACGAAAAATCTTGACATCAATGCACGGATATTTATATTGTGAATCAAAACAAATTACAGTAGAAAACAGGCAAAACGACAAGCAACTGTCAATTTTATAATAAATGAAAACAAAGGTGAATGAAGAACAGAATGTATGTTAAATCTGGTCCTCTTCCAGACTTGGACGTTTGACTTTTAATCCATATTGGTATTTAATCCATATCACTGAAACGTTAGATTAATTTGTGCACAACTGCGCATACAAGCAGGCCTGATACAACTGCGTCACTGCGCACAACCACAATGCAACGCAACCCTAAAAATTTGTATTTCACTGCCTACTGCGCCAATTAGACTGCTGCTGCGCTCGCTCGCTTCAGGCTCGCTCGCTCCGCAGCAATCACTGAATTTGCACTGAATAACAAGACCCTTGTACTATTGACAAGAACTTAACGTCTTCGTCATTCTCACTATCTTAATAGCTTTGATCTCGTTGTTCAGTCATCAGCTTGTCAGCTTGAATCTTTTGTGGGTCTTGTGGCCGTTTTTGGTATAAGCTTGGTAATTCCTTGGCAAGGTCAAAGTTTAGTACGCATTTTAGGAGATTGTACATACTTATGCACTCTCGTGTTATTTGTTTTTCAAACAGAGCGGATTTAGAGATAAGAATTCCAAGAGCATTAACATAATTGTTTATAGCTTTGAAAATTTTTGGCCACCTTTGTCACAAAAGTTGCGCAAAAGTTGTTATTGCCAAGTAGAATGTTATGTTAGATCTGTTTGTTAAGTAAAATATTATTTTTGCCAACATTATGTTGGAACGGACGATGGATCCAACAAGATAACGCAGAAATGCTCCCTTGTGGGCGAAAGAGAACGGAAACTTCAAATTGTATGTGCCAAAAGGGAGTCGCCAGTTATTACAAATATAGAGAGCTAAATTGTGCGAGCGAGAGATGGTGAGGAGATTTTCAATAGATTGTGAACTGATCGTGAATAGATTGGTGATCAGAACCGAAAATTGAATGTAAACAGATAGAGAATTAAACGTAAATAAACGAAAATACTTAGATACAGTCCTTTGAATTAGGAACGAGCTTCCCTGAACGCGATTGTGGGCAAAGTTCACGAAAACCTTAATTGACTTTGGAATGTAAGTGCTCCTCAACTTATTATAAATTTAAGGCCGTGATAAATTTTGTAAACTTACTCATGCAGTTTATCTGTTAGCCATGCAGTAATATCGCTAAATTACATATGCGCAGCCATAGGAAAATTACACTTAGCCTAATTATTTACTTGATGTAAAGAATACTTTCAGAGTTGAACAATTATATTTATAACAAAAAGGTAGCAAACACTCCAGTTGCATTTGGTGCATTAGGCGGTTACTGATTATCGTTGCAGACCTCATCGAAGCTACAGACGACGAAACAAGGTAAACATGTGGAACTTTATAATTTCGTATTTTCCTGCTTGCAGATAATCACGTGACTTGTCGCCCAATGAATATGATCGTCATTGGCATTGCCGAAGTTTAACAAATTCCAAGAGATTGTATACGTATATTTTTGTGCATGTTTTAAATAACGCGGATTTAGATAAAACATTCTTGAACTTATTGGCCACCTTATTGACCATGGAATTTTGCGGGCGTCGAATTTCATAGCCTTTGGGGGCTCTTAACATGCATGCCAAACTTAAAATACCAATTCATACAGCTTATCACTTTCGCGGAAGGTCGTTAAGTGAGCCGGGTATAGGGTTTGTGAGCTGATATTTATTCCTGCTTTCATTATATGAGGTGAATGAATGGGAGTGAGTCTTGAAAACTTGATTAGACCCGTTGGCTTTCAAATCCGATGAGATTGGATAAAGCCAATTTTAATGCTGATCGCCGATAAATCCGCGCATGAGAAATGCTTTATTAAATTTAGGGAGTGTGTCAAGGCCGAATCGGAAAGCGTGTTTTTAAGTCGCTCAAAAAGATATTTTAAAGCTTAAAATCTGTATCAAAAGTTTATTTGCTAGTGTTTTACGTCGATTTAAGGGAACTTATTTGTAATTATATATACTCTCTGAGCAAAACTTTCAACAACTACTGCTTCACGTTTGGATACTTCCTCGAATTTCCCCTTCACATTTTCCCTTGCCCCTACAGGAAGTGTGAGTCCCTGCCGGAACGTTCTACCAGTTTAGCCGACCTTGACCTTGAACAATATGCCTTTGACACAGAACCTTGACGACTTGGCGTCACGGATAGCGGCGAAATTAGCGTTGCAGAGTACAGAGCAGAATGTAGCGCTCGATGCCAGCCAATGACCTCCACTGATCTCCATATTTTGTCTTGTTTGGGTCAATGTCACGTGATTATAAATACCTGGAACGCTAACTAACGTGATATTATCATGCCCACAGTAAAGGTTTATTCTTCTTATAAACCCAGAAAAATGAATGTCTGTGGCACGAATTTGATTTTCTTTCATCCACACCCCGCTTGCCTATGCGCGCCTCAGAGTAGTGTTAAGGATAAGTGCAGTGTGATTTTTTTGCCATATGAACACTCCATCCCGCTTGGCTGGGATGATTCGCGATTAACATACATTAAGAGCATGTGTATATATTGGCATATTCGTTTTCTACAATAAAACATCCCGTCGAAGGAACCTGCACTGTAAAATGAACTGCATATAAAGGCGATTCTCCATTACCGTTCGCTTCACCGGCGCGGGCGAAGCGGCCTTTGAAATTCTGTCCATGCGACCGTGACGGGTCTGAAAAACAAAGCGCGCTTCGCCCGCGCAGGCAAAGCGGACGTAATGGAGAATCGCCTTAAACACGCCATCCCGCCTAGGCAAGTTTCCCGGCTAAGCGGGATGAAAACATCCCGTCCCGGCTAGACGGGATCATATAAACAGGCCCTAAGAAATTGGTTCTATTCAACGTCCACAGTCAGAATACAGGCAGCTGGCCAGTCTATTAACAAACATATGGGCGTTGTTTGTTAGAATATTATAAGTATTTACTCTTCCGTATCTTCTCGTCCAGATCTTCGCGTCGCTCTGTGCACTTGCTATAGCTTGTTCGTCTTCGTCGCCAGGTGATCTGACAGGAACTTGGCCTACGTGACATGTAGTAACTTTTGTTGATGCCCCATTCGAAAACCATGCCACGAAATAAAATTATGCTGTGACCGGTTTTCCATGGATATATAACCCGACGTTTTTTCCTTCCTTTCAGTGTGTCATTCAGGGTCATTTCACCAACATAATAATCGCTAAACGTTCCTGGAAAAAAAATCGTTTTTGTTACAAGTACGCAAGCTTGAGTTGTTATATTTCCTCCAGGCATGTATCCATGAGGTAGGAATTGCAAAATGTCTGTGACATCTCGACCATCGCCAACTTTTCCGGTCATATGTCAAACACTTTGCTCAGCGGAAATTCCCGCAAATTATACAGTCAATTTACAGTACCAACGCCCACATATATACTAACCATATACATGAAAACTGAAAAAGAGCTGCATAGTTTAATCATTTTCAATCGCTATTCAAGCGAACTATATACATGAAAACACGAATAGAATTATCTTTAGTTCGAAGGATAATTCTTTCTAGGACGGCTATGTGACATGATTACTAGATGATATAACAAGTTGTTTTTATTACTTCTTGTTGCGAGCAAAAGCGAGGTCTTAATTTCGGTAGCGTTTCCCCGTTTTCCATCCAAGTCCTGTAGTTCACAACCCCCCGGCGTAGCTTGCGGGTCCCCTTGCTGGTCGGACCAAGTCTCAGTATATAGTATATTGATCGCTGACTAATAAATAACATTAACCAAATAGCCCTCGGCACAAGCAATGCGAGATTAATGCCTTGCGGGCATGTGTTTCCTTTGTTTTGTCAACTAAACCATGAATGATAATTGATTTGTGTCAATTGATGCATCTCTGCTTTGTTAATTTGACTTATATAGCAGGAGCGTATTATACTGTATATGGTTATGGAATATGGGTGCCAAAAATGTTTTATTGGGTGTTTTCCAAAATTTTGTAGCACGAAGGCTTACAAAATGACGTATAAACAGGCTCAGTATGGTGCCAATTTCTTTTCGCTTTACCAAAAATTAAGCGTGCCGTACCAAAACTGGTCGCGTAAACGGGACTTTAAAATTAAGGTCGACACACACCGGACGCGATGCGGCAACGCGACGCGAATTTTCAGTTTTTGAGAAGGACATAAATTAATTTCTGGAGCAAAATTTGGAATCTAGTGACGCCAGGGCAGTCAAAATGTATCATCGCCAAATTATCAACACGAATATTATGATAGGTTAAAATTTATTTGCTTTTGGAAAATCAAAAACTTTGAAAAATCGCGCCGCGCCGCGTTGCCAAATCGCGTCCGGTCTGTGTGGGCCTTAAAGCTCCCTATTTTTATGTAGTTATGTTGTTCATGTATATCATTAAAAGTATATAAAGCTACTATATATATATGGAAAAAAACATATCACAGTATGAATTCAATGCAGGTTTTATTTTTTCTGATTTTTCAGAATACCATTGTAGTTTTCATTGTAATAAAACTATTTCAATCAATATATAATCACGTATAAATGGAAAAAGTCATTAAGTTTTTCATCAAAAAGTTTGAATTTGGTTTAATCAACGTCCGCAGTCCTTATACAGGTATCTGGCCAGTCTGTTAACAAACATATGGCAGTTGTTTGATAGAATATTATAAGTATTTGATCTTCCGTATCTTCTGGTCCAGTTAATCGCGTCGTCCAGTGTGCACTTGCTCCAGCTTTCTCGGCTGTTGCGCCAGGTGATCTGACAGGAGCTTGGACTACGTGACATGTGGTAACTTTTGCCGATGCCCCATTCGAAAACCATGCCACGAAATAGAATCATACTATGACTGAATGTATATGGGTCGATGACACCACGTTTTTTCCTTCCTTTCTTTGCATCAGCCAGGCTCATTTCACCAACATAATAGTCGCTGGATGTTCCTGGAAAGCCGAACGTTTTTTTTTTGTAAGACTGATTGGAGTAAAGAAAATCGTTTCAACAGTCCTTTATATATATCGACACCGCGTTTACGTTTTTAGGAGGATTTCAAATGAGTTATTTTCACGACTTTCCCAGGTTTTTGGAAAGTTTTTGATAATATTTCAAAGTCTGGCAAATGGCATAAGCTATTTGCCGTAGCTTATTTCAACCAAAATATCTGACTTGCGACGTCGAGTTAACCGCGTCGCAAATCGTAAACTCTTTGTTAATATACTGAACTAACGGTAAATACGCAACTCTCCGTGACACAAAAAATACAAATAATAACAATCGTGAAACCTATACTGTAATCATCAGCACATGCTTACCAGTGCGGCTTGTTGATTGATAATTGACACGAAGAATCTGCAGAATCCGGGATCAATATCAGAAAAGCGAGAACAGTAATGAAGGTTAAATAACCCATGATGATTTTTTTTTCGTAAAAATACTATAAAATGACAAAAAAGTCAATCGATTTAATACCAGCTTTCACTCGATCCTAAATTGTCATGCGAAAATGCGCGTGATTAACCTATAATCAGTGTAGACTGAATAGAATCGATTTCCACAGTATGCCTATAATTAATCAGTCGTAGTTACATCGAAAATTTGGTAAATTAAGCCCGTTTTAGACATTGAACTATTCATGTGCCCAATCAAATGCAAATAAACTTAAATAGAGCTTCAGATCATTACTCATTAGCATTAGGTTCATGCAGCACAGGAAAAGTTCGACGTCTGAGACAGGCGATCAATGAATTTACTGTTGGTAGATTTAGCTTCAGACACTTCTGGAGGCTTAATTAAACTTTGACACCTTGGCTTTTGTGCTAAAGTTTTTCTTTTTTTTAAAATGTGATTCGTAATATCCGTTTCAGCAAACAGGGACGTTGCTTGGCGATAGAGACAGGCCGATAATAACAACATCCTCCAGTTCTGACTGTATTCAAATTATCAAAAAATCCTTACATTTCAATGATTTCATAAATTGCGCTATTCCAGCGAACTGCAAGTGTAAGTTAAAGTTTTAATATCTAGGAGATGTGAATATTTACGTTTTCTTTCCTAAACCATAGCTTTTGGACTAAGATACCTGATATGTGCAATGGACAATTACAAGCAGCTGTAAATCGTGCTCTATAGCTGTTGATAGAAACCAGGCATTTTTGTTTTACACGTCATGACAGTCAACGATGATTGAAGTTTTTTATATGAAAGTCCCACACTCAATTGGAAGTGGAAACACAGCACGTGTTTCATCAATTGTAATTTTTTAAAAAGTATTTGTGGGAAAAATATTGGGCCAATTTATGCAGTAATATCACCGAGTTGGCGCGACGAGTCTGGCTAGTCGATGCTAATTCCTTCCGGAGGTTTGGAATTAACAACCGTGTATTGTAATGAAAATTATATCAAATCTGAAATCAGAAATCCATACCCTTACCCTTTGTTCAACTCCAAATTTCAGAGGTGGGTACTTTGCAGCGATATACTGAATAAGAGGAAAAAATAGACGTGGCTTCGTTTAGAATATCGCTTTGAAAATGCGTTTTTGACAGGCAAGATATCTCATCATGAATAAAAAAATTCTTTCAGTAATATCCCACCATTATCTTACATTGAAATTGTGCTATTTATAATTGGAATTTTGTTCGAGGAAAATTCCAGATTTAGTATCGGCCGGGCAGGATTTCAGAACCCAGTTTTTACTTTGCTGACTTTTTTAGCAACAGCGTATTATATATGGTTATGGAATATGGGTGCCAAAAATGTTTTATTGGGTGTTTTCCAAAATTTTGTAGCACGAAGGCTTACAAAATGACGTACAAACAGGCTCAGTATGGTGCCAATTTCTTTTCGCTATATTAAAAATTAAGCGTGCCTTGCCAAAACTGATCGTGTAAACGGGACTTTATTTTTATTAAATAGCTCCCTATTTTTCATGTAGCTATGTTGTTCATGTATATCGTTAAAGGTACATAAAGCTACTAAAAAAACATATCACAGTATGAATTCAATGCAGGTTTTATCTATTTTAATTTCTAGTATACCATTGTAGTTTTCATTGTAATCAAACTATTTCAATCAATATATAATTACGCATAAATGGAAGTATCGATTTATTAATCAGGGAAGTAATTTTTCATCAAAAAGTTTGCATTTGGTTTAATCAACGTCCGCAGTCCTTATACAGGTATCTGGCCAGTCTATTAACAAACATATGGCAGTTGTCTAATAGAAAATTATAAGTATTTGATCTTCCGTATCTTCTGGTCCAGTTAATCGCGTCGCTCAGTGTGCACTTGCTCCAGCTTTCTCGGCTGTTGCGCCAGGTGATCTGACAGGAACTTGGACTACGTTTCATGTAGTAACTTTCGTTGATGCCCCATTCGAAAACCATGCCACGAAATAGAATCATACTGTGGCTGTATTTCCATGGGAAGATAGCATTACGTTTTTTTCTTCCTTTATTCTTTGCATCATCCAGGCTCATTTCACCAACATAATAGTCGCTGTATGTTCCTGGAAAGCCAAACGTTTTTTTTGGTCAGATTGATTGCAGTAAAGGTAAATCGTTTCAACAGTCCTTTAGATCGACACCGCGTTTACGTTTTTAGGACGATTTGAAATGAGGGATTTTTACAACTTTTCCGGGTTTTTAGCGCGTTTCTGGTAATATTTCATAATCTATCACTATCAGTTGCCGCAGCTTATTTCAATACAAATATCTGACTTGCGACGTCTAGTTAACCGCGTCGCAAATCGTAAACTCTTCTTAATATACTGAACAAACGGTAAATACGCAACTCTCTGTGAAACAAAAAATACAAATAATAACAATCGCGAAACCTAGACTGTAATTATCAGCACATGCTTACCAGTGCGGCTTGTTGATGGATAATTACACGAAGAATCTGCAGAATCCGGGATCAACATCAGAAACGCGAGAACGGTAATGAAGGTGAAATAACCCATGTTGAATTTTTTCGTAAAAATACTATAAAATAACAAAAAAGTCAATCGATTAAATACCAGCTTTTACTCGATCCTAAATGGTCATGCGGTTGAACTATTCATGTGCCGAATCAAATACTAGTGAACTTGAACAGAGCCTAAGCTCATTAGCATTAGGTTCAACACAGGAAAAGTTCGACGTTCGAAACATGCGCTTTTGCATTTTCTGTTACCATGCAACTAAATGATATGAAATTTGTGTACGGTATGTTTTTAAGCGAAATGTATGGCCATATTTATGCACTACAAATCGATTTTTCAGTGTCTATACTGACTATACACAGGCGATAAAAAGGTAATTTTCGGAAGAGCATAAAAAAATTGCCAAGTTTGGCTGCGAAATGTTGTAGAGTACAGAAAATGTAGTCATGCGAGCTTAGCAAATTTTGCGATACACTTTTTTATTACAGCTGGATTCTGGAAGTGTGTAACTAATTTATGGAGAAATCAGTTTCTCGCGCAATACAAAAATATACAAAGTTTGCGAACTTCGCATATATAGCTATATTCTATCGCGTTTCACGGAAGTTCACAACTAAACTTTACAATTATACTCATTCTTGTATGGCCCTCTTCTATTTATGCTAGTGTATGTTTCTTGTTGCCCAAATCTGAAATTAGTTTATGCCGCATAAGGTTCATCACGATCCACGACTCCAATTTGTATTTCAAAAATTTGCTTATGTGCTTATATCCGACAATAGCAATATATTAAATATATATACCTTATGTACTATATATATCTTAACTGAATTTCTCACCTACCTGTAACCTGGTGACAGATGATTTACTTTCGAATTTGGAATCAATCAATGAGCTCACTGTTGGTAGATTTAGCTTCAGACACTTCTGGATGTTTAAACTTTGACACCTTGGCTCTTATGCTAAAGTTGTTTTTTTTAAAAATGTGATTCGTAATTTCCGTTTCAGCAAACAGGAACGTTGCTTGGCGATAGAGACAGGCCGATGATAAAAACATCCTCCAGTCCTGACTGCAGTCAAATAATAAAAAAATCCTTACATTTCAATGATTTCATAAATTGCGCTATTCGAGCGAACTGCAAGTGTAAATGAAAGTTATAGACTCTAGGAGATGTGAATATTTACGTTTTCTTTGCTAGACCATAAGGCAAGCTGTAAATTGTGCTTTCTTGACAGAAACCAGGCATTTCTATTTTACACGTCATTACAACTAACGATGATTGAAGTTTTTTATGTTAAAGTCCCACACTCAATTGCAAGTGGAAACACAGCACGTGTAATAGTAACTAACTAACTTTTAAGTTAGTTCTTTGATTGTTTTATTTAAGGGGCTAAAGCCTCAGGGTTTTAGTTTCACAAATACCTCGCGCATTTGGAATTTGACCTTTGATCTATTGTAATTTGAAGTGTCGTATAACATTTGACTATAATTTGCGTAACCATGGTATGAATTTTTAACAAGCAAGCATTTTGCGCATGCTATTTCTATAAGAGTATAGGCAGCACTACTGCCTTTAGGTAACCTAGTTTATCGCTATTTTATCATTTTTATGAATCAGCTCTGTACAGACTTCATGTAAGACTTCTGTTATTATACTTCCGTTATTGCAAAATTTATGACGTCATGTACGTTAGTTCGATATGATCTAACGCCGACCTAATAGTATAGCCTTCTCCGCAGGCATCTCTTATGTATTTATATTAGGCATTTATATTTGGCTTGGGTTAGCTGTGTCGGGGAGTAAGAAAAAAATTTGCTTGAGATATTAGCCCCGTTTCCACTACACTAGCTCGATTTATTGGCACGGCACGGCTAAAATGGGTATACCCGTGCCCATTTCATCCGCGCCCAGCCTTTGTTTTGGTAGCCTGAACACTAGTGAAATTGGGCACGAGTACCAATTTTAGCCGTGCCGTGCCAATATATTGAGTGTAATGTAAACGGGGCTATTATGTTCGATTAAAATTCCCGATTTAGTATCGGCCGGGCAGGATTTTAGAAGCCAGTGCTGGGTCTTGTGCTGTACTCTATAGCTTCATGCGCATTACATGCAATTAGGTCCTGACCTGATACGTGAGCCTTGTGATGTCAGGGCACACATCGAAAATTAAAGCTGTAATCACTCAATTTGCACTGAATCAAAGACCCTTGTACTGTTGACAAGAACTTAACGTCTTCGTCATTGTCACTATCTTAATAGCTTTAATCTCGTTGCTCAGTCGTCAGCTGGGATCTTTTGTGGCCTTTTTTGATGGACGGATTCCTTGGCAGGTCAAAGTTTAGTACGCATTTTAGGAGATTGTACATACTTATATATTCTTGTGTTATTTGTTTTTCAAATAGAGCGGATTTATAGATAGGAATTCGAATTCGAAGAGCATTGACAAAATTTTTTATAGCATTAAAAATTTTTGGCCACCTTAATTGACTTTGGAATGTAAGTGCTCCTCAACTTATAATAAATTTATCGCCTTGATAAATTTGTAAACTTACTCATGCAGTTAATCTGTTAATCTATGTAATATCGCTGGATAAAGATGAGATAATAAATAATATACCAATTCTTACACTTAGCCTAATTATTTACTTGATGTAAAGAATACTTTCAGAGTTGAACAATTATATTTATAACAGAAAGGTAGCTAACATTTCACTTGGTGCATTAGGGGGTTACTGATTATTGTTGCAGACCTTACCGAAGCTACAGACGGCGGAACAAGGTGCAGATCATCACTCCTTGAGCAATAATCACGTGACTTGTCCCAAATGAATATTAAATTATCGACATTGGCATTGTCGAAGTTTGACAAATTCCAAGAGATTGTATACGCACATTTTTGTGCATGTTTTAAATAACACAGATTTAGATAAAATATTCTTGAACTTATTGGCCACCTTATTGACCATGGAATTTTGCGGGCGTCACATTTCATAGCTTTTGGGGGCTCTTAACTTGCATGCCAAACTTAAAATACCAATTCATACAGCTTATCACTGACCGCGGAAGATCGTTAAGTGAGCCGGGTATAGGGGTTATGAGCTGATATTTATTCCTGCTTTCATTATATGAGGTGAATGAATGTGAGTGAGTCTTGAAAACTTGATCAGACCCGTTGGCTTTCAAATCCCATGAGATTGGATAAAGCCAATATTAATGCTAAATCCGATAAATCCGCGCATGAGAAATACTTTATTACTCGGGCTACCGTAGGTAGACCGAGTTGTAAAATGGGCTCGGTTTTTTCTTTTGCGTCGCGAGTTTACAAAAATCACGCGTGGGCGGCACGAAGTCTTCGAACCAATCGAAATCGTCCTAGGATCGTTTCTCGCGCGGCTGTCACGAACATGCCATGTTACAACGAGATAATTGTAGCCCGAGTGATCGCCTGAGTAGGCGTGGTTAAATTTAGGGGGTGTGTTAAGGCCGAATCGGAAAGCGTGTTTTTAAGCCAAAAAGATATTTTAAAGCTAAAAATCTGTATTAAAAGTTTATTTGCTAGTGTTTTACGTCAATTTAAGGGAACTTATTTGTAATTATATATACTCTTCGAGCAAAACTTTCAACAAATACTGCTTCACGTTTAGTTACTTCCTCAAATTTTCCCCTCACATTTACCCTTGCGCCTGCAGGAAAAGACAAGTGGGGCAGCTGTCCCTACCGCAACCTTCATTTTCAACCAATTCAGCCGACACTGTCAGTTGAAGAATATGCCTTTGACACAGAACCTTTGACGACTTAACATCATTGATAGCGGCGAAGTTAGCGTTCCAGAGTACAGAGCACAATTTAGCCGTCAATGCCATGCACTTTGCTATGATGCCATGCCACCACACGCAGGAAATACACTGGACGATGCAAAATATGAGAGGAGGCGGTTAAATGTATGGGAAGCCAAAGTGGACAAAAGTAGGTCGAGTATAGTATGCGATAGTCGAGTTGTGTATATGATAAGCGAGTACTGTATAGTCAATACACATACGAAGTGATCGAGATAAATGAACTATAATTGAGCTTTATGAACGATATTCGAAATTATTAACGACAATCGAGTTTTCTAGCGACAGCCGAGATTTTATATACGATAGTCGAGTTTTACGACGGTCATTTCGGTCAGCGGACACGATATATTTCTATGGGGTACTTTGTGTTAAAATAACCTAACCCATCACTCATTTCCATAAATGGCGGATCCTCGTCAGACTGTAAATCGTCTTCTCGATCGCATAAGTGAGTTAGCAGACGCTATTTCGCCGCAAGTTGAGGCAGAAACACGACGCATATTTCGCAATGAAAACGTGAAATCTATCCCAAGCAACACTAGCAGTTCGCCGTCGTTTGTTGTGCGGCAAAATGATAACACGCAACAAGCTGTGATCGAGACACCGCCACAACCTACACGGACACATGGCCCAACTACAGCTACAACCTCACAAACGCCTGCTATGACAGCTGCCCAGCCACAACCCCCAAACTATCGAAGAACATTTGTAGCGAGACGGCAGTTTGGCGGACAACGATCAACGTTTAGAACGCAACGCCAGCGGCAGAGAAATGTTTCGTCGAGGCCAAAGGTCACAGACACAAGACCATTCATGCGCGACTTGGTGTTGTTGTCAGGTCCTGATGATACTATCGTGCCACGTCAGGGAAGTCGCCTAACCTTGATGGAGAAGGGCCATGTAATTTCAGGATGCCGCTTCACCAAGGCAATGAATGCAGTTCAAGTCCACCTTGCCATTATTGAAGCTTTTGATGGAAAAATCCCTGATGGTGTTGACATTGAATTGTTAATGTCAGTGCATACATCATTGGTTGCACCAACCTTGGCCCCTGGGCAACATGGCATTGACGGTGCTATGTTGCAAAGGCTATTCCAAAATAAGCCTGTCTATGTCCGCCCAAGTAGGCAGTTAATCCCTCAACGTAACGAAACTTCACAACAGGCAAGTAGCTAGCATATTAATATTGCTGCTATCATTTTACAAAGGAAAGTTTCAGAGCCCCAGAGGGTCTCAGCTGAGGCATTTACATTACTTAAATAGTATACCTCAAAATACATTAAGGATTGTTATTACACATTATATTAATGACATATTATTGACATATCAAAAATGCAGCACATTAATATTTAATATATTAAATATTATAGCCAACCATAGAGCCAACTGATTTGTTCAGTGTCACAGATGAGGAACTGAACCAAGGTGAGTTAATATTGCAATATTATGTAGCAATTCACTTGGTGAGAGTGTTTAGTTTGACTTTCTGAGTGAAATATATGATTGATGTACATTTGTCAGCAACCTAAACTGTCGACAACTGCACATGTTGAGAATTTGCTTATGTTAAGTAGCTTGTAATTGCCATTTCTCATTATTGTGCATTGCATGGTACCTACAAAGACTCTCTATGCATGGCTGCCATTTATTGTTTAACACAATCAAAGTATGTTACCACATTCCCTATGTTATTTTTAAAAGCTGTTGAAACATTTGAAGAACAGATGTTACGGACCACGACAGCACCATCAACAGATCACCAACCAGGACCTTACAATGTACTACCACCTGACGTGTTGACACCACCTGTACAACAACATTCAGCCCCTGGAATTGTACCACCTGCCACATCAGTGCCACCCATAGATCTGCCAGATTCTGGATTTGTACCGCCTCCCACCACATTAGCCACACAAAACCCTAATGTAACGGTTCCAGAACCAGTTATATCATCAATTGCAATAGATAACCTTAATGATGACATCTCAGGTACACATGTGCATAGCTTGAAATTGAAATAATTTTAGGGCAATTTTATGTATCAAATGTTCCGTAAGAATTCATGACTAAAAATGACTACAGTGTATGAATAGTTTTCTTAGATCATATTTGCCGTACAAGTGTTTTCAACTTAGCTATGTTCAACCTTTGCGGTCAAAAATTTATGGAAAAACATTTTACATTGTATATACAGTATGCATGTGGGATTGAACGGAATGTCATGTTTTTCTCTTTAAACAAACCCTTACACTGGACAACTTTAGAGATTCTAATGATAAATTGTGTATATTTTTTAATCCTAGTTGCTTCGGATGATGATTTGCCTCAAGTCCTGTTTGTAGAGGAATCGGCACTTAGGCATCCAAAAGAAATCTTTGTACCACGAAGCAACCTGTTAAAAGAGGTGATTGAGCAGTTCAAGGTTACAGATATTCTGGACTACAATATCACATTTGTTATTGTGGCAGATAACAACACTCCAGAATCAGGTCGTGGTAGTGGTGTTACGCGTGAAGTGCTTAGTATATTTTGGAAGGAATTCCAAGTTTCTCTGGCAACTGGAGCGTCTGAAAAGGTGCCCTCTATCCGGCATGACTACCAAAAAGATCAGTGGGTTAGCATTGCTCGGGTACTAGTATTCGGTTTTCGGAGTCATAAGTATTTCCCCATTTTTCTGTCTAAGGCATTTCTTATCACATGCCTGTTTGGAGAAGATGTCCTAACAAAGGAAACTCTATTTGATTCCTTTTCCTCCTACATGTCAACAGATGAAAACGATACAATGCAAAAATCTTTAAAAGGAGAGATTGCTGTTGACGATGACGACCTGCTTGATTTGTTAAGCAGTTACAAATGCTATCGCCAGCCAGCAGAGAATAGCATGCAAAAAATCTTTGAAGAGTTGGCTCACCAAGAGCTTGTACAAAAACCAAAGTACATTGCAGATGCATGGGGTCCTTATTTACAGCCATTAAAAGACTTCCAAGAATTCTTGGATGTCAACACCATGAGCACGCTGTATGAAGAGAAAAGGCCCACCTCAAAGCGTGTCATAAAGCTGCTGAAAGCTGAACCATCATCAAATGCTGAACGAGAGTGTCTTGATCACCTGAAACGGTATATTAAGTCCTTGGGTGAAAGCCAACTATCAGGTCTGTTGCAGTTTGTGACGGGTTGCAACATTATAACTGTTGATGAAATTTGCGTGACTTTCACAGATGCAGTTGGCATTAGTCGCCGCATTGTTGCACATACTTGTGGTCCTCTTCTTGAGTTGCCATCTACATTTCAAACATACAATGAACTATCTGAAGAATTCAGTAAAATATTAGCAAACGTGTTCGCCTGGTCATTCGAAATTGTATGAGTTATAGATAGGTAATAGTGGTTTTGATAATCAAATTGTAAATATCTGTTATGTTCTAGGGGTTTTGTTTTAGGGGTTTTGTTGATTAATGAACTGAACTGGTAATTCATGGAGTAATTATATCATTAGATTTCCAATACCATGGATATATTAAAAGACGTATTAATTAAGATGAATATTTATTAAACCACATTTCCTTGAAATTTTTTACAACCTAATCAATGCACATTAAAATTTATACAATCTACATATACATAATTATATATATATTATTATATATTATATATATATATATATTATATATATATATATATATATATATAATATATATATATATATATATATATATATATACTGACTATGGTACATACTTTGTGCAACCCTATTTAATTTCCCCATATTTTCCACATAAATATTTATGAATTACAATTATGCAGTAAATTAGACTAACCATTTCAAATGCATAGTTTGGACACAATGGACACATTGTGCCTCAGACACATCTTAGGATATTTTCCTTTCGGCATTTTTGCAAACATTTTTCATAACATGTATGTGAAAATAGGTTAAAATAATACAATTAATAAAAAATTCCTGAGAGTGTGAAAAGGGTTTTCTTTGCTTAAACCTAAGTGGTAGAAACACACATGGAAATTCCTAAAATATTGTGTCTTTGTGATGTGTCACGATGAAATAGTTAGTAAACCTTCAGAAATTGCCTAAAATATTCAATATCTTAAGGTAATGATCTATTCCATTGTTACCATCATCTTGTAAAGGATCAACATGTTCTTGAAGATAAGAAACTTGGTCCTCTGTGAGTTCAAGATCAGAATGAGGCACAACAATGTTATTATCAGTGGTTATTTCAGGCAAAGGGCCACTGTAATCAATTCCGTAAGAGGTTTCACTGATCACAACTGGATCCTCTGGGCCATTTTGAATGTTGGTGTACCAGAGTGTCAATGGGGATTTGTGGTTAGCTGATCTTATTCCATGGTGATTCCACTGACTTTGAAACTCTGCTAATGCTGCATTGATGCGTGGGAGGTACACATAATGAAGTGCATATAAATGGATTTCATTCAATGAATCTAGCAGTTCATTATTCTCTAAAAACTGGAAAAGGTCTTTGTAAAGTGCTGACAAAACCCTATTAACTTCAGCCCAGAGCCTTTCAATTCGCTGATTATGTACGCTTCTACCAGCGATGAAACTACCTCTCTCTATGCCTCTATTTTCCAACATAAAACGTGCCACATCAACATTTTCTACACCTTGATCGCCCCTTACTCTGGATGGTAAACCAAACTTCGCAACTCCGCTTTGAAACAAGTGCAGTACAGTGTCAGCTTTATTGTTTAAACAGCAGTGTAAGTAGATCACTAATCGGCTAAAGCCATCTATGCAACCGTGAATGACAAATCGTTGGGAGATCAACTTGTGGTTTGAGTCTATGTGCCATAGGTGATTGGGACCTTTTACACTATACACACGGCGACAAATGGCATATCTTCTTCGTATGCTCCTCCCAATAGGATCAACACGGTGAATACTTTCTCTCACCCTTTCTCTTTGAACATGGATATGTCGCCCTTTCAAACCTCCCCTGACATAAGACTCACCACTATATGGTGTTAATTGTAGGATTTCCACAACATGTCTATCCAGATCACTGTCACTTATAGTGCAAAAATTTGACGTTAACCCAAACTCAGCTCTTCTTCTCTGCAATGTTTTCTCTGATATCCCTAGAAATCTTGAGATGGCATTCCAGTTCATACCTGCATCTCTTAATTGTTCAACGTGTTCCTTCTTTATGTCAAAAGCAGGTCTTCCTCCTGTGCTCGGCAACGTTGATGGTACATTAGTTAGATTTTCTGCTACTGATAGTTCCACTACTTCAGATAACTTTACTTGTTCATTTTCCATAGCAGACAACAATTCGGAAAGAAGCGCTGAAAGTGAAACGCCAGTCTGGCCAGAAAGAGCCGTTTCATTTTCACCTTCTGACACTGCCACAGCCATTGCAACAATTATAGCGCCATAATTTTGTAATTTGCTTTTGCAATATTCAGCACCCACTGTATCTTTATTCAGATACGCTTGACTACAGTGTCTGAGAAGATTTTGAATACTTAAAAGAAAATTCCGCAGCTCTTCAACGTCCGCCATATTTGTCGCGTTTCCCGCCAAGAAGAAGCGGAAGAGTACAAGTCCGCTGACCGGTATGACCGTCGTAAAACTCGACTATCCACCCGTTTCGTCTGTTTCCATACGGCTATTAGCCGGTAAAAAACACCCCAAACGGACGGGCTGTCAGCCGTGTAACGTACGTCTGTTTGTACGCTGAGTTCTGCCAATTATAGTTTCTACAGAAATTCTTTACCTAAATCTGAAGTTAAACGAAAAATTACGTTTATAATTTTAAAGAATGAAGTGGTAAGATACTGAACTTTAGAAGTACATGAGATTCTGCTGGAAAATGCGAATATTTTTATTTGTTATGAATTTAATTCTGGAATAAACGACGCCATCTTTTACAATTACAAGATTCTAATAATGTTTCTTTGGGCTATGAGTCAGTCAATTGGAAATAGTTTACTCTTATAACAGTTTTTAACAGTTTTATTGTGGTATTTTTCTTTAATTTTTCAAAGTAAGGCAATTTTGTTAGGCATCTGGCTTGATGATATAACTAGTATGGGGTACATATTTATTTTGGTTTCTTTATATCAATGGTTTATATGAATTATGCAACTTTGCAATGATTTATAGGTAAGGACTGCAGAAACTGTAGGTCAAATTATATCAAATATGTACCATCTAAGTGATATTTGCTGATATGTGTAAAAAAAGTTGCCTAATTCAAGCCTTCTGTTCCTGTAGTCATTCATCATCATGATGGTCTCACAGAAATGGAGAAGGTTGCTCAGCCTACAAGGTTTTTACAAGAAAGTAATGATGATGAGATACATGAGCAAATTATATTTTCTGAAATAGAGGATGAAGGATTAGACGAGAGGATCAGTGAAATTGATAGCACAACTCCTTATCAAAAAGCCCAGAGAAAACAAAAAGGCTTAGGATGATATCAGAACAGAAATGTTCACTATAGAACTGATCATGGAAGTAGAGATACTTGTAGCATACTTCGTCATGCAAGAACCATGCATATGCAAAATAAAAGCTATGGTACTTGCATGTATATATATATGTTATTGACATATATGTGTCAATAAATGTTGAGAAGTATTTTAATGATTTTACTTTTATCCACAGGCATTCTTAGTAATTGTAGTGTGGACTGTGCAATCTTCCTCAGATTGTTCACCTATGTCATATTTCTTTAATCCTATCCTTTCTGTTATGCAAAATATATGTAATAAATAAACCATTGGGTGTGTAGTGGTGGTATATTGTTGTCGATATTGTTCTTGAAAAAGCCTTTAATGCAACCATAACAAAACACCATTAATATTATAACTATAACATTTAAAACACTGCATGTAGCTCTATAACATATACCTATGCTGTATGGTACATGGTGTATAAATGCTGATATTACATAGTTTGCAGCATGAAATCATATTCACGGCTGGCAGCTGTATAACGCACGTCCGCTGTATGGTATATGGTGGTTGAATGCTGATAATAGAGAGTTTGCAGCATGAAATCATATTCACGGCTGGCAGCCGTATAACGTACGTCCGCTGTATGGTATATGGTGTATGAATGGCTATTAGAGAGTTTGCACCATGATCATATTCACGGCTGGCAGCCGTTAAACGTACGTCCGTTGTATAGTATATGGTGTATGAATGGTGATATTACATAGTTTGCAGCATGAAATCATATTCACGGCTGGCAGCCGTATAACGTACGTCCGCTGTATGGTATATGGTGTATGAATGCTGATATTAGAAAGTTTGCAGCATGAAATCATATTCACGGCTGGCAGCCGTATAACGTACGTCTGCTGTATGGTATATGGTGGTTGAATGGTGATATTAGAGAGTTTGCAGCATGAAATCATATTCACGGCTGGCAGCCGTATAACGTACGTCTGCTGCATGGTATATGGTGGTTGAATAGTGATATTAGAGAGTTTGCACCATGAAATCATATTCAAATCTGGCAGCCGTATAACGTACGTCTGCTGTATGGTATATGGTGGTTGTATGGTGATATTAGAGAGTTTGCAGCATGAAATCATATTCACGGCTGGCAGCCGTATAACGTACGTCTGCTGTATGGTATATAGTGGTTGAATGGTGATATTAGAGAGTTTGCAGCATGAAATAATATTCACGGCTGGCAGCCGTATAACGTACGTCGGCTGTATGGTATATGGTGGTTGAATGGTGATATTAGAGAGTTTAGAGCATGAAATCATATTCACGGCTGGCAGCCGTATAACGTACGTCTCCTGTATGGTATATGGTGGTTGAATGGTGATATTAGAGAGTTTGCACCATGAAACCATATTCACGGCTGCCAGCCGTATAACGTACGTCCGCTGTATGGTATATGGTCTATGAATGGTGATATTAGAGCATTTGCACCATGAAACCATATTCACGGCTGGCAGCCGTATAACGTACGTCCGCTGTATGGTATATGGAGTATGAATGGTGATATTAAAGAGTTTGCAGCATGAAATAATAATTCACGGCTGGTAGCCGTATAACGTACGTCTGCTGTATGGTATATGGTGGTTGAATGGTGATATTAGAGAGTTTGCAGCATGAAATCATATTCACGGCTGGCAGCCGTATAACGTACGTCTGCTGCATGGTATATGGTGGTTGAATAGTGATATTAGAGAGTTTAAACCATGAAATCATATTCACGGCTGGCAGCCGTATAACGTACGTCCGCTGTATGGTATATGGTGTATGAATGCTGATATTAGAAAGTTTGCAGCATGAAATCATATTCACGGCTGGCAGCCGTATAACGTACGTCTGCTGTATGGTATATGGTGGTTAAATGGTGATATTAGAGAGTTTGCAGCATGAAATCATATTCACGGCTGGCAGCCGTATAACGTACGTCTGCTGCATGGTATATGGTGGTTGAATAGTGATATTAGAGAGTTTGCACCATGAAATCATATTCACATCTGGCAGCTGTATAACGTACGTCTGCTGTATGGTATATGGTGGTTGTATGGTGATATTAGAGAGTTTGCAGCATGAAATCATATTCACGGCTGGCAGCCGTATAACGTACGTCTGCTGTATGGTATATAGTGGTTGAATGGTGATATTAGAGAGTTTAAAGCATGAAATCATATTCACGGCTGGCAGCCGTATAACGTACGTCAACTGTATGGTATATGGTGGTTGAATGGTGATATTAGAGAGTTTGCAGCATGAAATCATATTCACGGCTGGCAGCCGTATAACGTACGTCTGCTGTATGGTATATGGTGGTTGAATGGTGATATTAGAGAGTTTGCACCATGAAACCATATTCACGGCTGCCAGCCGTATAACGTACGTCCGCTGTATGGTATATGGTCTATGAATGGTGATATTAGAGCATTTGCACCATGAAACCATATTCACGGCTGGCAGCCGTATAACGTACGTCCGCTGTATGGTATATGGAGTATGAATGGTGATATTAGAGAGTTTGCAGCATGAAATCATATTCACGGCTGGCAGCCGTATAACGTACGTCTGCTGTATGGTATATGGTGGTTGAATGGTGATATTAGAGAGTTTGCACCATGAAACCATATTCACGGCTGCCAGCCGTATAACGTACGTCCGCTGTATGGTATATGGTCTATGAATGGTGATATTAGAGCATTTGCACCATGAAACCATATTCACGGCTGGCAGCCGTATAACGTACGTCTGCTGTATGGTATATGGTGGTTGAATGGTGATATTAGAGAGTTTAGAGCATGAAATCATATTCACGGCTGCCAGCCGTATAACGTACGTCCGCTGTATGGTATATGGTCTATGAATGGTGATATTAGAGCATTTGCACCATGAAACCATATTCACGGCTGGCAGCCGTATAACGTACGTCCGCTGTATGGTATATGGAGTATGAATGGTGATATTAGAGAGTTTAGAGCATGAAATCATATTCACGGCTGCCAGCCGTATAACGTACGTCCGCTGTATGGTATATGGTCTATGAATGGATATATTAGAGCATTTGCACCATGAAACCATATTCACGGCTGGCAGCCGTATAACGTACGTCCGCTGTATGGTATATGGAGTATGAATGGTGATATTAGAGAGTTTAGAGCATGAAATCATATTCACGGCTGGCAGCCGTATAACGTACGTCTGCTGTATGGTATATGGTGGTTGAATGGTGATATTAGAGAGTTTGCAGCATGAAATCATATTCACAGCTGGCAGCCGTATAACGTACGTCTGCTGTATGGTATATGGTGGTTGAATGGTGATATTAGAGAGTTTAGAGCATGAAATCATATTCACGGCTGGCAGCCGTATAACGTACGTCTGCTGTATGGTATATGGTGGTTGAATGGTGATATTAGAGAGTTTGCACCATGAAACCATATTCACGGCTGGCAGCCGTATAACGTACGTCCGCTGTATGGTATATGGAGTATGAATGGTGATATTAAAGAGTTTGCAGCATGAAATCATATTCACGGCTGGTAGCCGTATAACGTACGTCCGCTGTATGGTAATATATGGTGTCTCATTTTATTTAAACCAAAGGTGATGGTGGTAAACACTCATGGTGTGGATGTAGAAAATTTCACCATTCATACACCATATACCATACAGCGGACGTACGTTATACGGCTACCAGCCGTGAATATGATTTATAGCTTCAAACTCTCTAATATCACCAATCAACTACCATATACCATACAGCAGACGTACGTTATACGGCTGCCAGCCGTGAATATGGTTTCATGCTGCAAACTCTCTAAAATCACCAATCAACCACCATATATCATACAGCGGACGTACGTTATACGGCTGCCAGCCGTGAATATGATTTATAGCTTCAAACTCTCTAATATCACTATTCAACCACCATATACCATACAGCAGACGTACGTTATACGGCTGCCAGCCGTGAATATGATTTATAGCTTCAAACTCTCTGATATCACCATTCAACCACCATATACCATACAGCAGACGTACGTTATACGGCTGCCAGCCGTGAATATGATTTCATGCTGCAAACTCTCTAATATCACCATTCAACCACCATATATCATACAGCAGACGTACGTTATACGGCTGCCAGCCGTGAATATGATTTCATGCTGCAAACTCTCTAATATCACCATTCAACCACCATATATCATACAGCAGACGTACGTTATACGGCTGCCAGCCGTGAATATGGTTTCATGCTGCAAACTCTCTGATATCACCATTCAACCACCATATACCATACAACGGACGTACGTTATACGGCTGCCAGCCGTGAATATGATTTCATGCTGCAAACTCTCTAATATCACCATTCATGCACCATATACCATACAGCAGACGTACGTTATACGGCTGCCAGCCGTGAATATGATTTATAGCTTCAAACTCTCTAATATCACCATTCAACCACCATATACAATACAGCAAACGTACATTTTACGGCTGCCAGCCGTGAATATGATTTCATGGTGCAAACTCTCTAATATCACCATTCAACCACCATATATCATACAGCAGACGTACGTTATACGGCTGCCAGCCGTGAATATGATTTCATGCTGCAAACTCTCTAATATCACCAATCAACCACCATATACTATACAGCAGACGTACGTTATACGGCTGCCAGCCGTGAATATGGTTTCTTGCTGCAAACTCTCTAATATCACCATTCATACACCATATACTATACAGCGGACGTACGTTATACGGCTGCCAGCCGTGAATATGATTTCATTCTGCAAACTCTCTAATATCACCATTCATACACCATATACTATACAGCGGACGTACGTTATATGGCTGCCAGCCGTGAATATGATTTCATGGTGCAAACTCTCTAATATCACCATTCAACCACCATATACCATACAGCGGAAAATGCGATATCTGAGTTTTTCACCGGACGATTGTGCCATGTTGAGTAAAGCTCGTTGATAATTTGTCCCTTGGCCCCTGGTGATAAAAGGCTGCACGCAAAACTGGGTCTATTCTATACATGGGCGTAGGAGGCATCCAGAGATTTGGGGGCCAGGGGGACCAGCTTCCAGGGGTCGTTTTGGTTAATAAAAGGGCCTTTAGGGATGGATTGATTGCCAAAACTTTAAGGACACTACTAGCTAGTGTGGTATATATTTATTCTCTATATTCTTATATTTTCGGGGGGGGGGGGAGGTGGGGTGTTTCCACCCGGTTCCTAGGTACATCTTTATAGCACGCGTATCATGTGAACAGTCTCAGTATCTCGGGGAAAAGCCCGCATATTTTCGTGTGTTGTGGCGCAATACTATTTGAATTATTTATCGATTATTAGATGCAAATATTTCGGAAATGAGCACTTTTTCTGTAACAAAATTCCCTCCAGATATTTCACCTGGATATCAGTGAAAAATTCCTTACAGCAAGCCAGACAACAGAGGCCAGACAAGGGAGAAATGCTGGACACAACAGCGCACAATTACAGCATAGTCCCAGGCTTTGTAAATGCGCGCTGCAGAATTTGAGCGCATCATGAAGTCTGGGGCGACCGGACAAACGGACGTACGTTACACGGCTGCCAGCCCGTCCGTTTTAGCCTTTAAACACGGCTATCAGCCGTATGACTTAGATGAACCGGGTGGACTATCGTATATAAAATCTCGGCTGTCGCTAGAAAACTCGATTGTCGTTAATAATTTCGAATATCGTTCATAAAGCTCAATTATAGTTCATTTATCTCGATCACTTCGTATGTGTATCCTCGACTATTGTATACAGTACTCGCTTATCATATACACAACTCGACTATCGCATACTATACTCGACCTACTTTTGTCCACTTTGGCTTGCCATATAAATGAGAACATATGAAAAATGGCTTCTCAGCAACAGCGAAAGTTCTATTATGATTGGAACGAAGGAAAATACAGACAGAGTGATGAAAATATCCGGTTTTTTAAGGAGGTAAGAAAATTTTCCAAGGGAAAATATTCATGATTCCTTAATATAATTTAGCATAAACTTTTACAATAAAGAATCTCCGTAAGGATGGACATATCCGAGTTCCGGACCCTTTGGCGTTTAGCTTTGTTTACGTTTTTGTGACAGTCATCGAGCATCGATATTCCATATAGCTTCATTTAGCTACATTTAGCAACATCTTTGAACTAGAATAATGCAAAAATGTTGTCGTCAAAGAAATTGTATCGTAAAGACATAATAATACAGAAAATTAGTCAATTTTTTATTGCATAATGATGCATTTGAACACAACCGATGTCGAATTGACCGCCAAAATTATCTATCCATGGTTTCTGTTATTAAAATTTAATGATCAATGCTTTTAACGACTCTCGAGTCGGCAGATGTTAAATATAAATACTCCCAACACAACACAGCAAAATTACGAAGGGACAAATTGGAATATTGCTCGCTTCTGCTTCAAATTTATGCGGTCAGAAAGCGTTTAGTTGCTTATACAAATTTGATATACAATTCATCGGTGAATTGTTTCTGTTTTTGCGGTAACTGGAAAGAAAGCTTTTTGTTTGCTAATATTTATCAAACTGAGGTAATCTGGTAATGTAAGTTGTGGAGTGTTTTCAAGTGTTCGATAACAACACCTTTAAGGTTTTTGAAAGATATTATATCTAGCTCGGCTTTACAATTGTTATTGACAGTTAATTTACACGTGTGTTAAGCCTCAAACCTCAGTTGTGTGTTTGGCTCCAAGGTTCGATATTACAAGGGCACATTTTTGGCAAGTTCTGAGTGGAAAATGTATAATGTCCATCATGCTTCAGTTATCATATTGGATCGGAACGCCATATATTGCCCAGTTAGGGTACCAAGTACTGAAGTCTGAGGCTATTAAACTATTGGTTTCATCCCTAAAATGGTATTTGCCAATTATTAAAAAAATTACCCTAGATGTGAAATATATTTGTATACAAGTATAGTTTATGTTTGTTAAATGCAATGAATTTGGGTTTATGGGAAATATCCTTTACATTGCATGTCATATAATTCATTGCTGTGATAATTTTATTCAATTGTAAGCACAACTATAGAATACCTCACAAGTATAATTATCAACTTACATAACTTATTCTAACCCCACATAACCCCAAAATATTGTGGGTAACTATTCTGGTTTATTTTCTTTTATTTTTTACCTATATGTTATATATGTGCAGGATTTAATCGCATAATTTATATATGTTTCTGCAGATGGATTGTAAAGGACATAATCATAGTTATAATATTGACAAAATAAGAAAAGCACATGAAGAACAGAACAATAAGAAAAATGAAAATGTGGTAAAATGTTCTGATAATGTTGATGCAGGTGATGTGAACTTGACTAATATTATATAATTAGTTATGTTATATTATTTATATGATTTATCAGCATCAGGGCAAGTATACGATAATATGGGTCATATCTGTATAACAGTCAATAATTTTTAAGAGACATCAATAGGACAAAATTAATTTAAATTAGAAGGAAATACATGCAGCCATGTGATATGTCATTAAATATCAATTTCTGTGCAGCTTAACTATTAGCCACTTTGGTTAGAGATAGTAGGCCTGGGAGTTGGGGATAGAGTAGAGAAGTACATCTGATTCTACATATTAGGTATGGGGTTTTATTAATTAATCTACAGAGTTACACAATATGTATGTAATTTGTCCTTATTTGTCAATTTTCAGGGCGTGGTTGTGTCAATCACAATAAATTAAATGAATCAAAGACACTTAGTGAGGTAATTTTTTAAATTTAAATTTAATTTGAATTTTTAAATGATAGGAAAAATTTTTCTTAAGGCAATTGAAAATCAGATACCTAGTTATAAATACATGGTACCTAGCTATTCTGATGATCAAATTCTTGTTTCTGCAGTCTGACAATTTGGAAAAACCAGTCTGTTTTTTCAAATGTAAAAAAATATCTAGACGAATGTCAATGGTATGGAAATTCAGTTTTTTTACCTCAAAACACTTTGCCATGGGGGCAAAAATAAAGACTCATCCAATTTTGGGCAAATTTTCAAACATTACCAACTCATACTATTATCAATCGTACTATTAATCCCAACTTGCCATTGTATGATTATACCTATAGTCCTATAATATAATTACTGATATCGATTAATTAATACACAAAACTGTGTATATTTCTATAATTCAGCTATCCAAAGGGCACAAAGTAATGATGTCTGTGCTGAGTGCGAGGTTATTGAGGCTAACGGCTGCCCAGACTTTATGGCACAAGGTTAGTGAGTGAATAATTAAATTACTTTTTTCACATAATTATCAAATTAATTGCAATAATGATTATATATTTCACATTTCAGGATATGAATAGTTTTATTGAGTATATTCTAAGGTGAGTATTTTCCTAAGTTTCCTTAATTTACATTCTTTGTGCCATTCTGTTCCTTGCCGAAATGCAGCAACTTATTGCGGCAACTAAAAGTCTTCAACTGTAGCATCCATATATCATTCTCATTCCTTACAAACCATTTACATATCTACATACTGTATTTGGTCTAGGTTAAACGTCGCATTTTGGTCAGGTCGAATTCAATTCAAAAATAGATAATAAGATGATAATAGACCAATTGCGAAACTTAGTAACCGCGCCTTCGCATAACATGGAAGCGAGGCTTATTATGCAAAAAACAATATTTGTATTTTTTGCAGTACAAAGCTATCCGCCGAGTTATATCCCGGTTTTCGCCTTTGGTTTACATATTTTTCGATACCTTTAAAGCTTGGTTTCATCGTTGTTATCATAGTTTTCAGGTGAGGGAGTTTTGCCTTTCATTTGAGGCGTTTTTGTGATGTTTTCATTAATTTTTTCGGCTGCTTTCGTCGGGGAAATATGGAAAAGGCCGACACAAACTCAGGTAAAAATTCAGTTTTTTCCAAACTATTTCGTCTCAAGTTTTGAAAATTTATATCATTTTTCTTCCTCTTACTTGTGCAAAATTTGGCAATATATATTTGGTGCAAAATCTATGTTTTTGTGACAAAAATTATTGAAAAGTCACCGTCGAACAACTACCATGTTTACATTTCTCATTTAAAATTATTTTACACCAATTTTATCGATCGACAAGCTGTAATTTTACAGCAATTTTACAGCTCAGGAAAAAATGAGCAGAAATCTGTTGACAGAAACAATCGGAGATAAAATATACAACGGAGTTTTTTGGTTTATTTTCCCTGTGTATATAGACTACAGTACATGTGATGTGATGCCGACTCAAAAGCAAAACAACTCCTCAACTTGGCACACATGCATGACATGGATAGTAAAATACTTATTACCAAGACATAATATCATTCTCTATTTTGAATTGCCATTTAATATTTCTTTTTTTCAATATATTATACTATAAAGGTAGCCACAATGCGAGCAGCAGCGTTTTTTAAGATGTACCTTTACATGATGGCAAAGCCGAAGGCGAAAAAAATATACAACCCGAAGTTCGGAAGTGTTTTCCGTTTTATAATGCGATGATGAACGGAATCCTTTCCTTTTAAAGTATTCCTGGTTAACCTTTATTCAAAACATCTATTGCATGGTAGTAGATAGAAAGAATAGTGTTTTGTAGTGACACAAAATATACAGAACGTCAGATGCGTTCGAATTCGACCTTCATGTCGGGTATGCAAGCCATGCATCGTCTGTACTTTTTTAAAACGAAATAAACAAAAACATTTCAGTTAGTTACTTTTTGCCATTTTCACAGTATTACTCTGGTATAAAGATAAAAAATATAGTGATATTTGTGAATAAATTTGAACCATTTCAGTCATTAGGTGTGAAATTATATAATCTGACTGTCACTTTTCATTTAGTTTTCAATAATTTTTGTCACAAAAACATAGATTTTGCACCAAATATATATCGCCAAATTTTGCACAAGTAAGAGGAAGAAAAATGATATAAATTTTCAAAACTTGAGACGAAATAGTTTGGAAAAAACTGAATTTTTACCTGAGTTTGTGTCGGCCTTTTCCATATTTCCCCGACGAAAGCAGCCGAAAAAATTAATGAAAACATCACAAAAACGCCTCAAATGAAAGGCAAAACTCCCTCACCTGAAAACTATGATAACAACGATGAAACCAAGCTTTAAAGGTATCGAAAAATATGTAAACCAAAGGCGAAAACCGGGATATAACTCGGCGGATAGCTTTGTACTGCAAAAAATACAAATATTGTTTTTTGCATAATAAGCCTCGCTTCCATGTTATGCGAAGGCGCGGTTACTAAGTTTCGCAATTGGTCTATGAAGCTTAATGAGGTTTATCATCTTTTTATCTTGAATTGCATTCGACGCGACCAAAATGGGACGTTTAACCCAGGCCTTACCTCGGAGAAAACGAATAAAATGAACACTCAAATCATCTAAGTGATATCTTTGGGAGCCGTTATTCCCCGACGTAATTACATATACGTTAATTCTTGCCGTCTTCCACAACCAAAGTTCTAATTAGGGGCTGTTAATTCACATGAAACCGCTTACCGAGATGTATCGAAGCATAAAATGACTTCAGGGAGGTACCATAATGAAAAAGTCTTGTTGAAACGTTTCATTTTACGTTTCGTTAAATCTCGGTATGTGAATAGCCCTAAATGCCTAAATGTGGTTTTGTGAAGATGTGCAGTGGTTGTGCGTCGAGTAAAACCCGGGGGGGGGGGGGTGTAATACATTATTTAGATTGGTCCCACAGGTTTTGACTAGGATCATTTTTCCCGGAATCGCAAAGGCATAGGTTATAGTGGACCTATATTCAGGGCCTTAGCTATAGGATCAAATTAGCCTACCTACTGCAGTTGTACTGCAGTAGTTGTACAGTTGTACTGATGAAGGTTCGGGTTAACGGACCGAAAACTTTGCACTATTACGTGGTGGGCCTACAATTAAGGGCTAAATTTACTTGTAATAATTATGTGTTATGCTTTAAATCAAAATGATTTATGATTATATACATTTGAAAGCAAATATAATGTTATCAAAAGGCAGTTGGAAGGGGCAATAATTGTTTAGCAGACAGCATATTAACGTTATGTTTCTTATTAGGGTTGAGGACAATGCTGTTGTGGTGGACATACTTCCAATATTAACAAAAAGGTACCTGAATATATACTTTGGTCTAAATTTGTATATAAATTTCCGTTTGAATATTATTAACAAGACAACGCCTATTAGTTTTTTTTACTAACACATACAGCGGTCACAGAAATTACGGTTCTTTTGGCCATATACATTATCCTGACATCATTATTTTAATTCCTGTGGAAGCATTATTGCCAGAAGATCGCCCAGGGCCACAGATTGATAGCCAAAGCCAAAACTGCTCCTTGTCATATAATGGTCTAACTAAAAATACGCTTGATATGTAGTTTGTTTGCAAATACACGAGGACTTAAGTTGTTCGGATATGAAAATTCACCCCTATCATATACGATTTTTTCAGAGTGAGGAATGAAGGTACTGAGCTATCCACGCTATCAATGGGTGCATGCCTGGATCTTCTTCCAGTTCTTGCGGATTTGTTGGAATCAAAATATGAAGAGTACGTAAATTATTATAATAATGGCCCGAATAGTTTTTGGTAAACATGCATACATGACCGTTCAACTAAGTGAATGACCGTTATTCCATAAGCGAGAGAAATCATGCATAAGAATTTGTTTCTAGACATCGTTTTTGTCTTTTTGTGTATTTTAGTAATTTAGAAAGAAACATTGACGTTTCTACCAAAGGGGAATTCGCTCCTTTGATGAAAGGCCGTATTATAGGTCGAAACCTCGAGAGGTTTTTGGTATATTTTTTAGTACAACCCCAGAGGTTAACTAGCTTGCAATTGAATTCCATATATACACCAAAAAGTGCTGTGTAATTGTTCATCCACATTTTGATCGATATTGGCATATTAGTTTGCCTCGCCGGAATAAATTTGTCTCATTAACTGAAACCTGTTAACAGGTTTACTTAATGAATATCGTATGTTTCTGTAGTTACATAGTTACGTCTATAAACATGATACGCGAGGTCATGAAACGCTGGTGGAAGGAACTGCAGATGATGGGAAAGAAAGAAAAACGAGAATTTGAGATCGATCACCGATGTAGCAGGTAAAATACTGTTGTAATACTAAAACGACGTTATAAATTCGTAATGTGTTAATATAAAATTCGTGGCTAAACTAAACATATTGAACTGCGACGTGCACTCACGTATGCATACAGGGACGCCGGAACGATGCGAGGGCAAAAGGGGCAGATTTTGGTGAAAGGGCACTCCTGTAGCGGCGCATTAATAAAGAATGTTTGCAAAACATCGTCAGTTAAACTTCGTATCGTGATTTCTCTTTCCAAGATAATTTCTGTGTTGAGACGATTGTGTTATTCTTGATGCTCGTTTGTGGCACGTCTACTTCGGATATAGAATGTAATTAATCTTTTAAAACGAAAGGGCATTTTTTCCCCCTTGCCCCTGCTGGTAAAAGGCAAGGGGGGCAGTTGCCCCTGCTGACCCCCTGTCCCAGCGTCCCTGTATGCATATCCTAACCGCGCGTAAGTGTTCTACTGCATATTCTTGGTAAATTTTTTTAGTAGGGTTGACTCCAAGCCTTGGTGAAGAAATGCAATATCTCAAGCCTAACTTTGATTAAGAACTCCACACACTAATTACATGTAACTAGTACTTTTCAAAGTTGCAACAACCAAATAAAACGCATAAAATTAGTGCGGGGAAAATGGTTAATCCTCGGGCGGGCGCGGAGTGAGGGTACTAATTCCGCTCGGAAATTAGGAATTACGCCCAGGTATTGTGACAGAACATAGCGGAATCCAAAGTTGCCCAAATTCTATGCCATGGACCATTAACGTTGGACGTTCAATAGTCATGGTGCTTGTGCGCATGCCCAACATTTGAACGAGCAAAGACTTGGTTATTATTGGCTAAAACAGAATGCTTGTATTTCAATGAGAACGTCAGCAATTTAACTATCATTTCGCAAATAAAGTAAAATAAAATAAAGTAAAATGTTAAAAGACGGGATAAAAATTATGTATAGCATAAAAATACACTTGGAATTAATAAACAAATGAAAGACTAACGATTCATAATCTGCGAGCTTTTGTCTATTTTTATTCTTTATTTACTGTCATGATCAAACTTCACTTTATTTGTACAAATATACGATCGCTATGTCGTTTTGCAAAGACGTAAACAGCTATGAAAAGCTATACTACACCATTGTTTTAACTTTAAAAAAGGTTTCTTAAATTAAAATTTGGATTTTTTAGAGCAAACGTCACTACAAAATGTTAGAGTCGACTGCAACTACTGATTGAAACTTGAGAAATAACATATGTGACGTTTACATCTTGAAGATTTTTTTCATTGTTTGAAAATAATACAGCAAAATAATGGACACTTGATAATGTTCACCTGATTTTTACTCTTTTCGTACAGAATGATATAAATGTTTTCTAGCGACTCGTTTGAGTAATTTCATAGTATAAGCTTTAGTCTGGAAATTATTAATTGCGAGGATTACTGCATGCATGTATTTCTAGTTGGTGCAACGTAATTGCTTTCTTAAACTTTCTGTTTCGTCATCAGCGATGGCGGTTAGGCGGATGTTTTTAAACTTCCATAAATTGTTGTTTTTTCTGTATGTCCATATTGTTTTTCTTGGATTATCTCATTATGAATGCGTTACATTAACGTCATTGTTCAACCACAAGCTTTTGTTCTTGGCCAAGGAGTCTACAGTGGTGAAAATCATGGTTTTTAAAAATAACGGTCGCGTGCGTAAGTCAACGGCCAAATCGCTAATCCTTGACAATTCTACAAAAATCATGCTCGGATGTCGTTTATTTATACATGCATCTTTCTCAATGTGGTTTATTTTGTTATCTGGTGATATTGAAACAAATCCCGGACCTGGACGGCCTCAAAACTCGTTAAAATTTGGTTTAGTAAACGCGCGCTCTTTACGGAGCAAGCTTGCCAAATTCCAGGTACTGATGTCGGTGTTTGATTTTGACATTTTGGCCGTGACGGAAACTTGGCTTAATGCTGATATACATGACGCTGAGATCACCGCTGGTTTACCTTATACTTGTTACCGTAGAGATCGTTCAGACGGCAGGAGAGGTGGCGGAGTTTTGCTTGCTGTGAACAATAAATGTTTTTCATATCGTCGTTGCGACTTGGAACTTGATCAACTTGAAATGGTTGCGATTGAAATTGAATCGTCGAATTCACCAAATCTTATCGTTGCTGTGTTTTACCGGCCTCCTGATATTCATTCATCTGGTTTTATTGGGGACTTCACGACCTTCTTAGACAAAGTTAACTCTCGTGAGTACGGAAAGAAACTATTAATCTTGGGCGACTTCAATTTTCCTCACATCGATTGGGCTAATCTCGATATTTCTTTGCCAACTGGAACAAACCTTAACTTTTGTGATCTATTAACAGAATATTTCTTAAGTCAAGTTGTGTTTTTACCAACACGATGTACCGGAGATAATACGAACAATGTACTGGATTTGGTTATCACAAACCATCCGGATAGCGCTAGACACCTTGATGTCATCAGTTCAGCTGATTCGCTGTTCCCAAGTGACCATTCTCTGGTGGCATTCGAACTCGTTTCCAAATGCAAACGACCTCCAAAACAACACCGGATTTGCTACTCATACAAGAAAGCTGATTTTCCTGGCTTGAGGAATTTATTAAAAACTGTTCCTTTCCACTGCGCCTTGGATAATGATAACATCGATGACGATTGGCAGTGTTGGCTGGACCTATTTAACGCAGCCGTCGACCAACATGTTCCCAAAGTCAAAATTAGAGACATCAATAGTCCACCTTGGATTGATGGTGAAGTGTTACATCTAATTCACAAGAAAGATGCTGCTCGAAGAAAGGCTTTGGCTAGTAATGGTGGAACTCGATCAACTGCGAATCCTGCGTGGGAGAAGTATCGCAATCTACGACGCAAAGTCAAGGCTATGATTGACAAGAAACATAGAGACTACGTTGAAGCTGTGTCTCATTCAGTGAACACGAACTCGAAGCGTTTCTGGTCGTACATTAAGGCAAGAACCAAATCAGGATCAATCCCGAACATAGTCACCCATAACAGTGTTAAATACTCAACGAATGAAGCAAAAGCTGAGGCGTTCAATAACTTTTTCTTCACCTCCTTTACTCAACCTGATGCACATACCAGTGGTTCAATTCCAACGCAAAACAATTCGTTCGAATTCTCGTTAAGTGAGATTATGATATCGCCAATTGAAGTAGCAGCCTTGTTACGTAAACTTGATGTTTCAAAAGCCTCTGGTCCTGATGGCATTTCCGCCAGAATTTTAAAAGAATGTGCTGATCAAGTAGCTCCTTCCTTATGTGAACTGTTTAACAAATCATTGCGTCTTGGGCAGTTCCCCTCCCAATGGAAAAACGCTCATATTGTACCAATATATAAGAAAGGAGATAAAGAACTGGTTTCCAACTATCGTCCGGTTTCTTTACTGAGTGTGTTGTCTAAAGTCTTGGAGAGGTGTGTCTTTAACCGAGTACTCAGTCATGTATCTTCCGCCATCCATAATTCTCAACATGGTTTTATGAAAGGAAAGTCAACGGTCACCCAGCTTTTATGTTTTCTTCATGAAATTGGGTCAGCCCTAGACCATGGATCGCAAACAGATGTAATTTACCTAGACTTCTCCAAGGCTTTTGATAGCGTCGATCATAAGCTGCTTATCCAGAAATTACATTGCTATGGTATCAATGGCGCTCTTCTGGATTGGTTCACCAGTTATCTTACAGACAGATCGCAAAGAACGGCTGTTGGTGGCGCACTTTCCAAATCTCTTCCTGTGTTATCTGGTGTTCCGCAGGGTTCTATTCTCGGACCATTGTTATTCGTGATTTTCATCAATGATCTACCTAAGAGTGTCTCAACCAACTGCTCCATGCTCCTCTACGCCGATGACACCAAGTGTTACAGAGCTGTTAATGACCAGAGCGACGCGGAGAAACTTCAACATGGCCTCGACCTCCTACATCGCGCCAGTACATCGGCGTATCTACGGTTTAACGTTGGCAAATGTGAGAATGTATCCTTCACTAGGAAGAAGAATCGTGTGGAAACTGTTTACCAACTTGGTGAAGTTTCTTTGAAGAGTTCGTCTTGCCAGAAGGACCTTGGCTTGATTGTATGCAACACACTAACATGGAAAGAACACACAATCAAGGCTGTTAAGAAGGCAAATTCCATGTTAGGCCTGTTACGACGTAACTCCAACAAGTTCTTCTCCACTTTGGCAAAGCGACTTCTGTATGTAGCTCTGGTTCGATCCAACCTTGATTACGCCAGCGAAGCATGGTCAGGTCAATCCATCCAGTTGACTCGTTATGTGGAAGGTGTACAAAGGAGGGCTTCCAAATTCATTCTTGGTTGGCCTGGTAGTCTTGCATCGTATCGAGAACGTTTGGTCAAGCTACAACTCCTTCCTATCTGCTATTGGCACGAGATCAAAGATTTGATGTTTTTGCATGGGTGCATCTATGATAGGTTTGATGTAGATGTTGAACAGTACGTCAAATTCACACCACAATTGCAAGACCGTCAGTTGAGGAATTCCGGGGCAATGAATTTCGCGCTACCAAAAACAAAAACCAAGCAGTTCGAACACAGCTATTTCATCAGAACGTGTAGGTTATGGAACAGTTTACCAACCTCAGTAAAGGAAGTAAAATCACCACGTATTTTTAAGAATCTTTTGAAGCAAAAGTATTTCTTGGGTGTGCGTCATGTATTTGATGTGGATGTCTTTTGTACGTGGCGTTCTATTTGTCTTAAATGTAACTCTATACGTAATCTTTCTTCAGATAACCTCAGACTATGTTGTTAATCGTCTGAATCCACGTTTGTATTGTGTGTATATCTTGTCCAAATTTGTAAATAGTTATTTATGTTAACCTTGTAGCTATTGGGAGAATGCCTTGGTTAGGGTTGTGCTCTGTCGCAATCTCCCTTGTTGTCAAGTGTAATATTTAGACTTCACAACTAAAATAAAGTATATATATAGTATATATATATATATATATAAACGGCTTATATATATATATATCTATATATAACCAAGATAATCGTATTTCGTTAAGACTAAAAGAGTGCTCAATACTAAATTGAAAAGCAGAGCTATATTAATATTAATATTAAAAATCTTAAAATTACAATGATTTTTCGCTACTCAGAGTTTCACGATCTTTAACGATCGATCATCAGGCGATTATGTCCGTTTAATTCTCTTGCTTGATTTCGTGATCTTCAATTGATCTTGTTGCACGCGCGCACGATGAAATTTTCCAGCTTTGTACCGGTCATTGTGGGGACATTTCTTGAACAGCTCTGATCGCTTATTTAACAAGTTTTTATAGTTTGATTTCATAATACAAAGTTTTTCTTCAATACAAAGATTACAACGTGAGTTACCGGTAGCATAGGGTGTTGAGTGATTAAGAATTGACCAATGGATGGGAAAATCTTTTTCCTTAAACTTAAGTTGCCATATATATTTAGACAGTTCAGTTTCCTTTTCATATTGAATTAAATTAAACGATTTCTTATGGTTGCTATATCTTTCCTTAAACGAATTTGCTGTCATACCAACATATATTTTCTTCACACCGTCATCCAGAGAAGTTACAATTGCTTTGTAAACGACACTTTTCGATTGACATTTGTTGTCTAGAGGGCATTTATCCCGATTTCTACAATTACACGTTGGGGTTGTCTGAGGATCGTTTTTCCTTAATACTTTCCGATTATGCTGCGAAATTACATTCTTTACATTTGGCATACAACTATAACTGACTTTTATCGTGCTTCTGTTGAATATCTTGTGAAGAGGGTTTGTGGGAGGAAAATGTTTGTCGATAAGCTGAAGAAATCTGCCTCCAACGTTTGTTCTGAGTAGCGAAAAATCATTGTAATTTTAAGATTTTTAATATTAATATATATATCTATATATATATATATGTATATATATATATATATATATATATATATATATATATATATATATATATATATATATATATATATATATATATACACCCATTTGCAAAAACGTTGGCCGCAGATAGATAGATAGATAGATACTCGAAATCTTATTGGAATTGCATATGATTACATTTGAATGGGATTTCAATCATATTACACAACATATGCAATTCTAATCTATCTATATATCTATCTGCGGCCAACGTTTTTGCAAACGGGTGTATATATATATATATATATATATCCAAATGTAATTGTTTGTAATGGATAAAAGAGTGCTCAATACTAATTACAAGTAGAGCGAGTCATGTATTGAATTTATCTTAAAATATTGTCGTCGCTACACGGTGTTTCACGCCTGACCTTTTACAGTCAGACGATCTTCAGGCGACAAATACAGGATTGAGTTCAATCATGGTTCAATGTTTGCTTGCGACGCATCTTCAACGGTCTGCTGACGCGCGCTCGCGCGCTTAGATGTTCGCGCCCCATTCTGCGTGCGTTTAAACCGCCCCGCATTGAACTTGTTCCGGTGGCAGCACTTCGAGAACAGTTCGCTTCTTTTGTTCAAGGATTTACTATGGTCTGCTTGTATTATGCATAGTTTTTCTGAAAGGCATAAGTTGCAGCACTTTTTACCACTTTTAATGGGGTGGGGGGGTGCGCCACCCCCCGCACTGCTGGTAAAAAGTGCTGCAACTTATGCCTTTCAGAAAAACTATGCATAATACAAGCAGACCATAGTAAATCCTTGAACAAAAGAAGCGAACTGTTCTCGAAGTGCTGCCACCGGAACAAGTTCAATGCGGGGCGGTTTAAACGCACGCAGAATGGGGCGCGAACATCTAAGCGCGCGAGCGCGCGTCAGCAGACCGTTGAAGATGCGTCGCAAGCAAACATTGAACCATGATTGAACTCAATCCTGTATTTGTCGCCTGAAGATCGTCTGACTGTAAAAGGTCAGGCGTGAAACACCGTGTAGCGACGACAATATTTTAAGATAAATTCAATATATATATATATATAATTATATATACTCATATATATATATATATATATATATATATATATGAAACTCAGAGTAGCGATAGCTAAATAAATTCATTTTAAGACTTAATTTCATCTACTTAATTCGCTCTACTATAACATCTTATAGTATTGAGCACTCTTTTGTCTTTTCGAACAACAAGATTATACTTATATATATATATATATATATATATATATATATATATATATATATATATATATATATATATATATATATATATATATATATATATATAGTTCAAAGACTTTCAGGCAATTCTACATGTTTTGATTGTCTTAATTAGCGTTTTCAATATCGATAATGATTGTGATAATCGCAATAAAGGCAATCTCCATTCCTTACAGAAGTGTGAATGGTGTATATACGCTTCTTATATCCATGACTGATCGCATACGAGCGTTGGCCAAAAGAAGTGGAAGGATAGGCGAGAAAGCAAAGGTGAAAGTATGAGTAGTAGCTATAGGACAGATTTAGGATCAGGAAGGTAGAAGATTGAAAAGTTCATAGCTGACCCTTGGAAAATTGTTATTTAGTAATTGGGCAAGATCGTTAACCGCCAAAGATTGCCGTATTTAAGTTGTTGAACCTTGTTGTCATAATGCGTACAGGTCTTGCACTGACATTGCTTACGAAGTTCGAACCATGCTTTTTGAATGCAGTTAAAAGCTATGTATCGTTGTCTCGGGCGGAATTTCGGGTCTCTATATACAATAGACCACTAACAAACTGGTTTTCCACTGACGATAAATTATTTACTCGCGAAGCGACATACTATTTTTTATTCACAGCTCTAAACTGCGGTTAAGAGAACAAATTCTCAAGTACAAAAGAATAAAGTCACATTGCGCGAATTAAATTATATACGCGCTTCTTCACGTACACATGTATAAAAGTCGGCCATATAGATCCATAAATAAGTCATATTTGAAATGTATTGGTGAAAAAATCGAAAGAACTTCGTTTTCCGCATATTTTAGTATGCATTAAATTTTGTTGACCCATGTGTTAAATAATTTGGATGCATTTAAAGTTTCCGGCAAAACTCGTAAGTCGAAAGCAGCCTTTAGTGGAAAACCGGCTTAAGACCAGCCGAGTCTGCCTGTTATTTCATCTCATGTAGTTATATCATATGTTATCTCATCTCATGTAGTTATATCATATGTTATCTCATCTCATGTAGGTACTGCAAGAACTCATGGCATTGCTATGAAAGTGAGGTCATCAAATGCGGTGATCAAGATCCATAGAAAACATAAACATTTCCGCTGACAAGTTACCTGCGGTCTTGTTATAATAGAGCCTAGCGGAAATAGGCGCAAGGAACTATTGGTAATGTCAAGAGGTCTGGTATATAAATAATGAACATCTCACCTGTTTAGGGTAGTGATCTCTATATGAACTGGAACGATAACTCGGGCGCCATCTTTGAAGCCATTAGAAGCCAACATTGAACTGTAAACAAACGAGAACGATAACTCAAGGGGGAAAATTGAAGAAGAGTTTTGAGCTGAAATACTTGAAGCCAAATGTTGAGCCGTATATGAAATTAAAGCTATTAAAAGGTTTTATAATATAAGTATGATATAACGAGCAATTTGATTGGCTACCGCGCGTGCATTGTGAGGCCATAATGCACGCTTCTGGCTTTGAAGTTTTTATTGCTAAGCAACATCTTAAATAACATGTAAGGAGAATTTCATTATTGATCAAATAAATAAACTTTGTTGTTGCCCTACAATTTCTTCTTTCGAGAAGCTCGGCTACGCCTCGTGTTTTACAAGCTTCTCTCGTATTCTCCCAACATTCCCCCATCTTGCATTATTACACCATAAGTTCATTACCTACAGTTCATTGGAAGCAAAAATGGGTACCATTCCCAATCCCTTTTCTATTGTTTTTGTCTTCACGGTTGGTGATCGCGCCGATAAAAACAATAGAAAGGGACTGGTACCCATTTTGAATTAAAATTGGGTTCAAAGATCGCAGCCAATTAACCACTAGTTATCGTTCCAGGGTTTATAGAGTTCACTGGGTTAAGGTCAGTCTGTTGTGCAAAGCCTGATTGAAGACGCTAACCGCTTAATTAATTAAATTTGCGGCACAAATAAATTCCAGCTCGATGGCGAATTCCAATACTGAGAGCATTTTAATTCCGTCAAATAAAGAGAGGTTGTTGACCTCAGTCATTTCACGCAAAAATGTGTGTCCATGGAAATAGATATAGCTGAAACGTTTGCCTCGGCTGGAAAACAAATCATCAACCTCTTATATAGCCAGTGTATCTGACTGTGTATTACGCGAAAGGAAACGACGACGGACTGACTAAAAAACTAAATAAGGTTATTTTGTTTCAAAATGAGTAATTACCTGTTGTTGTGACCACCTGATTCTCTCTGACCATATTCTCAGGGCTGCAGCCATATAGAAGCTTAATTGGCGGGTGCATATTCGTATATTCGTCTTATGCCCGACTGGGTATAGAGGTCATGTGGTTAATTTCCCTTGACGGCACAAGCTTATTGATTTAAATATATAGGTTTATATTCGCATCGTGCAGCCTGCCTCAGAAAATACTACTGCATATTTTGTCCTTCGCGGCTACGAATGCACGATGACTACCGTTTCTGTAAGTACTACCTTCATTTATATATGATATATAGATATCCTTTGTGGTGACGTAAAGTAATTTCCAATATGCACTTTTACATCTCTCTTGAATGAGTCAACTTGAATATTATGCACTGAATATGTAGTTGTAAACAGTATCTTTGTTTTAATGTTGAAAATATTTAGTTAGCTTGTTGAATGAAGCGATATAGACTTGCTTTCTATTTTGAACTTAACCACCGTTTAAGGTAAACGGGCTTGATACAACCGGCTGTGAAAGAAATCGGGTACTAGACTACTAGCTATATATTTTATATGTCTGAAATCTTGAGATTCATGTGGCAACGAAATCGAAATAGTATTTTTATATAACTTTATAATCAAAAGAAAGTAAGAATTACTGGCGAATTGCTATGGCTTATACCGATAAACATGCGCGTTCGAGTCACTCGAAGACAAACAGCAAATGTCGCTGTTTAAAATTAAAGTGCTACTGCAACGAAATTTTTTACACCTTTTTTATTGATTCAATTTAAAGTGCTCATTCTCTTGATTTCTGAAAACAGAATCAAAATTGGCTTTTTCAAAAGATTTTTTAAGCTCTCCGAAGTCGCGATTTTTGCCACTTCCTGTGCGAACTTTTGCTCCGCCATATTGTGGTTTGACATAGAAAAGAGTACCGATTCTTAGCATGGCGTAGAAATACTAGTGTTAAGTAGCCTCGTCGATGAAGAAGCTGTGTTTCTTACAGTCCCGACTAAGCCAGTATTCATCAAAATTATGAAATATCTATACATCTGTTCCTAACGAAAGAGGCAGATCGCCAAAGTCGAAGAAAATTATTGAATTTTGTCCCGACTTTCACGTTGCGGTTCTTTGCGCGGCTAAGTTGATTTCAAAGATTCGTTATTCGTATATGACTCTTGTTTAGTAAGATCCCTTGAATAAAAGAATGTTGAAAGAAAATGCAGTGCCTATGCATGCAGTTGATGTCTGAAGAATTGTAGCACAAGTTGAAAAACAGCTAACATGCAGATATATAAGCAAAGGCTAGTTTAGTATTTTATCATCAATGCGAGCGTACATGCACTCATGATGTATTTTTAAACAAGATATAGTGGCATTGGCCTTGCCCGTGGTGTCTTGGTGCACGTCTAATGTCCTTTCTTAAGACATTGAAATTCAATTTAAATTGGCAAGAATGGTGATTCTTGAGTGATTTATGTAGATAAACAGACCTGTGTGTTTGATATATTTCAATACCTATATGTGCGATTGCCAAACAGTGGCATTTATAATAGTGCAGTATCATATTACTGTTTATGGTTTGCAGGAATATATAGCATAGCATACACCAATATGATCAGTAACAAGGACATCATATCATTGCCTTCGTCTTCTTTTACTGAAAGACTAAACAGAAAGACTAAATTTCCTAGCAAAGTTTCCTATCTTCACTTTTTACTGAGAATTTTATTAGTATATTGAATAAGGCCAATGCGAACACCAATTACCAATATATATAATTATAGCCCTCTTACTCGCTAGACCTGTGTATATAACGCCTAAATGTGTTATTTATGTTGACTCTCTTAAATTCGTTTGAAGATATTTAGCTTTTGTTTACTAATTCTTTAAGATCGTCTTACGAAGGACTATATGGCACAACATATACATGCATCCATATATTTATGGCATATATTATTACATTATATCGCTGTCACACGGGCTTACTAATTCGAATTTTCTAACAAATCGGCGTATATTTTCAGACCCCGCAATATATGTTAGTTAACAGAATTAACTTCCATTTCACAATAAAATGATTTGGCTCTTCGCCTGAAGCTCGGAAATTCGTAGCGGACAACACACTAGCCATGGTAAGCTTCGAAACATCGGTATGACGTCACATGCAGCATACATGGCGGCTATAAAAGTTCGCATCTGAGACAAAATTAGTGAACTTCATTGACAACATTTACTTCGATAAAAGTTCAGAAATGAAAGTTCACAATATTCAATGGTTGCTTATAGCAGGATGTTACGTTGCCGTAAGTCACGTGCAAAAAGCTCGACACGACAACCAAGCCGAAATTATGACCTTAGGTAAATACTGACTTTAGCCCGTTTTCCACTATAATTTATTCGCGCGGCGCAAAGCGAAATCTGAAATCTGATGATGTGATTGGTTTGCAGCTGTCCTTGTTTTTACATCAACGTTTTTTGCCCAAATTACACTAGCCCTTTGGTCTTTGCGGCAAATGTTTTGATAGAATTCTTCATTTAAAATAGATCAATATATTTACAAATCTATGTAGCTATCTTTTCCAAAAAAAAGGTAGTAAATATTAAAAATTACTCTTCACTTTACTCACGAGGAAACGTTTATAAAAATTATTGTAACCCTTTTTGTTTTGTAGGAATCATCCATGGAAGGTATCTTTTTACGATTATATATTGATATTAGTAAAATTACAAATGACATTATTGAGAATTCTGGCCTAGCTCTGATTGGTCAATATCGACCTCGGGTTATTACGCCATAATCGCGAAGTATGCGAAAATGGCGGCCAATTGTTTTTGTCAACGTGACAGATAAAAAAATTATATTAGATAGTGCTCAAAACCATATAGATAGAGCAGATAAAAGTATTGCTTACCAAAAATCGACGACTACAGTCAGTTTCATGCGTATAGGAATCTTCAGGTAGTGGAAAAGAACTTAATTCACTTCTGATGGATGTTTTATAGTCTGTTGTCTTGTGATGTTATTGCAGCAAATGCGCTGAAGCCAACGCAGTACTGCTTTATCAATAACAGACTATATATTCCATACCTCTGAAGGGAATTGGATCCAACAAAATTGGATCGTGTGGGAACAAACCTTAAGATTTTTTCCGTATAACTTAATCGGCCTGAAACATTCTTTTATGAGTGCATGTAGAAACTGATTCTGATTTTTTGTTAAACAAATTAGCCTTTTCCTTTAAAATGCAAAGTTTTTCTTCCAAAATAAGACGCCCGGTAGGCGTTAACTCGGGCTATGTAGCCGGTAAATACACTGCACTGAAACTGAGCTATATTGATACACTGTAAATACGCGACTGTCCGGGCGGAAGACTAAGCCTGCGACACAAAAAAATAATAATAATAATCGCGAAACCTAGACTCGGCTACCACAGGTAGCCTGTGTAAAAAGACATTTTGAACCATAATTTAATGAGGACATCTCACAGAATCGTGCAAATATGGGTACGTTAGCATCGTCAGCCCAATGTAACACAAAAACAAACATGAGATTTAACGTAGAAAAACGGGAGAGGGGGACGGGTAAACTTGGGTAATTTTTTTATCAGCTTACGCGACCTTTTTCATGCTCGAATGATTTTATACGTGAATGCTTGCTTGGGTGACTACGCTAACAATGGTCGGTGGCTATTCTACAGGATATGAGTTAATAATTCAATAACTCGGTTGTTCGGATTTTTTCTTTTGGGGTTACCTAAAGTCTAAGGTTTATGCCACTCTTCTGGAACACCTGGACGAGATCGAAGCGAGAATTCAACACGAGATAGATATTCTGAAATGGCAATGGTTCGTCGTGCTGTTTTTAGTACCATAAAGAGAGACTTTGTGTGGATAGGAACTGGGTACATGGTGAAGACTGAAGTTAACTTTTGTACTCTTTAACGTTTTTCTGTTAAAAAATATAATGCAAACTTCTAAACTATGTTCTTCGTTATGCACTGATTTCCTAGGGGGCATGTGGTCTTAGTGGTGCAGTTACAACTGTCTGCGGTTATGCTGTGTGACGTTTTGTTCCTGATGAATTCGTGCATTGTGTTTGGTAACTATACGAACTTCAAGTTGTCCGTACAACTTAGCTTACCTTAGCAGTGTTTCTATTAAAGATCCTATATGCAGCTTGTGGCTAGGTGGAAAGTGTTTATCTAGCAGGTTTAGGAAGCTGCGGCTAACATTGGTCCTCAAACTATTACTGAAAGGAGAGTTGAACCAAATGACGTTGCGTTGCCTGCTCCTGCGTGTTTGTGGCTGTGATGCATGTTTCATGTAGTCTAATTTGTGTCTAAAACTGCTGTGCCTTAGTGCGTTTTGGTAAATAGGTGCTGGTGAATGATTGCTCGCCAGACGAGAGTGATGATATGCGTTTATTAATTGTTATGGGTAACTGTTTTATGATGCATGGTGGGTGGTTGGAATGTTTCTTTATGTATATCGGATCGTTATTGGGCTTCCTATAAGGTGTATACTTTCCGGCGGAAAGATCAAAAGTTACGTCTAAAAAGTTTACAACTTGCAGATTTGCCTCGGCTGTGATTTTCAGGTCAAATTGTTCGTAAATCTTGTAGAGATATTTTCTAGTCGTATCTGTCAAACAAATGTTTTGGTTGCCAAATTTCTGTCCTAGGTGGTCTAATATAAAAAGGCCTATACGAGCTCACAAGTTTCGGCTCCGTCAAAGTTATCCATGGTAACGACAAATAAACTGCTGCTGTCTTTTTTATCCACGGTTTTCCTTGAAATAGAGAGATTTTCTAGCGTGTTTTTTTGCTGAAATTTCGTCTTTTGGAATAGGTGTCAAACTTGAAGCCCAAGATAATGCTTGCATGGTCTAATAGTTTTTCTGAAATTTATGGATAGAAATTTACAATATAAAACGAAATAAAAGAGTGTCTGTTTTTATTTTCAATCTTGCCAAACCATTCGATTACGTTTTATGTGTTTTTCCATTGGTTGAATCTCAATTTCTTCCAGCTCAAATTGATGCCTTTATATATTTTTATAAGGTGATTCTTCACAATGGAAATTATTTTATCGTGAGCCTTTTATAGAAGTAGGTACAGACACACCTTATGGGGTGTAGGAAAAGTATCATATTACATGTTTTCACTATCGATTCCGCCATGCTGGATTACATTGCTTTTTTATCGTGTTTGGAGTTTGCGGTTTTAAGAGCAAACGAAGGACGAAGAACGTAAGGATTCATCGAACCAAGCACGCAACGTCAACGGTTATGTAATGTGCCAACCACCCTCCAACCAACCGAAAGGCCTTTCGGTGATGGGTGTCGCTAGAGTGAAGGATCTGTGGACGTCGAAACCTATGCGTTTTTAGACTCTGGGTCGAACACCTCGTTCTGCACAAAGCCGTTCCACCCGCGTCTCTCCAACCAAGACATCTATGGTCAACGATGGCGCCAAATCCAATATTTAGCAGACTTGTTCTGGCGACGTTGGACGAAGGAGAATCTCCCATCTTTGCAGAAACGACAGAAATGGAATAAAGAGAAGAGAAACTTTGAGAAGAATGGCATCGTGCTAGTCCTGGATGACAAAACCCCCGCGGAATTTCTGGCTCTAGTCGAAACGATGGGCTCATACGCTCTGTGTAAGGTTCAAGACCAGGACATCCGAACTGACAAGACCAGTCAAAAAGATTTGCGAGATAAAACTTTGACGTAGATAAATACAGTGACATACGATGATATTCAGCGAGCGTTGCGTCCAGTCAAGTCCTCGGTACATATGAGTATTTCACTTTTCAAATACTATATAGTATATCTCGCGCCAAATATACATGCGCCAAAACACAACTGAAGCGACGAAAAATAATAAACTAACAAAAACAAATCATGACTCATTTATGTTTCGCCGCCAAACGTCTGGTTACGTAGATATTAAAGGGCGTGGAAACGTTGCACTACCCTTGAATCCCTAGTTTTGTGTTGGCAAAACTTTCAAACATCACACACTAAAAAAAGGTGTGTTAAATTTACACACCTTTTTTGTCCAAATTTTAACACACCTAAAGGTGGGTTTTGAAACACACCTAAAGGTGTGTTTAACACACCATAAGGTGTGCAAAAAGCATCTTCAAAGGTGTGTTAACACATAGCAAGGTGTGTTTTTGTGCACACCAAAAGGTGTGTAGAACACACTAAAAGGTGTGTCAAAAAACACACCAAAAGATGTGTTTTTGGCTTGTCCAAATTTTAACACGTTCTAAGGTGTGTTTTCAAAGAAGGTGTGTTTTCATACACACCATGGTGTGTTTTATTACACAGCTAAAGCTGTGCTGGAGAACACACAAATTGTTTAAGTAAAAAGTTGCACACCTTTCCTAAAAGTAACATATAAACAGGGCTAGAAAACACACAAACACAATATTAATTTATAAATATATTTTAAGTTCCAATACTATTAAGAATTAACATGAAGTCACAGTAATGAATTATATAAATATCTTGAAGCATGCAGTTTAGTTTAAAATAATGTCTTACTCTATAAACAGTTTATTGACTTGATGTCGTCTCGACTTGACACTTGGTGGTGTTTTCTTGTCTTGTTGGTCACCCTTGTTCTTGTTTGTTGGAGTGTATGGTGCCTGCTCAACTGTTGCAATAACATCATCGCCTTAATTCATGATCTTCATAATCAACAAAGATCACCTGAAAATATAAAATAAATGCATAAGAGGATCTGGTATTTAGAATTTTCCAATTTAAGATGTGCACAAGCATCTGTTAATTAATAGAACATGCTAAATGATACCCAATTTATGAGTTAAGATTTATTTTTGGTAAAAGAATTTAGGATGTATTGTCAGGTATAGGCAGGTATAATTACATGAATTATAACCTTCTGTTGAAATTTGAAAAATTGGGGTCTGGGCACATTTTCTATAGTTTCTTTAAAATGGGAAAGTTTTATTTAAATATGTATATATAGCTATCTTTCAGGATAAGTAGTCAAGTCTATAGTATTAAAAATCATAAACCATTCTGGAACACTCAAGTCAAATCAACTATCTAATATTTACAACATTTAGAAAGCAAATGCAGTATAGTGAGGACAAATATTGGTCCTTTGGAATGTTACTAACCCCCAAAAGGAATACAAAATATTAAACATAAATTAAGACACAAAACAATTCATCAAGATTACACCTAGCGAATTATATGCTTTCTTTATACCAAGCATAAACTATGGCATAAACAGCCTTATGTATACACCGATATACGTGTAAATCTCCTTCTAAAAGCACCTATAACAATTAAATTTTGAAAGATAAAACGTAACACTCACCAAGTCTCTCTTGTGATGTCGAATCTGTTCGCGTCGCCATGCGCTTCGGTGGTCTCTGAATTATTAGAATGAAGCAGACTTTTCACTTTCAAGCTATTCGGGACCTTCGAAGTCTTGAATTTCTTTGCATCGTTTGTAACGGAACCATCAATTTATTCGCTACAAATAGATAGAGACAACCATATTGATTACAGTCATTACACTCGTTGGCCATATTGAAATTGATACAAATGTTTGACACAAACGATTCGAAAAGCACTGCAATACAACTTACCCTCTTATAATTTCTTCTTTATACAACATCATAAGCTCTCGTGTGTTCATCTCCAAAAAAATCTTAAAATCGCCTTCACAATAAACATAATTTAAACTTGTAACAGACTCGAAGCACAGTTGCCACAGTAGAGAAGGAAATGTAAAACACTAAACAGTGGTTTGTATTTCGTGCGCGTGGGTTTCACACCTCGCGACATTCTTATTGGTTAAAAGCGTATGACGTATCAGATCACTGACCTGTATATACAAGTCTGTATGGCAGATATTCAAAAACAACCCACGTTAATCATTCTTATTACAAAAGTAAACCACAACGATCTGTAAATTCCCTTAAATCTATGTCTTATATAATGTTTAGAGTTTTTAATACTGATCAAAGCTGAAACGCAGGCCAAAGATAACAGAAATTTAAAGAAAAAAGTTAAATTTAAATGCAATGGAACAGCGTGAAATTTCCTGTGACTTGTGTAATTCCTCGTAAGGCTGACGCTTTTATCGACGCACTAAAATACTATAGGTAATAAATAAGGCCAATCAAGCATATTGTTAATAATTTAAAGATGTGTTTTATAACACATCAAAAGATGTGTTTCTTGGATGGGTCAAGGTGTGCTGTCAAACACACAAAGGTGTGTTTTCAGTGAAAAGGTGTGTTACTTTACACACCTTAATGAGTAAAAGAAAAGGTGTGCAAAAAGAGGTGTTTTCGCTAACACACAAAGGTGTGTTTTCGAACACACGAATGTGTGTTTGCGTACACACAAAGGTGTGTTTCCTTACACACCAAGGTGTGCTTTCTAAAAGCGCGTAGAAAGGTGTGCAGAAATTACACACCATGGCGTGCAATTGAGCACACCTTGGTGTGTAGTCAAACACACCTTGGTGTGTAATTCTACACACCTGTTTTTTGTGTGCACTCGTACTATTAATCCAGAATTGTACCCCCCATCGCATGCATGATTACCTATACTATATTTATTAATTACTCTATTAATCTACTGTATAAGTTGTCATATTCTTTTCCCTAACGTACTATAAAGTCGAAGAAAGTGGTATGTCGGATTGTGCTGTCAACGACTGTGAAGCGGAAATCAATACTAAGTCAGATGAAATCACTTCAAAAATTCAGTCTATGCCGACTATGCGTAAGTGTGACTCTAAATATTATTATATCATAGAGACTTGGACGTATATGGCCTAAACATAAAATCATACGAAAACTAGAAATCCCTGAAATATGCTCAAGTTTCTGGTTGAAATTAGTAATAAAAACCTAGATAAACAGGTTATCTCATGATAGGCTCGGTGAAATCTGTAGACCATAAGTCCATATGGATAATCTTTAGATAAGTAAATTTTTTCAGCTTTTTTTTAACGCTATAATTTAAAAAATTCAAACTAAAATCTATATCTTCTCGCAACCGTATAAGCATTCAGTACTTGAGTGCCTTTTTTCTCGAGTACTATATAGTGACTTCCACAATCGTATATAATTGTTTGTCTTATGGACCCGTATTCATAGAGTATTGTCTTTCATTTTTCTCAAAAAATTGTTTCAATCATCTTGTCCTAATACCGAATAACATCAGTGAAAACCAAAAGTTAAAAATTTAAAACCGAATTTTCGGTCGCTAACTGCGAACTTCAACAAAGTTATTGTTTACAAGTGATAGGAATTGTTAAATTGCATGATAGCAGTGATTATACTGTCCGTTTGCTCACATGTCTGTTTGTTTCAACAAGGGAAGATATACTTTTGGGGAAATCGTATTCTCATTAATTCATTAATCCATGGAAGGTATATGCTCCCCTGTTGGTATACAATTTCCCTGAAACTCTAGATAATTGCTTACTCATATTCAATATCCCTAATAAATGGGCTTCTTGCAGCTAATGTGTCATGATCATGTCGCATATCCATTCGCAAAGTCTAAATAAAACGCTTGTTTCAGTAGTTGAAATGTTGATTGTATACCAACGAAAAATGAATAATCCATTCTTACACACAGAAAAAGGGCCTTCCAGAGATAAAGATACATCTAGTCGATATGTCATGGGTAAAAAAAAAGGAAATAGAACTCTAAGAAAACTTAAAAGGCCCTTTCGAAGTGGGCTTCGAACAAGCACATCGTAAGAGCTGTTTGATTAATCTTGTACTACTTTATTAGCTACATAATTTAATTAGTGGTTATTGCTTTCTTACATGCAGTCGAACGTGATCGTTGCAGACTTATTTCCGTGTCTAGCAAGCTCGCATCTCTCTAACACACCTTAAGAATCCTTACTTATCAGGTTTGTAATTCGAAATGATTTTACTTGGATTAAATGTTATTTTTTTTTAATATAGGGATAGATTTTTGCATGAGGTAAGTTCACTCAAAAACCTACTAATTACCACTCTTGGGCCAGATCAGTTTACCCCGTTTAAGCCTATAGTTTTTATATGACATAATTCGTTATTTATAATTCTATTCATTTTAATGGCTATTCGTTTTCCCGGCCGACTAAATAACTACTAAATAGGATAGAATTGATCCACCAATCAGAAAGCAGGTATAAACGCGCCCTATATAGGGGCGGATTTATATTATATAATAAAAAACAGTTTTATATTATATGATAAAAAAACAGATTTATATTGTATAATAAAAAACAGATTTATATTATGTAATAAAAAAATACATGCATGCATACATAAATGCATAAATGCATATCATTCTCGAAATAAATTCCATATTTCCATACATCCATGTATTATTCCCTATTTATACATTTCATTTAAAAACCAGCCTTTACGTTAGAAAAATCATGTTCCACTTTTGCGTAGCTAAAAGCTCGGTTTGAATTGGCTAATTGTGATGTCGTGACCATTAACCGTGTATATAATGAAGTCGGAAGATTTTACACTTGGTAATATTTCAGCCGGCACAGCTTTTAATAAAAAGTCATACTTTCGTGGTAAACACAACTTTAAAATAACACTGGCTATAGATGAGTAACTTAAATTCCAGAAAAAGGTAAGAATCTTGTCGTATTTTGCCTTTTTTTCACAAAAGTGAGGGTAACCCTGGGTTAAACTTTGCATGATTCTTTGAGAACCTACGGCCGTTGCAAAATGCTATGACTATACAGTGCTTCAACGCCCAGAAAAAATATTTCCATACTTCTTTTCTCACATACCTCTTTTCTCAGCATAATCCTTCCGATAGTAACTCCTATTTCCAAATCTATATATTTTTATTTTTTAACTCTGTAAATGAAGCAGTCTGATTGGCTGAGAAGCGTTTCACAGCGGGCCGGAATTTTGCATCCGGCCCGCTGCAAAATGCATCCGGCCCGCTGTGAAAAATGCAAGCAAAACGACAAAACCAAAGCAACGTACGGCTAAAATGTGTGAAAACCTTTCTGGAAAAGGCTAAATGAATGTTAAAAATAAAAAACATACCCGAAAAACTTCTTTTTTTTGGATTTTTTACGCCTTTTTTCGCTTGTCAATACGTTGTTTTTTTAATCGATTCGCCGTGATTTAGTTGCTATGGTAACAATATTGGCCATTTCATTGGCTGTTTCCCGACTAGGATATCCTTATAAGGAGTTGTTGACGTATGAAGATTCTAAAATGGCTTGCAGAATTTATTGCAGAGTTTATTCATTAAATTTGTTGTATTTTTTTGTGTTTTATAAAGTCAAAAAAGTCAAGGTTAAAAAATAAACACGTTATTTACCGGCAGCTTCGGTCCGGATGCAAAAAAACTGTGCCCTCGGTCTCAAAAACATCTCTCGGCCTACGGCCTCGGGCCGTTTTCGAGACCTCCGGCACAGTTTTTTGCATCCGGACCTCGCAGCCGGTAAATAACATATATATATGTATCTTTCGTAAAAAATAAAATGAATATTAACAATTACTCTCACTCACTAGGAAAAGTTTATAAAAATTATTGTAACCTTTTTGTTTTGTAGGAATCATCCGTGAAAAAAATAGTCTCTCTCTTTGCTACAAAACCGTCATATAATGAGGGTTCTCAATTTCGTAAAGGGAAGAGAGAACTGGATCTTTCCAACAAAAATCTAAACTCTTCCAAGATATCTGACATGGTAGCTGAGGGTCATTGTACTGTAAGGAAGTTGAATTTGTCCAACTGTCGTCTAACTTATTTGCCTGAGGCTCTAAATAGTTGCTTCAAATTAGAAGAACTTGATCTTTCCCACAATCCTTTAAATTACCCATCTCCATCTTGTTTACCTATCCAGTCATTATGCAATTTGAAAAAGTTGGATTTATCTGATTGTCATCTAACTGAAATACCTTTTGCTTTCCCACCCAATCTACAAGAGTTGAATTTATCTCACAACAACTTGGACTATCAAGCCGACTTGTTAGAATATCTAAATAGAAAGAAGAAAAGTGGTAAAGCAGTAGTGTCTAAGAGTGGCAAGGAATCAGAGCATATGACAAGAATTTTAGAATTGTCTAAATTAAAAAAACTGATTATATTTGAAGACAATGTTTATACAAAGTCGAGGTTTGGTGGAGGTTAGTGAACTTTTCTCAGTCAGTTAAAACTCATTCATTGGCAGTCCTTATATTATTTTTCGGTTTATTGGTAAAAAATTGTTAATTCAATGGTAAATGGTTCTGTTGATTATATATTGATTATTGTACTAACTGGCAGTAACCTTCGCTAATAAGTAAAATTTTTAGCATTAGAATGAGTCAGTGATGTAGCCTAAATGATCGCCTCGGTTCCTTTGCATGGTATCGGCGAGGAAAGTTATTAGCATAATTCCCCAACCAAAAGGGATGTTTAGTTCTAAACGTTCCTCCATTATTATAAGTGAGGCAAAAAATTGGCAATTTATTTGCACAATGCTTTTCCTGAGTTATGTAGGAGCATACCAATGTCAGTGCATCAGTGTCGCGGCGTGGCGGTTCCAAAATGAGCAACCACAATGTTCCCTTTAACCTTGGAAGTTTTAGAGAAAGTCCCTTGCGTTCTGCCCTCGAACTTTCACTAAAAATCAGTATAATGTCCCTCAAAGCATGCGTTATAAAGCAAACTTATATAATAACATACGCTGTTCTCTTTTCTAGTATGGACTCTTAAAAGTCACCAAGGTAATTATCCGCTTTATTATATTCATTTTGAAATCAATGGTGTTTCTTGCAATCTGATTGGTTAAAAATAATGCGATTAATTCTCAAATCGCACTATTTTTGAGCATTAATCACATCATTTATAAGCTAGTAAGATTGAAGCTCTGCACCACAATAACCAATCAGATTTAGTATTTCAGTTTAACTATCCAATCAAACTGCAAGGGGAAATGGCACAAAAAGTTTTATTATTGTACTCCACTCAGTGCAATTACCATTAAATATTCTTTCCGCCTAATTCAGCTTCAATTACTGCATAATGATTACGATACTTAATTCAAGCCTGGTCCACACTTGTCAAAAGATCGGATTTCCCTGGTTTGAAATCAGTATAGTGCGCAAAATACTTCGTCAACAGAAAAAGATACAATGGATCCCCTATTCTAGGGAGCCTGTGTGAACGACGCCTTATCTCTTTACGAATATTTATTAATATGATTATAATTACAAAGGTGATTATGGAAAATTCTGGCCTCTGATTGGTCAATCAACCTCGGATGATTACGCGATAATCGCGTAGCATGTGCAAATGGCGGCCACTGGTTTTTGAAGAAAAAATCAGTAATTTAGGGGCATAATATTATAGATTTGAATTTGAGGCATAATATTATAGATTTAATGTATGCTCCCGAGGGAAATACTGAGTTTCTCGACTTCGTCTCCGGAAACATTCAGACTCTTGGGAAAACAAAACTCATGTACTATTTCCCGAGGTAGTGTACATTAAGTGTTTTGTCGTATAGGAACAAAAACATACATGTGCTGTGCATGTGATTCAGACTAAACTGCGTAATAATGAAGTTGAAAATGCATATATAAATTTTGGGTGTAAGAATTAATCAGTATGGTCGCGTACTAAGTATTGCATACGAGCAAGTTCAACTCCACAGATTAACACGAAAATGTTTGACTGCCGCTTATCCAAAATTGTAATTTCTTTCGATTTTTGTTGCTCATAAACTTCCTTCATGAACAAAAAATCATGAAAATTTATTTTTTAAAGCATTGTAACTGGTTAGTTCTAGCTTTCAGAACCAATTATAATATAAGTATGATATAACGAGCAATTTGATTGGCTACCGCGCGTGCATTGTGAGGCCATAATGCACGCTTCTGGCTTTTGAAGTTTTTGTTGCTAGGCAACATCTTAAATAACATGTAAGGAGAATTTCATTTTTGATCAAATAAATAAATTTTGTTGTTGCCCTATAATTTCTTCTTATATTATAAAAGAATTAAAAAAGCTCGTCGCGTGCCTTTATGGTGTAATAATGGACTCGGGGAAATGTTGGAAGAATACTCGAGAAGCTTGTAAAACACTCGGCTACGCCTCGTGTTTTACAAGCTTCTCTCGTATTCTCCCAACATTCCCCCATCGTGCATTATTACACCATAAAGGCACGCGACTCGTTTTTTAATTCTTAAATATACTTAGTACTTCCAAACTTTATATCATTTGAATAAGTATAAACTGAAATTATTTCCATCTTATTTTTCACTAGAGCCAGTTCTCTTTTCAAAGTTAATGTCGACCGATCGAACCAGCCTTCAGGGTGAGGGTAAGTATATTCTGTTTTTCTCTTTTTTATGTTTTTTGCAAAGTCTATTCCTGTGATACGGGGATAGTTATAGCTAAAAACAATATTAGCTCTTGAGGATGGGGGGCTATACACTCTTGAGGATGGGGACGTCAAAGACATCCTGTGTAGACTGTAGTACATAGCATTACACCATTTTCACTCGATTTTCCCGCTATTTCACTCTATTTTCCCTCACCTCGACTTCTCCTGTACTACACGGCGAATAAAAATATTCGACTTTGCTCATTCTAAATGTTCACGGAAAAATTACACTGTTTGAAATTACACCTTTTGTTTTTAGCGTACTAAAATTACTGCATGCTGATTGGTCGAGAGGAGTACAATTATTTTATTATAGCGAGTCCAATCCGCAAAAATTTTTAGACATAACTCGTATTACTAAACCGGAATTGTATTCGCCATCGCTTGATTACCTGACTGTATGATAATGTATATAAAAGTATTACTTGACTGTGATTTGTTGATTTCAGTGCTGTTAATTCTAAATAACAGTGCAATTTTCTGTAATCACAGCGCTTATTTTTGTAATCATTGTGAACCAATCAAAATTGAGCTACGTTTTTGTGGGAAAGAAATATGATATGAAGAAATATAAAGTAACTACAATAGCGCTGATTGAAAATCAGTAGTTGTAGTGCGGAAGTTCAACAACAACGCCTTATTATATATTCCGTAAAGTGAAAATCAATAGAACAAAACGAAGAACAATTGCGTTGACTTATTGATCATTAGGATTTTTGGAACAACATTAGCAAAAATCAAACGATATTTAGCGTAAAGAAATATTTATTAACACAAGGCAGGAAAATTATGTCTCAACTGCGTTCTAATATGTATACATAATTTACAAACAAAAGATATAAGGGTACAGATGAAAAGACGTTGTTCACTTCGAAACGTTGAATTTCAAAAACGAATTTTGATAGCAGCTGCTGAACGAAATGTGCACTACCTTACTATTGCGAAATGTACAGCATAGGGCAGACTTGTGCAGACCTCAGTACTTGCCACAATGTTTTGCAAGATAACACATCCCGGGATAAAACATACTGCACATATATTGCTGTTGTGTGAACAGACTAATATTATAGAATGCGAATTCTAATATTTACTCTCTACATCTTTATGTTAATGATATTTTTCTACAGGGTGAGTAAAAAAAACTGACACCTTTGATAGTCAAATTAGCCGCAAACTTATGGCTGGAATTTGACAATTCCCATGTGTAAAAATAATACAATCACAACAGGACGTGGTTAATTAATGCGAAAGTGTTTAAACCAATTTAACGTGGCGCGTGTACTAGAAAAACGGTTTGATAAAACTGTTCTTTTTTATTTACAGAGCTTACAGGGTGTATCAAAAAAACTGCAAATACCATAATTTGTATGCACTTTAGAATTTCAATGACTGTGCAACTAATTACGCTTCTGGGATTTGAAAATACGTTTCCCAGGGTTTATTATCATGTTTACTAATGCTCCCTAACCATTGTGTTTTGCGTACCCTTGTGTTATGTGCTTAATTTCCCAATAAACACGACTTTAGACGGAGGTTAAGTTTGCTCGTATACGTTTAAAACAAGACATTCTCTTAGTTCTGTTCTTAACTGAGCCAGTCGTAATCGAACTCATATAAGTTTAATTCACTTTGTGTGCTTGTTTTGATAACCCTGGGAAACGTATTTTCAAATCCCAGAAACGTAATTAGTTGCACAGTCATTGAAATTGTAATGTACAGGGTGTCTCAAAAAAAACGCAACCACTTAAATATGCAAGAATGTTAATATTGTTCGGGTTCGCACCATAGTTCAGCTAAAATGACTTTTGGCATTTTAAATGAAGGATTAGGAGCATTTCCAATTCCCAAAGGTGCTTATCTATTGCGCTTTAGAGCTGTATTATGTTCTTGCATATTTAAGTGGTTGCGTTTTTTTTGAGACACCCTGTATAATCTTGTGCATACAATTATGGTATTTGCAGTTTTTTTATACACCCTGTAGAATGCATTTTAACTCCCAAAGGGAAGAAACTTTATGTTTTAGGTTAATTAATGATTGACTTATTTGATATGCTTCGTATACCCATGAGATATTTTAGGCAACTTCTGTCACATTACAGCCGCTATGCGGCTAATTTGAATTTCAAAGGTGTCAGTTTTTTGTTACTCACCCTTTATGCTAATGCTGTATATAAATTGTCATATTCTTTTCCCTCACGTACACTGTAAAGTCAAAGAAAGTGGTATGCCGGATTGGATTGTCAACGACTGTCAACCATGTGAAGAAGTTACTCGGTTGGACGAGTTTTGTCGAATACGAAAGTCAGATGAAATCACTGTAGAAACTTATCGCTCTATGCGTAAGTGTGACTCTAATTATTATTTGTAGACATAGGATCCTGGCTGGCTTTTTTTGCACAGAAAGACGTGCTGAGGCCATTTCATATTCTGTTCAAAAAATCCTAAAAGTCAAAGAATTTGAAAGCTTCTGGAATAAACCAAAATGATTTAAAAGCCATATTTCTTCTGAATATGCACGCTGTGGCGTACGGGAGACGAAAATTGGGGGACACATATTCATATCTTCATGTTAACAGACTTGTAAAGACATGAATTTGAAAAGAAATTATTCTTGCAAAACATTAATATATGAATTTGTGCCACCCGCTCCCCCCTCCCTAATTATCGTCTCTCGTATACGCCACTAAATATGTGTCAAATTTGAAGCCAGGACTGAATAAAGGCACTATTGTGTGATAAATCACATGACATCATTAATCAATATGAATAATATTTAGATAAGTTAATGTCATAATTTAAAAATAGATAGTAATTTTGTGAAAATCTCATGCTCATTAATTTTCCTCCTTCCACCTTTACATGTGTAAAAGACCTCAAAAACAAACGCTTAATATAAATATCAACACTATTCTCAAAAATCTCTACATCATTCAGCATGACATTTGATTGCTGATATATTTTTCAATCCTTTCCTTAGTTCAAAGTCTAAATATCGTTTGTTGCCTTCTCAATACCAATGGGGAAACGACTTTGAATAGAAGTTGTGGAAAAATATTTTATGAATTGAACGACATTAGTGGGAATGATCAGTTTTCTCATAAAATGGAAGGATGTCGGTCGAATTTGCAGCGTGGTGTTTCTTTCTTGGGCAGATGGTCAATCCGCGGTGATGATCATGAGTTTACTTTGGAAAACAGCGGTAAAGTATTTTGGAATGCCTTCGAATCTGCCAGAATACCTTCAGTGGAATCCCTAACTATGGCTGATCAAATTATTTCTACGAAACTGAGAATTACATCAGAAATACTTCGCAATTTAGCTCTTCCAAGCGCCGCAGTTCTTGGTTGTTTAAACCTTTTACAAGAGCTTCATGATCAACAGGAGGTTCAAACGGCACTTTCTTTCGTGGCTAATGGAAAAGCAGTAAGCATTCATGAAAGAGCGCACTTCGAAAATGTTATTTCCATCTTTAAATTAAACAAGATCCTGTATGATTTCACCCTAACGTTCGCTAAATCTCCACCATTTGCTGAAGATTGGCCCGCGACGATAAAACTGGCTGAAAGAACTTATAATCCTTTGACTCAGAAACGATGGTTAAAAGAACAGCTGGAGGCCTCCAGCATTACTATGCGATTAATTGGGCTTATTGACATCGAATCTCAAACACAAGTTATTCATGATCATGCGGCCAGGTATAATGGTCCAGTCATCGAAAGTAGTGGAATGTCCAGAAATAATAGCAGGTAAAAAATTGCAATAACAGATAACATCTTATTGAGTATACTTTAGAACAATAAGCCATATTGTGGAATTTACCAATCCATAACATGAAAGTTGAAAATGCATTCTGTGCAGGAGTCCTTAAAGAGGGCGTCCTGTTTAAGAGCGGAACTAGCACTGGAAATTTTTTTTAAATCTACAGGGTGTATCAAAAAAAATGTCCCAAATGTAAAAATTCCGTTTTTCAGGATATTTTGCAGAATTTGGCAAATTTTTGTGTTCCTAGAGATAGTTAAGACTTATCTGGTATACCTAGGCCAAGTTTGGTTTTTCATTAACAAAATTATGTTACCGGGGGGGTGGTTCCTTTCCACTGATATTGAGAGGGCTTGCGCGCGAAAATGTGAAGCTGAAATTGAGATATTATTTAGCTGTCTAAAAGTAGGAAAGCTTTTTAATAAACTGTCAAAGTTTCAGGAAAAATAATGCATACTGGGAGCAACGCGCGACCTCTAAAAGTGACAAATATTTCATTGCGCGCAGTGGATTAAATGCATGGTTGATTTTAGCGTGACCGATCTCATACAAGGTGGGCAAATGAATAAATTAAAGCGAGAAACTGAACACAAAAGCAAAGCGATTTATTCGTGATGTTAATCCTCAGCATGTCCACCATTTCATTCTAAGCAAACTGCGGCTTGTCTGAGCATACGAAACACTGAACAGCGAACCATTTGTCTGTCCATTCGCCTAGATTTGCCGGTGGTAGCGTATAGGCGATTTGCAAGAAAGAATTTCGAACGAAATGGATAATTTGAGGCAGGACAGACAAGTGTGGTTCGCCGTTCAATGTTTACCATGCTCAGACGAGCCGCAGTTTGCTTAGAAGGAAATGGTGGAAATGTTGAGGATTAACATCAAGAATAAAAATCTTGTTATAAAATCGTTTCGTCTTCTTGTTCAGTTTCTCGCTTTAATTTATTCATTTGCCCAGCCATGCATGAGATCGGTCACGCTAAAATCAACCATGCATTTAATCCACTGCGCGCAATGAAATATTTGTCACTTTTAGGGGTCGCGCGTTGCTCCCAGTTTGCATTATTTTTCCTGAAACTTTGACAGTTTATTAAAAAGCTTTCCTACTTTTAGACAGCTAAATAATATCTCAATTTCAGCTTAACATTTTCGCGCGCAAGCCCTCTCAATATCAGTGGAAAGGAACCACCCCCCCGGTAACATAATTTTGTTAATGAAAAATCAAACTTGGCCTAGGTATACCAGATAAGTCTTAACTATCTCTAGGAACACAAAAATTTGCCAAATTCTGCAAAATATCCTGAAAAACGGAAATTTTACATTTGGGACATTTTTTTTGATACACCCTGTATATTAAGAAAATAGTATGGATTCTAGTTGGAAATAATATGAGATATATAATGAGTGTAGTAAATTTCCATAGTATGGGTTTTGAAAAAAATTCCAGTGACTGTTAGCTTGGGATTGGGATTTTTTCTTCGATGAGATAAGTTTTTGAAAAAAGTGGCTTTCTTTTTGCGAAAATACGAATTTTGCGAAAAGCGACCAAATTCGAGAAAGCGATATTTGTAACTTCCCAACCCCTTTGCTGAGCTTGTCGATAGAATTTTTCTCACAAATATCCTTTTTTACATTATATTTGTAATGATAAAAACAATCAGTTGCTGCTATACTTTAAATAAAAGCAAATTTCAGGTCTGTTTTCGATTTGGTTAGCAAACTACAGACCTGCACCAGATTGAATTACTAAAGGCAATTGTTGTTTGTGGAAGAATAGTTCAACTAACACAAAGAAAACAATTAATTTATTGATTGAGTATAGAACACTTCAGACAAGCCGAAATTGTTACAAGAAAGCAGTGGCGTAGCCAGCCCGACGATTTAGTCATGCTATGCAAATTTTATGTTATTATCATTATTCATTTCTTTAGAAATTCATTGTTTTCCCCTTCGATGAACACCAAAATATTAGCATAGCATGACTAAATTGTCGGGTTGGCTTCGCCACTGCAAGAAAGTAACAAATTAACATGCAGTCCTCTTTTAACAAGTTGTATTCGCGGTTTATAACTTGACATTGAGCTTGTCTTCATCTGCAATCTGTTGCCAATTTTTAAAGGGCGTGTTGTACACAGTGAACTCTATAAATATGGAAGGCTCGCTCTAGTACATTGCGTAATCAAAAAGTGAAGCCAAACGTGGCGGATCATGAAGGCTGCTTGGGTACCGAACCAGACCTCCACGCACGAGCTGTTAAAATTCAAAATGGCAGAAACGTGTAGGAGTTGAACTCGGTCAGTTTTGTAAACACAACACAAATATACGGCATAAGTTACCTCTCTAGAAAGAATGATATTGCCATGTAAGTGTAGCTTCACTAGGACAGAAATTCAATGTCAACGAGTTCCCAATAAATCTACAGGGGTAGACGCGGTGCGTAGAATGAAACGAACTCGACGTAGGAATTTTGATAATTTATTAACAGGATGTATACAGGTTTGGGTCGAATAAGTCGATTGAGAATATTGCGTCGGTTCGAACTAAAATATGATAAGCAGACAAACTATAGTAACCTATCACATGAAATTAATACGAGTATACTTGATAATTGACATAAATGAGATATACTTATTAAACTAAGAATTTAACATAAACCTTTGCTTTCTTGCAAGCGTCCACATTCGAGACTCAGCGTAGAATGAGTAACCTAAGCTAGGTAGGCTGTTTTTGTGTAGCATGAACCGGATTTCAAAACATAGAATTGATAGAAACGCGGTGTGTTTGTGACGGACATAGCGTGGCTAGGCAAGGCAACCGCATTGCGCATTTGCTAACCAAATTTACGCATTTGATGTAAATCTTTGCGCTGAAACGGAAAATAACAACTTGTTTTTGCCAGAAAAATAGCAACTTGAACGACCTTCCGTTTCGAAACCAACATTCCGGCCCCTTAAAGGCGATGTTGAAGCCTTTACCTAAAAATTATATGGGTTCGAAACTTTATGATAAATCTAAACTAGCATTTAATCTAATATGTGTATATTTGTATATATTGCTCCTGGCTATCGCCGTCTATTAAATCTTAATTATTTTCTACTTATCGTCTGTTGGAGCAGTTTCAGATTCCAGGAAGATAATCTTGTCCACTGGTCGAACCAACACCGATAAGCTTGTCTTCACTTTCACAGAACGCACGAGACCATCCCGACGGTTGGTGTAGACGTCGAGGATGCGTCCCATTGGCCAGCTGCAGCGTGGAGTTTTCTCATCGAGGATTAAGACAATATCACCAACTTCTAGATTCCGTCGTTTCTTAAGCCATTTCTGCCGTTCTTGCAATGATGGTAAATACTCTCTAATCCATCGCCTCCAAAATACATTGGCCAGATACTGTACTTGTCGCCATCGCCTCGTGCTGCAGCAGTCGTCTTTTGAGAAATTTCCAGGTGGTAAATTTGTTCCGCTTCGGAGCAATAGGAGATGGTTGGGGGTTAGGGGTTGCAGATCGTTGGGGTCATCTGACAACTTTGTCAATGGCCGTCCATTGACAATAGCTTCGACCTCGCACATCAATGTGTTGAGGCCTTCGTCATCGAGTAACTGTTCCTTGGTAATAGCTCTCATTACCTTTCGAACTGTTCTTATACATCGCTCCCACACCCCGCCGTGGTGTGAGCCTGCAGGTGGATTAAATGTCCATTTAATACTACGTTGCACGAGGAAGTCATGGATTTGATTTTGGTTCCATTTTTCGATTTCTTGCCGAAGTTCTTTTTCGCCTTTTACGAAATTACCTCCGTTGTCCGACCGCATTTCCTCAGGTTGGCCCCGTCTTGCGATGAATCTTCGTAAAGCATTTATGAAGGATTCCGTATCCAAAGAATTTGCTACTTCTACATGGATTGCTCGAGTTGTTAAACAGGTGAAGATGATACCATATCGTTTCGCACTCGTTCTTCCGCGGCGTACAGAGAACGGGCCGAAGCAATCTACGCCAGTAAAGGAAAATGGGGGTTTTCCGTAGGTTACGCGATCTGCCGGAAGGCCTGCCATCTTTTGTTCGACGACAGGAGACTGTCTTTTTCTGCAGCTAACACACGCATTCAATATCTTTCGAACTGTAGTCCGTGCCTTGATTATCCAAAACCGCTCTCTTATTAAAGATAACGTGTATTCTATGCCAGAGTGACCAGAGACGTGGTGGTAATTTGGTGATTAGGGTGACTACGTGGTGGGTTTTAGGAAGGATAATTGGGTGACGAGCGTCATCGCTGATCTGTGCTCGTTGGATACGACCTCCGACTCGAATGAGGCCGTCGACTAGGATAGGGTCGAGTTTTGCAATACTGCTAGCATTGCTAACCGAGTTGTTGTATCTTTTACTTTGAAGATGTCGAAACTCTTCCTCAAAGCAGCCCTGCTGTACGAGTTTCAAAACTTCACGTTCGGCATTGACCAATTCTGTCAAACTGATTGGTGGGATATTTGCTGATGGTAGGGATTCTGCTCGATCTTTCTGTTGAAATTGGGCACGCGAACGCAGGTTTCTTATATAGCGTAGTATAAGAGCGAATACTCTTCTTAATCTGCTCCATGATGAAAATCTTTCGATTAGTTGATCCGTGAACTTTTTCTTAGAAACGTGCGCTATGCTGGCAGCGCAAACAGACGAACCGTGCTTTACTTCGGGGTCGTCGTCTAGGACCGCCGTGGTTGATCCCAGATCTCCAGGTCTCTTTGGCCATTCTCCGGGTGGCTTAGTAAGGAAATCGGGACCCTTGATCCATCGCAGAAGAGAGTCTGCCGGCACGCCTCTTGATGCGTCATCAGCAGGATTTGAACGAGTGTCCACGTAATTCCATTGCTTGGGGGTCGATGCATCATGTATTGTCGCTATTCGATTTGCGACAAACGTCTGAAATCGCTTGGTCGTGTTTTCAATGTAGCGCAAAACGCAAGTGCTGTCAGTCCAAAAGAAAGATTGATC